ATTTTTTTGTTAAATTTAACTATTGTATAACTAAATTCAGTTCTGAGATGTCCTTGGTCTGCATCCCTCTGATGCTTCAGGTAGAAGCGGTCGAAGCTGCAGCTATGCTGTGGATGCTGACCACATTCACACACTGTATAGCCGCTGTCAGAAAATGAAATGAGGGCTACTTGTGAGGTATAGCATTTATCCCTGAGAGCCTCAACTTGGAGATAAACAAACACTATATATATATATATATATATATATATATATATATATATATATGTTCACAGCAATCCAGGAATCACTCACATAAAAAGCACACATGCAATCTCTAACAATTAGGAAAAACTAAATGTAGGAATCTTTGGTCTATCCTAAATGGTACTGATATTGCCTACTTACTTTTCCATTTCATAGACATTTTAACTAGATGTATGTTTACCATGAGAGTTGGAATTAGTCAGTATTTAAAATTAGGCATCTTTTAGTCAGTATGTTAGAAGTGGAATCTTGGATGTGCTTCTTTTTAGTTATGTGAACTTCAGAAATTTATTATTTAAGAATTAGCTTTTGTAAGGTGTAGCTAATACTACTTACTTTAAAATGTAGTCGGGAAAATTGAGTAGCATAAAAATGTATGCAGCCAGCATAAAGCTCTCAAAACATAACTAAAAATAATAAAGTCTAACTATTAAACAATATATCAAAAGCTTAGTGATTGGTATACCATATAATTCAGTGCAGCAAACATTTGAGCCAAAAGAGTAAAACATCACACTGCAATAAACAATGGTCTGGAGGACAAGTGACAAAGTAGGAGGCTAGGAAAGTAGTTCAGGACATAATGTTGTGGGTCAAAACATCAGCAGTTAAGACTTACAAAAGGAGAACATTCCAAGATTTCTGTCAAGTAATTACATGATGCACCACATAGTGCAATGAGAAGTATAGGTAGAAAGAGTCATAGGTATAGAAAGAGAGTAAAAGCAGACTTCTGGGGCTGAGGGGATGGCTCAGTGTGTAAAGTTCCTGTGGGGCAAGCATGAGGACCAGAGTTCAGATTCCCCAGCACCATGTAAATGTTAGATGTGAGTGGCAACATCTGGAGAAAGCAGAGACAGGAAATCCTCAAAGCAAGCTGGATAGCTAGACTAGTCAAATCAGTAAGTTTGGGTTCAAGTGAGAGAACCTGCCTTGAGGAAGAAATTCAACAATCAATCTCTGGCTTCCAAATGCATGTGCATATGAGTTCTCACATGCACGTGTGAACAGGCATGCCCACATGCAAAAAAGCAAGGCTTCCATTGCATTAGAGATGTTTATATAATATCATATGAATATATGTGGTTGGGAGCAGTCTTTGTACAGGGGCCAGCCGAGCAGCCCCAAGTCTGTACCTGAGTGGGGGAGTGTGGACGAGGGAAAGGCTAGCTATAGACAATAAAAAAAAGACAGAGACACAGAATAAAGGTCAGGAGGGCAGATCAGTCAATACTGAAATGCCACGAGTTTATTTTTCGCCACTCTTATATACCATAACCAAAAAGGGGAACACAGTATCATGTATATGGGACAAACAGACTTTTCTTCCTCATTTATTCTAAGGGTTCAGTAACAACACCTTAGCTCCAAACTTGTTCCCTAACGTTGAGGTCAGGAGTACCTCAGATTCATCTCCTTCCCTAGCCTTAAGGTCAGGAGTAGCCATACCGCATATTCAACTTCTCCTTCCTTAGCTTTGACAGTCAGGAATAGCCACACCTCAGATTCAGGCCTGTTGTTATTTAGACTAAGACGGCCAGAACATCCTTATGCAACCCCACCTTTAACCTTTAGGTCTTGTGATTTCCTGACAGCTTTGAACTCTCTGCTCTTGTGCCAAGATGGAGTGCAGCCATCTTTATGAACACCCACAATATATGAATTGGGTAATCATATACAGAACACTGGAGCTCAAATGGAAATCTGGAATAAGAACAAACAGGATTTTGATATCAACTAAGTTTATGCAGTAGAAGCCTTTTTTTTTTTCTTCAATCTAACAACACTCAAATAAAATTAGTGGTACCACCAAGAATTGTTTTAGTAACCTGTTATGGGTGGAAGCTAAATTGAAAAATATCTATGGTGAAACTAATTTCCCAGAATAGATTTGATGGAGGAAAGATAACACTCAATACAGGTGAATACAGAACAAGATGAGTATTTTGAAAATGGCATTTTAGACATAGGATCCCACAACATGTTTTAATACCCACCAACAGCTATAGTGAGACATGACAATCACCAGTAAGGCTTAAAGTCAGTAAGAATTGGCGAAGCTCCAAGTCATATGTTGGAGGATGGATAGGAAAGTCATTGAAGTAGATAAGGTAGGTCAGGATGATGCAGACACAGATTTAGTGAGAAAGGAATGAAGAAATCACAGCCTCATGAAATCTGTTCTGAGAGACAGACATGGACATCTTCTCATATGGCTGTGTGCTATCAGAGGATGTATCAATAAAGGAAGAAAGGAATGGGGTAGGTGAGACAACTATGGGTTTTCAATGGACTAAAGTTGTTCTTGTGACTTGGGGAGTGTCTTAGTTAGGGTTTTTATTGCTGTGAAGAGACACCATGACCACAGCAACTCTAATACAGAAAGCATGTAATTGGGGTGACTTGCTTACAGTTTCAGAGGTTCAGTCCATTATCATCATGATAGGGAGCATGGCAGCTTTGCAGGCAGACATGGTGCTGGAGGAGTAGCTGGGAATCCTGCAACTTGCAGGCAACAGGAAATGAACTGAGACATTGGGCAGTATCCTGAGTATAGGAAACCTCAAAGCCTGCCCCCTCCAGGAAAGTCTCAGCGAAATAGTGGTGGTTGTTAATTTCAGAATTGGAACAAGGTGAAGGTGGTAGAAGACAGTCGTCATATACTGTAGGAGGGGCAGAATCTACTAGTACAAATAATGTAATTACTAGTCGAATGCTCAGTTGATAGTAAAATAACTATATGTTGATCAAGTCTGAAATTAGACTACAGGTGAAAAACTCACCAAACGTTCTCAGTTTGTCTACACAAAGTGTTGCCATAATTCGTTTTCGCTGCGCTCCTTTAGCAATCATCTGGGCTACTTGTCTATTTCCCAGTACCAATGTAAATCGGGAAGGGACTGTGTTCACTCAATATGCACTAAAAAAACAAACTGAATTAAATTGGCCTGAATCTCCGTACTGTGTATTTTCAAACGCTTGTCCACTAGGTGGCGGATCTCTCATCTCCTAACACTAGAATTATTTCTACCAGGTTTGTGTGTCTTTCACAACACCCACCAATGGCTTGTTACGTGAAGGAAATGCAACCTCGTAAATCGTTTTCAAAACGTTCAACCTAGAAAAGAATGTTCAAATACAAGGGACGGTAACAACTGGAAAGAGGAGCAGCTCTCTGCGGAAGGAATTAAACTACAAGCTCTGGGGGGTTAAACTACAACTCCCAGGGAGCCGTGCGCTGGCTCCGGATTGTGCGCTTGCGTCCCGTCTCCGCGTCAGGCTTGCTGCGCCCGGGTTTTCGGGGAGCGAAGGAAAAGCGGGACGTTTGCGCTGCTGTCGTGCCCACGTCCCTTTCCGGCCGTGGCGCCCTGTGGAGCCTGGTGGTTTCATTCTCCACCTGCAAAGTCACCGGGAGACTGACAGCTTGTCTGCGGGCTGCCATGTCACGTGGCCTGCCGCATCACGTGACTCGCGTCTGTTGCCTTGACAACAGCTGGCCTGCCGGGACTTTCCGGGAAAGCGCGGGCTCTCGGTAGCAGGTAAGTAAGGTGCTGTCGCTGCCTGCGACCTTGTGGCTGTTTCCAGGTTGTACCCCAGGCTGAGTCCCCAAATTTATATTTGCGCGTTATTCCGCTGCCCTTTCCGGACCCCAAGTCGGGTACCTCTGTGCTTCGCGCCAGCCCCCAAACTTGCGCTTTTTGCAACCTGGACACCACGGTACTGAGGGCCCTTTTGTGGGGTCCGCCACTGACCAAGCTTCTTGTGCAGCACCGTATCCTGACTCTGGGACCTTTTGGACAAAAATGCAAATAAAGGCATTATGTGTTGCAAAAATTCATATAAAGGCATTAGGTGTTGTCCTGCAGGTTGGAGGGGTTATTACAAACTCGAGTCCTCTGGCTCCCTGTCCTTTGAAAAACCAACCAGGGTTTGTGCTGCCCCAGGGAGTTAAATCCGAAAGTTAGGACTGATCTGAAGATGGACTCACCGAAGGGAACGAATTGAGCTTGGAACTGCAACTTGGCTAGATCACACTCAAGATGTTCAGGGTATTGTGTGTCTGCCTTTGCTTCAAAAGAAACATTTTATAAAGATTAGCACAAACCATTAACTTTCACAGGTATTTCGTGCTTATTTGGGGTGTTTTAAGACTAGGTAGCTCCGTGTACCCCTGACTAATCTAAAAATCCGGCTGTAGCCCAGGCTGGCCTCGAACTAGAGAGCTTCTGTTTCCTGATTGTAGGGATTTCAGGTGTGTACCACTACATTCCTTATTTGCATTCTGAGTGTTTTAAATTCACTTTGTTTATGTCTGGAAACATCCCTGCTTGAAAGAAATCTACTTATAAAACCATTAATTTGAAAATAACGACTTAATCAAGCAGCACAAACTTTACTGAACTTTACAAGAAAAAATTGTTGTCTCCACTTCCTGCTTTTTTCTCCCAACATTCTCTGTGAGGAACTGGTTTCTCAGAGCTATTAGCAGAGACAAATACATAAACAGTGTAAAATATCTTGGAGCCCACCGCTTAACAACTGGATGAAATATGATTATGGACGTTGAGTAGAAGATAAACTTCACAAGCTACTTTCTCAAGTCAGGTTGCTGAAATGAATCAGGACTTCATTAGCATATCATAATTGTGATTTTATACTGTCTTGATGAGATTTTTCTGACATTTAAGTAGCTTTGTTTTAATGATTTCCTCACGAGGTGTTTTTATTTTTCCTTTCTGTTTTTGTCATCTAGTGCCTTATAGCCTTTTAGGATGCTTTCTTTGTGAAGTGGAAATTACTAACCATGGCTCACTATTCCAAAGAAGAGCTTGATGAGGAATTTGAACAGTTTATGAAGGAGGTAAGTTCAAGCCTTCTAAAGCTTTATTGTAAATTTCTCTCGTAAGACCCATCCTTAAGTGCTTTCATCTGAAACATAACCACCCCACCAGCTAGCACATTCCGTCAATTCCCACTTACAGAAGATACCCAGCAGCCCTTGGTTCCATCTCATTTCAAATGCTAGCACCTGTTAACTCATTGCAATCCTTGGACCTAGCCCACCCCAGCAGTTCCCAATGAATATAGCATTCCCTCCGTGCGTGGTACAGGTGACATGCATGTGCAGGCATACACAAACACAAAGAAAATCATGGTTTTTAGCATGCTAATTCCCTTGGTCATTACGATAAATTGTTGGACAAGCATTTTGCTGGACAAGCACTTTGCAAAAAGATATGATGCTTCAATATCTGATTTTAAGAGAGTAGTTAAACCCAGTTTTTTAAAGGTAGCTTTCTTCAGTTACAATTCACAAACCGTACAACTCACCCATTCAAAATATGTATGACGGCTGTTTTAGAATTACATTACCTTTACTATGGTTGGTTGTAGAATACATTCATCTCTCCTGAAAAGAAACTCCTTAGCCTTTAACTGTTACTTTCAGCTCCTTGTCCTTCCCCAGGATTAGGCAAGCCACTAATTGCTTTTTGTCCCCAAGTTGGCTGTTGCAGATATTCATAGGAATGGGACCATGCAGTATGTGTGGTGTTTGGTGTTTGGCTTCTTTTACTTAATGTAGTGTTTTCAGGGTTTATCTATGTTACAGCATGTCTTGGTATCATATCCTTTTAGTGAATAACTTGCCTTTCTGTGGATATACTGAATCTTGCTTACTAAGTTTTCAGTTGACAGACATTTGAGTTCCTTCCAGTTTGGATAGTTGTGATAATGGTGCTATGAATAATCATGCAACTTTGAGTGTGGATATATGTTAATTTCTTCTGAATATTTTCCTAGAAGTGAAATTGTTGTGTCATATGCTGATATTCCCACTAACAGCATATTCATTTATGAAGGGTCCAATTTTCATTATTTTTCCTAATACCGATACTATCTGAGGGCCAGCCCTTTTTGTTTTTGTTTGATGACAACAGCCTGGGAAGCAGTGTAGGAGATTTTAAGAGGCAGAACACCTCCAGTGTATTGGAAGGGTGGGTCCTCCTCATTTGTCTTTCTGATCTGTGTCGCAGCTCTGAATAGCTGTATGTAGCCAGGGAAACGGGGGTGGGCAGGCAGAGGGCAAGAAATGGAATGTTTCAATGTGGAGGTAATGTTTAAAGTCAAACTGAAAAGTGATAGATACCGGAACTTCAGATTGAAATAAAGTGGGTTTGTTGTTGTTGTTGTTTTCTTCTGTCTTCCTCTTTCCTCACCTGGAAGACAGTGAACTCTTTTAAAGCATTTTAAACATTGAAACTCCATCAAGTTGTTGAGATACCATTCCTGACTGGCAGGTGAAAATATGTCATCCTGGCAGTTTAGATTGTCATTGTGGTATCATCCTAATTGGATGGCGGTATGAACACCCTAGAGGAGTCCTCAGTTAATGTGGCATCGCTTGGTATCACTCATGTCCGTTGTAACTGGGGCAGCGGTGTCCCTCTGGGTTTCCGTTCCTTATCAGTAATCTGTGCAAGGTTGTTTAAAGATTGAGATAAACCAGGTACAGATCCACCTGGGGAAGGTATGTGATAAACACAATTTCTTCCTATGGAGTCGGGGGTAGCGGGTAGGGGGTGGAGGTGGGTTGTAAGATGAGAAGGAAAAAGGACGGAGAACTCAGTCTAGGAGACATCTCATGTTGAATGAGTGGGCTCAGGAGCCCCTAACTGTTTCCCAGCAGTGTGTGAGGCTGCAGAACTAAAGAGGAACCTCGCAGAAGGATGCTCCTCAATTCATAGGTAGAGCATTCCAGGACTTGTCCGTTTCCATAATGTGGTCAGTGGGCATTTGGAAAGCCTTCCTGTCCCTGAGGGAAACAGTTTTGGATGAAACCATATTTTATGCGACTGAGCAGTTAATTCAAGAATTTGCTATGTAGAGGAAAAGCTAGGTAGAGTACTGTAGTGAGATAGTTCTGTGGCACTGACCACGCCCATTGGGGGGTGGAGCCATGGGCGGAGTGACCTGTGGAAGGAGGTCGGAGGGGAGCCAGGAAAGGCTATTTTTTTCTGACATGACTCGGACAGGAGAGGATCGGACAGGAGAGGATCGGGTTGAATTTCCTGGTGTTCATCTGTCTAGGTTGTAAGTTATTTCTCCCTGAATAAACATCTATTCGGCCTATTTGTTTATCCTGATCCTTATTTACCGCGTTAGAGTACAAGAGAGTAGAGATCCTGTATCCCCTACCCCAGTATAGAGTAGACTCCGGTATTCCTCCCTTAATCCCACAGTTGCTCCAGGTACTGTTTGCTGCATGCTGGAGATACAGTGCTATCAGGAAAGTGGAAGGGATGATGCTAAGGAGGTGATGATAAGGAGTTGAAGTGGGTTGCTAAGGAGGACCCTGCTACAGTTCCAGAGAAGAGGGTAAGAATGGTGTCTCTGACATGGGGAGGAGGGCCTCACAGAATGACAGCTTAGAGGCCAGATAAGGAGAAGGATGATGTTTAGTTCTGTGTTCTCAGAAGAGGGAGGATACCTATTGGCTTGTGGGGGTTAGAAAAAGGAACTCAGAATTTTAGTAAAATTAATGACTATAGAAAGGGACAAATACACATTGGTAACATCTGGGGCAAAACATTAATTTCTATGATCACATACATCTCCACCCATTAAGACTCTGGAACTCTGGGTTCTAGAGCCATTGTAGTAAGTTTGCTAAATTGTCACTTGTTCTTAAACCCTAGAAAATGTCTAGAATATAAGATTTGATCCTTTATTTTCTTTTTTATATATATATATAATTTTTTATTTAATTTTATATAACAAAGTCCAATTAAATGAAAACAAGCATTTATACACAATATTTGGGAATTTGGGTGTCGTTCTTTCCAAACTACTTCCTGCTGGTAAGGGGCGCTGTCTTGGGGGATTCGAAGAAGATTCAGATATCCTAGCTGTAGTCTGTAGGGCTGTTTTGTCCAGCTGTTTGGAATGTAGGATCAGTTTGTACTCTGTTTCAGGCGGTCTGGCGTGATCAAACCACATTAGTCTGGAAGGAATCCACATCTTTTCATTTTCTGTGGAAACAAAAATAGAAATCCTTTTCCCCAGTAACTTGTTCTTCAACTTAAATTTTGGAGTCAAAGCGTTTTTTTTTTTTTTTTTTAATTTATTATTTTACATGTCGATCCCAGTTCCCTCTCCCTCCCTCCCTCCCTCCCCGCCAGCCCTCCCTTCCTGCTTCCCTCCCTTTTACCCTCTCTGCCCTCTCACATGCACTCTAAACACCCTCCCCTCCCAACCCCCCACCACAATACCATATGTAGGGGAATGCCATCCAGTTGGGGTCATGTAGATCTGACAGGTCATGTGAAGTAGGGACTAGGGCTTCTCTCCTATCTCTAGAATAAGGCAGTTATCCCTCCATGGGGGATATGTTTGCAAAGTCCTTTTGTGCACCAGGGATACATCCTGGCTCCACAGTCTGAGGTCTCTTAGACTGCTCAGACTTTCTGGCTGAGACCCATATTCAGGGGGGTCCGAGTCAGTCCCCTGCTGGCTTCCCAGCTATCAGTCTAGTGGCCCTTAGCTCCTCCTTGTTCAGGTAAGCTGTCTCTATGTGCTTCTACCGCATGGTCTTGTCCTCTCCATCTGCTTCTGGGTTCTAGTTCGACTCAGTGTTTATGTATGGGTGTTTGCTCCTATTTTCAACAGGCATTAGTTGAGGGCTCCATGGAGAAGTTAGTTGTTGATCTCACTCTCCGGGAAGGGCATTTATGATAGCCTTTCCACGGAAGCTGAGATTGTTAGTTGGGAGCAGTCTTGTAGTTCCCTCGACCTTTCTTGGTGTTCAACTTTATCTTCAAACCAATATTGGCTCCCTCTTTTATATTCTCTCTCTCTGTCTCTGTCTCTGTCTCTCTCTCTCTCTCTCTCTCTTTCCTATTTTCCATTCCTAACCAGGCTCAATCCTCCTGGTCGCACATGCCTTCCTCTCCTCCCCCTCATTTTCTCCTACTTCTCTCTCCATTAGCTGTCCTCCCCCACTTTACCTGAGGTCTGGGGGACTTGTCCCTTCCCAGTTCTGTGAGGGACTTTATATGAATCTCTTAGAATACAACTTGTATCCTAGTTCCTCTGGTGATGTGAATTATAGGCTGGTGATCATTTGATCTAGTTCTAAAATCCATATATGAGTGAGTACATACTGTGTTTCTCTTTTTGTGACTGGGTTACCTCATTCAGGATGGTTTCTTCAAGTGCCATCCACTTGCCTGCGAATTTCAAGATACCATTATTTTTTTCTGCAGAGTAGTATTCCATTGTGTAGATGTGCCACATCTTTATTAACCATTCTTCAATTGAGGGGCATCTAGGTTGCTTCCAGGTTCTTGCTATTACAAATAGTGCTGCTATGAACATAGTTGAACAGATGTCTTTGTTGCATTGATGTGAATCCTTTGGGTATATGCCTAAGAGGGGGATTGCCGGGTCCTGTGGTAAACTAATTCACATTTTCCTGAGAAACCGCCATACTGATCTCCAAAATGGCTGTATGAGTTTGCACTCACACCAACAGTGGAGGAGTGTTCCACTTTCTCCACATCCTCTCCAACATGAGTCATCACTGGTGTTTCTAATTTTAGCCATTCTGGCAGGGGTAAAATGGTATCTCAAAGTTGTTTTGATTTGCATTTCCCTGATAGCTAAGGATGTGGAGCATTTTCTTAAGTGTCTTTCAGCCTTTTTGATTTCCTCCATTGAGAATTCTTTCTTCAGTTCTGTACCCCATTTTTTAATAGGGTTATTTGGTGTTTTGTTGACTAGTTTCTTGAGTTCTTTGTATATTTTGGAGATCAGCCCTTTGTTGGATATAGGATTAGTGAAAATCTTTTCCCAGTCAGTGGGCTGCCGTTTGGTCTTGTCAACTGTGTCCTTTGCCTTACAGAAGCTTCTAAGTTTGAAGAGGTCCTATTTATTAATTGTTTCTTTCAGTGTCTGTGCCCCTGGCGTTATGTTCAAGAAGCGGTCTCCTATACCAATTTGTTCAAGGGTACCTCCTACTTTCTCTTCTAAGAGGTTCAATGTGGCTGGATTGATGTTGAGTTCTTTGATCCATTTGGACTTGAGTTTTGTCCATTGATTGTTGATGCTTGTTTGATTTAGGTTTGTTGTTGGCAGTGGTATTGTGAATATATTTGTTCTGCTTCACCCTAGGTTTCTGGTGTAGTTGGATTATCTGTTGCCTACATTTTTGTGGGCGTAGTTACCTTCCTTGGGTTGGAATGTTCCTTCCAATACTTTCTGTAGGGCTGGATTTGTAGATACGTATTGGAAAAATCTGGTTTTGTCATTAAATATCTTGTTCTCTCCATCTATATTGACTGAGAGTTTTGCTGGATATAGTAGCCTAGGCTGGCATCTTGTTCTCTCCATCTATATTGACTGAGAGTTTTGCTGGATATAGTAGCCTAGGCTGGCATCCGTGTTCTCTTAATACTTTTAGAACATCTATCCAGGACCTTCTGGCCTTGAGGGTTTCCATGGAGAAGTCAGGTGTAATTTTGATAGGTCTGCCTTTATATGTTACCTGTCCTTTTTCCTTCGCTGCTCTTAATATTCTTTCTTTATTCTGTATGCTAGGTGTTTTGATTATTATGTGTCGAGGGGTCTTTTTTCTTTGGTCCAGCCTATTTGGGGTTCAGTATGCTTCTTGTACTTTCATGGGCATGTCCTTCTTCAGATTTGGAAAGTTTTCCTCAATGATTTTGTTGAATATGTTTTCAGCACCTTTGAGCTGTGCTTCCTCACCTTTGTCTATGCCTATTATTCTTAGGTTTGGCCTTTTCATAGTGTCCCACATTTCCTGGATGTTTTGTGTTAAGGATTTGTTGGATTTATGATTTTCTTTGGTCGATGAATCTATTTCTTCTAGTTTATCTTCTGTGCCTGAGATTCTCTCTCTCTTCCATCTCTTGAATTCTATTGGTTATGCTTGTGTCCGTAGTTGCCGATTTTTTGCCCAGCTTTTCAATTTCCAGCCTTCCTTCCGTTTGTGTTGCCTTTATTTTCTCAATTTCAGTTTTCAAGTCTTGAACTGTTTCCTTCACCTGCTTAATTGTTTTTTCTTGGCTTTCTGTACTTTCCTTAAGGAATTTGTTCATTTCTTCCTTTTTTTTTTTTTTTTTTTTTTTTTTTTTTTTTTTTTTTGTTTGTTTGTTTTTTCCTCCATTTCTTTAAGGGATTTTCTCACATCTTCTTTGAGGGCCTCTATCATTTTTATGATGGTGATTTTTAAGTCGTACCCTTCTGCTTCCTCTGCTTTGTTGTTGTGTTCCATTCTAGTTGGTGTAGATTCCCTAGTTTCTGGTGGTGTCATGTTTGTCTTCTGTTGTTAGGTGTTCTCTTGTATTGCCTTCTTCCCATAGTTTCTTCCAGTAGGTGTTGGTGGTGTCTCTTCCCTCTCTCTATGGTACTTCCCTGATGGGCTTATGTGGATCTGAGATTCAATATCTGTAGCTCTGTGTGGTCCAAGCTCTCTAGGAGGTTTCCCCGCAGACAGGGATCCAGGGATGGGGTCAAGGATGAGGATCCAGAAGAAGATGTCAGCAGGTACTCACAGTGGTCTTCTGGCCAATAGCTCTGGCCAATAGCCAGCAGAAGAGGACGAGGGCTGAGCTTGAACTTGAGAAGGTTTTGCAGGGTAGTGGGATCTCAGTGGAAACTGGCGCTCTCCAGCTGAGACCTCGTTCTTTGGCAGGGGCCCGGATTTGGGGGTGTAGGATCTTGCCTGCAGGAACTCCAAGTGGACCCGCAGAGATAGGCAGATCTCTGGGAGGGGCCCGGGACTCCAGCAGAGGACTGGAGGCGGGGTCAGAGACCAAGCCGGTGGAAATTACAGGTGGTCCCACGTGGATAGTCAGGTCTCCTTTGTTCAGAGTTGCTCCTAGAAGTCTCTGAAGTAGGGTGGACTGTTGGCTCCACCCTCTGTCCCAGTGCTCAACCAGAGTGGCAGGACGGTAGGTGGGGTAGGGCACAGGGTAGGGGGGGGGGTAGGCTGGAGGTGGGGATGGGTGGGGGTGTATCAGAGCTCCAAGGGTGCTCTCAATGGGGACCGGAGACAGGAGCAGCAGGATCAGGGGCCAATCCAGGGAGTTCAGGCGGGGGAGGGGGAAAAAGAGGTTGGAGGGGACAGGCAGCCCCAATTGGGCCCAGTCTCACCTCTGGCCAATAGCAGGCAGAAGAGGACGAGGGCTGGGCTGGAACTTGAGAAGGTTTTGCAGGGTAGTGGGATCTCACTGGAAACTGGCGCTCTCCAGCTGAGACCTCGTTCTCTGGCAGGGGCCCGGATTTGGGGGTCAAGGATCTTGCCGGCAGGAACTCTGAGTGGACCCGCAGAGATAGGCGGATCTCTTGATCCTTTATTTTCTAAGTAATTATGTTCATCATATTTTCTTATTTTGTTGTGCCTGCCTTAGTTGGGGTTTCTATCACTGTGAAGAGACACCTTGACCACAGCGACTCTTTTTTTTTTTCTAAATTGGTACTTTATTTTTATTATATAAAAATGAAACTAATTTTTATGTAAGGGTTTTTGTATCCTCTAACATTACAGAATTAACTTATTAGCTCTGAATATTTTTTGGTTTTTTTTTTTTTTTTTACTTTATTTATTTTTTTCTTTTTTTACATATCGATCCCAGTTTCCTCTCTCTCCCTCCCTTCCTCCCTCCCACCCTCCCATCCCCCCACCACCACCCTCCTATCCCATGGTGCCATTCAGGCAGATGTGGTGCTAGAGAGGTAGCTGAGAGCATGAAGAGAGAATGCTACAGGCCTGGCTTGAGCATTTGAAACCTCAGAGCCTACCCCCACTGACACATTCCTTTCAACAGGGCATTCCTTCTAGTAATGTAGGCCTATGAGGGCCATTTTCATTCAAAACACCGTGGTACCTTACTTGTTTAATTCTAGTTGTGAAATCAGCACTCAAAGACCTATGCTTGGTTTTGAAGTTTGGCCACCTGTGTCTGGAGATGGAATTTGTACATTATTTCTTAGACTATTGTTCATGTGACAGTTGAACTGTGAGAGAACTAAGAAAAACATGTAGTTATATCTGGGATTTTGTAATTTGAAATGTATTTTAAAAAGTATTAATTTATATCGGTTTCAGCTTTCAGATGATTCTTTTGAAAATTCCAACAAAACATCTAAACAACCTAAGAAAGAAATGAAGACAAAGGACACAGTGCCCTGGTGGTTAACTGAAGATGATTTAGAGGATGGTAAAGCCTAGTTTTTTTTTGTTGTTGTTTTAAGTCATTTGACCACATGAGGGCAGTCAAGACTTAATTCTGCCACTACTGAATTACTAAATTGTGAAGAAAACTGAGGTTTGAGTTGATTTTCATATTATTTTACCTTTTTATACATTATGTAATTGAGAATATCTTTTTGCATTAAAAATATCATAAGATAAAAGTACTTTGGATACTGTTGTCAAAGATTTGGGACTTAATTAGCATTGAAGCCTTTTGTTCTTTATTTTGTCAAATATTTATCTGTAGATAAACATTTCTACATTGGTAAAACAGGACATTGACTCAAAATTTTTTCAAAACAGAAAATTCAGGAAGTGCAGAAAGTAAAAACAGAGCTTTTCTATATCAATAAAAAAAAGTAATTAAAATAAAATTACTATATTAAAGCAATTTTGTTCAACAGCCTTATAAATAGCAAATATTATTAGTGAAAAATGAGGTTAAGTGTGCTGTTTCTACTTTTTTATTACTTATTCTTTTTGTTTTAATATTTTTTCTTATTTTACATATCAATCTCAGTTCCTTCTTCCTCCCATCCTCCCATGCCCCCAACAGAGCCCCTCATCCACTCCCCACAGTGGGTGAAGCCTTCCGTGAGGGATCATCAAAGTCTGTCAAATCATTTGTGGTAGGGCCTAGACCTTCCCCCATGTCTGTAGGCTAAGTATCCCTCCTTGGGGAATGTGCATGTGCTCCTGGTCCATTCCTGCACCAGGGTTACATCCCGGTTCCACTGTCAGAGGTCCCGTAGACTGCCCACTTCTCCTAACTGACACCCACATTCAGGGAGTCTTTTGGTCCTTTGCTGGTTTCCCAGCTATCAGTCTGGGGTCCATGAGTTCCTCTTGTTCAGGTCAGCTGTTTTTGTGGGTTTCTCCAGCCTGGTGTTGACCCCTTTGCTCATCATTTCTCCCTCTAAGAAGCTACCTTAAATGCCCTTCCCTGATAATGAGATTGGTGACTACTTTATATGCCATCTTAGAGCCCTCATCCAGTAGCTGATAGAAGCAGAAGAAGCCTTTTTTTTTCTAGAAAGTACTAAATCAGCAGAAATATGCAAATACTCCAAGAGGAAAGAATAGCTCCTGGAACAAAAACACCTATCTATAACAACTAAAATTATCAGATTGTTTTTAAGAAAGTGTCAGTCTGAAGTAGTTGCAGTTAGTAAAAGAAGTGGGCAAAGCTAGACAAAGCACAAACCCTTTAGACTTCACTAGCACATGAGAGCTCCACTACACTCCACCCAGAGTATAGCCTGCCCCGTTCCCAGTCAAGAGCATCTAGCGAGTTCAAAGTGTATTCTGTGTACCAGGCACTGAGGTACTCACAAGATGGAGTCCTGCCACAGACTCAAGGAGCTTCTGAGAAACCTGTAAGCCCACCCTGAGGAGAGGGATTCATTCATTGCCAATCTTGAGTAGCTACCAGTAAACATTAAAACTGAGCAAACTCTCATAGAATATGGGGTTTTGATTTTTTTTTTTTTTTTTTTTTTTTTCTTTTCAGTTGTCGTAAGGCTAAAGGGTTGTGCCTAGGGAGTGAAACTGGAATTCTCTTGCCGATCAGTGACTAAGTTATCTGCGTTGTTGGTCTGGGCCCCATCATTGAGTTCAGTGTTAGAGCTAGAGTGAGGAGCTGCCAAACCAGCACCGCAGCTGTGGTTTGCACCCTGTCATCTGCGGGGGGGGGGGGGGATAGGTCTTGACTTTGTGTTGAAATTGCTGTGAGATTAGTAAGACCATTATTCACAGAAAGCCAGAAAAGAACTTGATTCTGGAGCCCGGGCTTTTTGTCAGGTTGATAGCTGAGGCCAACTATGACACAAATCAATCATGAAATACATTTAATATCTCCATTATATTTTAGTTTCAGAGAAAATGTGACACTCAAAAATGTTGTTAGAGACTATGATAGCCTCACCTCTCCAAAAAATATTATACATACCCTGGTGTGAAACTTTCCCAGTGTTTGAGGAATGATGACTTCAGAGCTGGTCTGGTGTTTCTTCAAATGATATTTACAAGGAATTTTGAGTTTTATGTGCTGGTTCATATTCTCTGTAGTCTGTTTCCAACGGCAAAACTGGGTAAAGGAATCTTATGCAAACTTTAAAAATGTTCCTTTTAAAACAAAGGGTACTCTAATCAAGCAGAATTACAGTTTTTCTTTTGTAAATTCCAGTTCTAGTTGTTTTTTTATTTAATATGACAGATTTGTAGCCATTATACACAAAATCAAAAAGACAGTTCCCTTGTGTTTGCATAGTGATCAGAACAGCTCCCTGAATACAGCTACCTGAATATAAATATGAATACCAACTCATAAAGACCTGTTCCTAGGACTGCTTGGTACCAGTGTGAGCTATCTGAAGACAAAGAAGACTCCTCAGCCCATCATGGACACAGAAGAGGAGTCTGCTGAAAAAGTTCAGTTTCTTAAGAGCAGTGGAACCTCCATCTTAAGTGTTGACAGCTTAGAAGCCAATGGTGAGCAGGGGGTGTGAGTTGGGCAGCCACCGTTACTGTGCTTGAGAGACTTTTGTCACAGTGAACTCAGCTATCCCGAAGCTTCTGTCACAGATCGTACAGACAGATTATATGACCTCCCCAGAGAATCAGAATCACAACTCAGAGACAGTGTCCACCTTCCATCCTTTTGTAGATCTGCTTGATGGGTGGGGTTCCTATACAACATCAATAGAAACATCCCTTAATTTTATCAAAGTTATACATGCTAAAAAAATATGTATGTTTATCATTCATTTCTATGTAGAATTAGTCCTTTCTGAGCTCCATCATAGTGACCTGGGCTTGGGGCTGGACACACTAGAAGAACAAGAAGAGAAAGAACAGTTCTTTGCCAGACTAGAGAAAGGCTTGACATCTTCTATTGATTATTCCAAGTTAAATCAAGAACTGGATTCTGATGACTCCACACAATTCAGAGCTTTACAAAGGTAAATACAATAAAAACATTAACTAATGTTTGTGCTTTTCAGTATGTCTGTATGTGCATGAATTCTAGTAGATAAGCATTCACAACAGACAAATCCCATCCTTCTTTTTCTTTTTTTTAATGTGTGGAGGCCAGGGTTTGGTGCCAGGCATCCAGGCATCTTCCTTGATTACTCTCCACTCGATTTTCTGAAACAGTGTCTTTTGTGAACCTGCAGATTACCGGTTTAGCTAGAATGGCTGGCTAGCAAGCTTCAGGGATCCACCTGTCTTCAGCTTCCCACTGCTAGGATTACAGGCACAGAGCACTGTGCATGGCTTTTTATAGTTTCCAGGACATGAACTCAGGTCTTCTTGCTTTATCTTTTGAACTGTGTTCTGTGTTCATTATACTCAAGATGTTTCTAATGTATGGACAGAGTATGTTGGTGTATAGTTGAATCTCCATTCTGCCTTTAGATACCTGAAATTTCATACCTAAAATATTATCCAAACTAATTTACTATGTCCTCACTGGGAAAGAAATTGGCTTTCTATGGTTGAAGGAAAATAAAAATCCACATTATTATTATAAACTTGGATTTTTAAAAAAGGAAGCAAAAGACAAGTTTGGTTTGTGTCTTACCTCTGTGTGGTGACTGTTGGTTATCAGAAACCTCCTTGATCTAGAAGTTCCAGTTGACTGAGCTGGCCACTCTCCCTAGAGCATAATAGACCATTGCCATTCTCCAGTCTTTGTTAAGGTCTTAAATTTCCTTAGTTTAGCCATTTGTGGAGCTGTTTTTCTTCTTACAAGTGAAAATCAGGTTGTGTTCTTATGTAGGATCTTAAGAACACAGAAGTAGAATTGAGAGAGTTGGGAGAATGATGGCATGCGGGTAACTAGAGCTGAGCCTCATCAGATGAAGTAGTACCTGGACTGGCATGGGCTGTGGGGTTCGAAGACTATAGCATTCTTAACAAGCTTCCAGCATTGTAGATAATGACAGTTAACAAGAGTCTTCAGTCAGAAACATTGAACTTTATTTCTCACAACTATACAGGTACCTGGATTTAAGGCCCTGTCCTAGTTAATTTTCTGTTGCTATCGTGAAAAACCATGACCAAGGCAACTTATAGAAGTAAGAGTTTACATGGGCCTAATATTTCAGAGGTTAGAGTCCTGGCACAGGCCTGGCAACAGGTAGTGGGACACCTAAAAGTTCACATCAGGATCCACAAGCACCAGGCAGGAAGAGCTAACTGCAAATACTGGGTTTTTAAAACCTTAAAGACCACCCTACAGACACATCTTTTCCAATCCTTCCCAAACAGTTCCACGAACTGAGGAACAGGTGTTCAAATATATGAACCTAGGGGACCGTTATCATCCAAACCACTGCAGGCCCCTATTCAGCTTCCATTAAGAGTAGATTGCTTACTGGTATATAAATGCTAATCTCATTTTTGTGGGGTTTTGTTGTTGTTTTGGCTTTCCTGTAAAGTTTGTTTAATCCTCCTCATAGCTCATAATTCCTAATCTCCAGTGAAGAAAAGCCTGGCTCATGGGATGGTGTGTGTTCATATTAAAGTACACACATATAAAATTGTGTTTGTAGCTAAGAAAAATGGCATTTCCTTTTGACTTATTTTGTGCAGCTGCAGGTTACTTTTGGGCTTTAAGAATATTTTGTTTACAAAACATTTTCCTTCTGTCTCCCTAATTTTTAGATTTGATAAAAAAATTTGGTGGATCGATGGTACTTGAGACAACATAACTTTAGGAGACTTGAAGCAAATAATGCAGCATATATTGTATGGATAGACATTAACCTGTGATGTTGCATGTTAAATGTTTTCCCAGCTGTCAGGCTAACACAGAACCAGCTGAAGATGGACATGAGAATGAGTCAGAACACGAGGGACTACCAGGTAACGTCACTGAAAAGGTAATACAGTGTATAGTACAGACATCGATAAGAACAGTCCTGAAAAGGTAAACCATGTTGTCTTGGAAAGTGCTGCGGCCAGCAGAGTGTATAGTGCCTGTGATATTATCTCAGTAACTAAGAAATTATTAGGAAGGAACTGCTGCCTCGTATATCGAAGCTGGCGGTGAAGTTTTGTGTAAAGATGGTGGGAATCCAAAGGCAGAACAGAGACCTCCAGTGTGTGCAGTGTGTGGCCCAAGCAGTACTTTTTCCCTTCTTTGAGCTTTGTGTGTGTGAGTGTATGTGTATGTGTGTGTAAGATATAGTGTTGTTTTACATTGCTAGGTAGGTAGCTTTGAAGTTATTCTGTAAAGCAGGCTATCCTTAAACTCACAATGTGGACCAGGCTTTCCTTGATCTTGGAGATCTTCCTGCTTTTGTCCTCCAAGTGCTGGTATTAAAGGTGTGTGTATCTGTTTTTATATTGAAATGGTTTGCTTTGCTGGATTGGGCTTTGCTTTTCCGACTAACAGAAAGGCTGCCTCTGGTGTGATGCGCATCTCCCCTTTACTAACTAACAGTTGTGAACTGTTTTCTGTTTTAGTTTTTTGAGATGGTAATACTGCGACATAGCTCAAGTCTGCCATGAACTCACATCAGTCCTCCTGCCTCAGCCTCTCGAGTCCTGGGTTCACATCCAGCTTATTTTCTGTCTGTTGTTTATTATTTTTGTTCTATGTTCTCCTGGTTTACTCATTGAACTCTATTCCATTCCCTCTTTTGACTTTTTAGTTAAACCATTTTGTTGTGTTTGTGTCTTAGTTGCTACAAACCATACATATTTTTACTTATTAGAGAATATTCAAATAACATTCTACTTTATATGAATTTTAATAACGTCAGAGCTATTGGTTTATTTCTGCAGGTACCAGATGCTCAGTTTCCTTTTACAGTTGGCTAGTATTTACATATGACCTGTGCACATCCCTGTGTACCTTGTCATTTCTGGGTTACTCACACCTATAAGTGGAGCATAAATAAGTGTTTATAGAATGATGACAAGGAGGAAAAGGTACGTGTCTAGTGCAGACAAGGTTTGTTTCCAGATATTTTTTATCCACAGTGGGTTGAATCCATGGGTGTAGAACCTACCAATACATAGGCACGCTGTACTGTCTGCCTGTTTTGTTTCCAAGATTTTCCCTTCGCTGGTATATTTAACATTTAGATTACAGCTGTCTAGGCTGCTCTTCTTGTATTCATCTTGTTTGAAATTGTTGAGCATCTTTGCTGTCATTTTGTAGTTGTCACCATATAATGTAGTCACCCTTGATCCAAATGCTGTTACTACTTGTTGCCCCTGCCCTGTACTCCTCATCACGGGGGCTCCATCCCTTAGGCCACTGAGAGCCCTTTAAAGACTTTTCACTCAGGGTTCCAGCTCTTGCTACTGAGCATTCACGTTCACTGGTCCTGTCTTCAGTCACATGATTTGCCTCCATTTTTTCTTCTTCCCTAAGAGTTCCTTTGAGCTTAAGTTTCTTCACTGTCCTTACCATGTTTATTTTGAGCAGATCTCTATAATGCCCCTACAGATAACAGGATTTGTTCTATTTTATGTTTTTTGGCTGCTTGCTCTAGATGCTGGATCCTATTATTTGCTTTCTTTTGTTGGGTATTATAGATTTTATGATATCTGGATTTCATTTTCTTCCTTTAAAAATGTCCAGTCTGTTCTGGTAGACAGTCAGTCCTGCAACTTGATCTGTATAAGCAGTTTCCACTTCACTTAGGGGTGTCTAGAACAGCCACTGTGGGTATTCTTTGTCTGCTATCCTATGGCATTCCCTCCTGGGGGTTCTTGTAATATTCCACAGTGATCACTGAGGGCCTACCACTCACATAGGTTGGGTTGAAAATTCTCCCTGCCTTGTGTCACCTGAGGGGACTGTCCAAGATATAGTTACCCAGTTCTACTTTTTGTTGTTTGTTTGTTTTTCGAGACAGGATTTCTCTGTATTGCTTTGGAGCCTGTCCTGAAACTAGCTCTGTAGACAAGGCTGGCCTTGAACTCACAGAGAGCCACCTGCCTCTGCCTCCCGAGTGCTGGAATTAAAGGTGTGAGCCACCATCTGGCTTAGTTACCCAGTTTAACACAACCTTCACATTAAGGGTTTAATATTTAATAATAACTCAGAAGGACCCTCATCCCCAGGGACCCATGCAGATTTATTCTGGAACTCTTTCTGCATATATACACCTGTGCCTCATTACTGTCCCACAACTTCTGCATGTCTTGGCCTCTCAGAACTCTATTTTCTCAACTCATTGAAACTGACCCACTTTCCCCCATACTCCATAAGTGTATTTACCTTCAGTGATCATTGAGCTCATAGCTCATTTGTTTCTATTTCTTTGGAATTATGTTTTCCCCTGTGAGTTTTTTGGTGTCTAAAAACAAGTACTTTCTATATTTTGTGTGGGAGTCCAGCTCCAGCAGGTCAGAGAAACTGGAGAGAAGATGTGGAGTCAGCAGCTATGTAAACACAGAGGAGACTCACCTGAGGAGGAAAACTTAACTCTTTTCTCATCTTCACTTTTTCTTAACTCTTTTATACCATCTAAGACAAAAGTCTCTATGCAAGAAGGAGATCACCTCACAACTGCAAGTTACATATTTTCCAAAAAAATTAAAATCTTTACATAAGAAGAAATCATATTATGATCACAAGTTACATATTTTTTAGAAACCCACATGTAGTTAAACATTTTTCTTTGTATTAATTTTCCCATTATAATACCTTCACTCCAAAACAATGATACTTTTATTGTTGCTGATTAACAAAGTTTTAAGTGAGGCAAATATATTTCCGCCAGTTCCTTTGTACCTCTGTGTGTGATTTCAGTGTAGCAGATTCCTAACCTATTTCTACAATACAAAACTTTACTCAGGTGATCTAGCTAACCATCCATTTTTCTTTTCTTTTTCTATAAACTACAAGACCATAGAACTCAGACCTAACCTTGGGTACTGGGTTATCAGCCTGTTTTCCCACAGGCAGAATTCATAGATCTATAATGCATGAAGCTTACTTGTTTTCATTTTCCATTCTCAGCAAATCTCACATCTCTAAGCATTATTGCTCTGTAAAAATCACATTCATTATGATTTGCATGTAAATTGCCCAGTGAAGAGTGGGAATTTTCCCATGAAACGATCACACTAGACTAGATACAGTGGGATTCTTTCACATAGTAAACACACCATGTCAGTAAGAATATGATAGCAGCAAGCAGGAGAAGGCACCACAGAAGCAAGGCATTCTGGAGATAAGCCCCCAGGTCTTTGCCTCTTGTGGGTGGGGGTGTCCTCATGGAGCCGTGCTAACCAGTGAGCTGCACTTCATAAATGCCTTTGCTGACCACAGCTTCTCTGACATCCCACTGCCAGTTTGGTCTAATTGTTCACAATGGAATTTAAATTCACCTCCTTCAATTCTAGCATGACAGAGGATGTTTTTCAGAGTGCATTATACTCAGTTTACAGATAAATTTGCCCATAAAGGATGGCAAACAGCATTTAGACTTTAATTGTCTGTGGTCTATGATATCTGGATTTTAAGGACATATTCTTGTTTTGAAAATTATAATTCTGAAGTTAAGCATGGAGAATATTTTGAATGTGTAATATACTGCAGGTCAGCGGTCTCAGTGTTGCCATGGTTGGCGAAACTGGCTACTGACCCAGGTGGTTCTCCTAGAATGACCACACTTTGGTCAGCGCCGTCATTTTTACGTCAGCTTAATTCACTCTGATATTTCTGAACTCCCTGCCATGTTGTTTTTTTCCTTCCCTGTACTGTTCCCTTTCATTCCTGTGCCACTTACTAGTGACATTTTCTTCTTATTTCACACCAACTCTATTCATGACAGATTCCTAGGAAAGAGCCTGGTTATTCATTTCTTCTTAAATGGTAATATTTTCCTATAATTTGTTCTGTTACTAAATGAAAACATTAAAGTGTAGTTTGGAATAATGCACATTAGTAATTTGCATAGAAGGAGGGGCGTACTTGCGTGGCATGTCCAAGTTCATTTCTGCACTGCAAAGAGAAAAAAGAAGAAAAAGTGATATGTGGCTTTATTAACTTTTAATGTAGATTAAGCAAAACTATCTATAATGCTGCCAATCAGAGCTATTACACATCACATTTGGGCTAGATTGACCATGTTATATATGAAGTACTCCTTAAATACTGCTTAGTTTTCAGATCTCATTGTTCCTCGAGATAAGCGCTGTAAGACCAGGGGTTTTGTGATGAACCACCCATCCTTCTGAAGCTGAAGTAGTGGGTAAAGATCCAAGCCTTCTATTCCAGGCCACAGTCTTAAGACTGCTTCTACTTATCTCTGTATACCCACACTGTAACCCTTGCATTCTGAAAAGGGGTTCCTCTCCTTTAACCCACTCGTCTCAATCAGTCTCTTGATTTAAAAATAATAAACAACTTAAAAATTGATGAAAGAGATGTTGGCCATAAAACTGCTGCCCCCCCCCCATGAGTAGACTGATTAGATCTGTTAACTTGAAGATGCCTTTTTCTCCCACTGTAAAGACACTAAGATATATTTAATCCAGGAGCTTCCCACCAAGAACTGTCCAGGAAGGAAGAACAGCAGAAATTATATAGGGCCAGTATTTATGTAAGGGACATGTCAAAGTACAGAAAAGAAAATAAACCCAAGATGGTCTTCATTTTAAATTGAACTTATTCAAGGAGGAAGAGGAGGGGAGGGAGAAGGAAGAAGCGAAGGGGAGGGAAGGGAAGGAAAGGGAAAGAGAGAGGTTTGGAAGGGAAAGGAAAAGACAAGCTCCTGGGAGGTCCCTTTGTGCTAATACCTAAGTAGGTTGTTTGGAGACATCATCTTTCTAAGCCAGTAATCCTTTCTTGATATTTAACTTTGACAGTGTGATCTTTCTGTTTCTAACAAAAATTTCCTTCAGAAACATACAGTGATGATTTTGAAGATGCAGAGGATATTGATGTACCTTTGATTACTAAAGATGAAGAGACCCATCCCAAAGAAAATTCAGAGCCAGGAAAAGTGCATGTTCTCACACAGGTATATATCAGTGTTTTGACTGCTTCTATCAGCTTGGCTAACTCGCCATGTGAAGACTTGAGCTACAGAGTTCTTCATGGCCTTGTTCATTGTTAACTTAAAGTCTCAGGGTGTTAGTATAAATTAAACAGTCATAATAGTTGATGCTTCTATATAGGATGGCCTTTGCTGTATAATTTCCTTAAGGTAAGCTTTAGCAATTGAACACAATTAAATGTTGTTGCTACTTTTCAGTTGGGTTATGAACTGACATCATTGTAAGACTTGACCTTGTAGAGGCTGTAAATAGCCGGTCTCTGAATTGCTAAGAGTGGCAGTGTTAGTATCTGGAACTCACGTGCTTACAATAAGGAATCACACTGCTCTGTTCACATCTACCCTGCTGCTTTGTAATTCTGTCATCCCTCAGTTCTTCCCAAGGTGTGCCTAAGGCTACCATTGAATAATACCATTACCTATACACTGTAATTTATCAGTTAACCTATATAATTGTTGCTAATTGGATCATTACTATTTATTTGATCTTGATCTGAACAGAACAAGGTGTTTTAAGCTTATATAAAACCATAGATTCAATAGAAATACTTTGAGATTATACATAATGCTTTGATTTTTTAAATTTATGTATTTCCTAATATGTATGTATGTATGTCACCCAGACTGCAAGAAGCAAGTTGATTTTTAAATTAATGGAAAAATTAATGTGACCATGACATCTTTAGAAATTAATGTTTGAAATTTGGTGATCCCAATACTTTATGAAAATTAATAAAGAGCATGAGATTAACATTCATTAAGAAGGTATACTCTGCATAATAATGTGCAACTTTCCCAGAAGAGCTTAGTAAAAATCAAAATAATAAACTAAAGTTGTTACTGTAGGAGACCCTGCACTCTGCCTAGCCAAGAAGGGAATCAAAGACAGTGCTCCTTAAAAACCTTAGTATTGAAGAACTGCATCTCTCTTACCATTTGGTAGCATGCCTGTCTGAAGTTGTGTCCTTCAAACAGTAGAGGAAATGGGGAATTGGATGTATATGTGGCAATTCATTTTTGAACAATTAATTGATAATGTTATATTGTAGGCTATGTAATTGTGTCACATAGCCCTCTGACTTTGATATTTAGAAAACAAAAGGCAGAATTTTTTATCACAGTAGATGAACTGGTAGCCTCTGGGTACTTTAGGGAAAGCTTCTTAAGGCCTAAAATAGTTTTGGTAATTGTCCAGGTTTAGAAGAGACAGGTAGAAGTTCTCTACTGCTGAGCTCAGACGAGTGTTGGTGAAAGAATCTAGAAAACAGGGTTCCTTATCTTCTCATAGCTCCTGCTTCTCAGAACTGTGGTTATTTCCTATAATTTTGCCTTCAAAATATGTAATTTTCTTCTTTTAACTTAGGAGGAAGAGAAAACTGGCATGCTGGCTAATGGTAACTATTAATTGGCAAGTAATTAGACTATCCAGAAATCTCATCTAAGTAATTTTGAATTAAATGTCTTTATTTTGAATGTCTCTGTAAGGAATTAAAATTCATAACCTCTCTTGATCATTTGTCCTTTATGCCTATCTTGAACCCATCCTGTTGCATTTGAAATATTTCCTTTTCTATTTTCCTGACATGTAAATATAGATACACCTATAGATTTGCCTATTACCTTGTACATACTACTAAGATCATGCATGTGGAACACACATATGTTGTGCACTAATATCACATATTAAATGTTTGCTTTTTAGCATTGCACGTGCCTGATTTTCTTGGCCCAAAAGTCACACCGTTTCCTACATCCCTTATGATCTGTTTATGTCCCTGCAGTTGTGCTGCTCGATTCTTTAGACTCTGTTGAGGATGTCGACCTTGCTGATGAAAGTAAAGTAGCCCCTGAAGCAAAGGCCCGCCCAGAAGTGACTGATGGTGAACTAGCTGGGACAGGTAACGTATATGAAAACTTGACTCTTCTCTAACTATAGAATGCTCTGTGACTAACTGGCTTCATTTCGAGAAAAAGTCTATGAAATAACCATTCAAGACATTCAATCTCATAGGTTGAATACGCTGTCAATACAAGAGGAGCACTGTAGGTGAGGGTTAACTACTAGTTGTGCCCATCCATGGTTTTCTGTTCAAATCACCATGTGTAGGAGAAGTGGACGTGGGTCTTGACTGTGCTTTATGTAGCACCCTCCTTAGGTAAAGGCTAGGTTACGCCCTTAATTCTGAACTATTTTCCTTAGCTTGTAACAGTTTTGTGATAATGTCCTTTCAAACTGTAAAGCAGTGGAACCATCACTGCCAGTTGGATCTTCCATGAAATTAGGGTATTGCCAGGCAGCATATTTTGTTTTGATGTAAAATATAATATATTGATTCCCCACATGGGTAGCTGCAAATGGGAACTCTTTAACTGGCTTGCTTTGGGAGCATGAATGGCATGGCGCATGTTGTCATAGTTCAACTTTCAGGAGTCAGTTCTCTTTACACTGTAGGTTCTGAGGATCAAACTCAGACATTAAGGCTTGTATAGCATAGCTTTCACCCACTGAGCCATCTCATTGGCCCCTGGCTTGATGAATTTTTAAACAACACCCCCACATAATCACCATCTAGTTCAAAAAAAGACCTGGTCAACATCTTCCAAGGGTTATTTCTTGTCTAGACTTATTTCATATAGTTTTCCTCTTCAAATGGAAAATACAAAAATCTCTGAGTGTGCTGCTACATGCTTGTAATCCCAGCATTCAGTAGGTAGGCCAGACAGGAGGATGGCAAATTTAAGGTCAACCTGGGCTATATAACAAGACCCAGTCTTAGAGTTGACAAGTAAGGGTATTTGCTGCCAAGCCTAACTACCTAAGTTCAATCCACAGAACCCACATGATAGAAAAAGGGGTGGGGGAACGACATGAGCAGGTTGTCCTCTGATCTCACATGCACCATGGCATGTACACATACACACAAATAAATAATGTTTTTAATTTTAAAAAGACCAGCTCTCAAAACAACAGATTAAAAAAAATACTTAAAAGATAGACATTTCATCAAGACATAGTTTTGATACACACGGCGAGTATCTCCTACGATGACATGTTTACAGAGCACGTCTCTTGGTCTTACTACTATTGCCTTATGTAACCATGTTACCTCCAAGCTAGCACAGTCTGTCTCCTTAACGTTTTTTGGTGAGCAGTCATGCGCACTTTTAAAAGATGAGGGTAGAACTACAGCTTTTCTGGTCCAGTATACTGTAGCTTTGTGTTAGGTGGGGGGAATCATCAGCTGAGTGTTAAGTTGTGCATGGAGCAAGTGAAAAAAGCAGAAGTTATTGCATGATTTCTGCAGAGTACTGCAGAATTATGGAAGTGGCACACTTAATTGTGCAAATGGGCCTTTATTACAATTTTAAATTTCAAAGTAGGATTTCAGCCAAACATCTGTGGGATTTGTGATTTTCTCTGGAGCACTGATGTTATAAGACAATAGGAAAACCACTGCCATGGGCTATAAAGAAAGACTCAGAAACCAAAAGTACATTACTGAAAGTAATAATATATTTGTTGTTCTGTTTAAATAGTTTTGAATCTGCAGTGATTCTTTTAGTCGGTTACCAGCAGTGCAATGTGACTTTGTTGCATAGACTTGTGTCCTGTTCCCAGCTCTGCTGCTTATGAGCTCTGTGACAACTAGTGACTTTATCCTATTTCCTCCTCTTTAAAATGAGGCCTTGCAAGGGTCAGCCAATGAGGATGCAGCATAGTACACTGTTAAGAATCAGTGATCATGGCTCAGTGAGATGGCCCAGAGGTAAAAGTTCTTGCTGTGCAAGCCTGAAACCTGAGTTCGATCCTCAGAATCCATGTAAATGTGGAGGGAGATAACCAATTCCACAAAGTTGTCTTCAACCTCTATATACAAGCTGTGGCATACACCTGACACATTTTATACACACACAATAATACATAAATTACTTTTAAATTAAAAACAATCCAAAGGGATCTTTTGTCAGCATCATGAAGTCCTTTGTGGTAGGCTATGTGTTAGTAAATATAAAAGTGAGGTTTTCCTAATGCAAGGCTGGATTGTTTTCATTCATTTTCACTTGTCTTCCAGACAGGTGTCACATTTTTGTGTCATGGATTCGTAGCTGGAATAGTTACCCTTTGAGGCTAGGCCTTTTCTCTGCAAGGGACAGTTGATGTCTTTTCTATAGTTGAAAGTATAGGAAGCTTTGGACTTGTATAAAATGACTACGTGGAATCCTCGCCTTTTCAGTGTAAAGCAGAGAAGTGAGCCTTCTTACTTACATAACGTTCATGAAGAAAGGTCATTTGCATGATTGTGGGATGATTTTTAATGTGCTTTGAATTGACAAAGGACCTTTCCCTGTTCTGGTTCTAAGCAGACTTACTTATCTCTAGTTCCTAATGTTTATTCATTTCACTTTCTACACATTTAGTTATTTGTTGATCTAAGACAGTGGTTCTCAACCTTCCTAATGCTGTGACCCTTTGATACAGTTCCTCTGTTGTGGTGTACCCCCCCCCCAGCCATAAAATTATGTTGTTGCCACTTCATAGCTGTTTTTGCTACTGTTATTAATTATAATGTAAATATGCAGGATATTCCACATATGGCCCTGTGACCAGTCGTGACCCCAGAGGGGTCTTTATGCAGAGGATGAGAACCACCGCTCCGGTTCTGACACATTACACCTATTAAATTGGGCATGTGTGTTGAGAGCTGCTGGGCCATCCACTCAGCATTCAGGTCATTCTATAGTGTATGTAGCAGCTCACCAGTGACCTCATATTTATAGAAAATGATAGTGCTTTATACCCTTTATTTTTTTCATAAAATGTATTTCCTGAGTTGTTCCCCTGTGGTGTGGGTGTGACTGGGGGGGGGGGCAGGTTCACTGCTACATAAAAAAGACAGCAGAACAGGCCTTTCCCTCCGATCATCTTCAAGGAACCCTGTTCTTTACCTGTTGGAAACTCTGCTCTAGTAGAATCCTTCATTTGTAGGCTTTTTCTCTTTGAGATATTTATTATATACTGTATGTGTTGCAAATAGTCTTGGTGACCTGGAACATTAGAAAGAAGCCTCACTGTGGGCATCACTACAGGGTACCATCATGACACTCATTTCCTCCTGCATTTTGAAGCATTTATCTAATTATTTTTTTAAATCAGTAAAAGCCTGGGAGTCACATATCAAGGTAAAAACCTGATTGATCAGAGAAGCAGTGACTCTCTCTCTTCTCTCTCTCTTCTCTCTCTCTCTCTCTCTCTCTCTTTTACCCTCCCTCCTTCTCCCACACCCCCTTAATCCAATAACCAACCAGAGAATCTTTCTAAGCCCATCCCTACGACTTCTTGTGTCTCTCTGTATGTCCTGGCTTCTCCAAAACCTCCATGGCTAATTTTAATCAACTAGTAGCTAGCACCACCATTTGATTCAAGGTAAACTTTATTGGCAGTGTGAACATGCAGTCAGAATATCCTACAACAACATTAAGTGTGGGGGGAAAAAAATCCCTTACAAGCTGTGTTCTGTATAGTTTCTGTTATGTTTAGAACATGAAGTTATATAAACCATTGGCGGGGCGGAGGTTGGTTTTGGGTTGTTTTGTTTTGAGACAAGGTTTCTCTGTGTGTACCTCTGGATGTCCTGGAACTCACTATGTAGATGAGGCTGACCTAGAATTCACAGAGATCCACCTGCCTCTGCCTCCCAAGTACTGGGATTTTAGGGATGTGCCAACAACACCAGTCTAATCTTGGTGTGTGTGCTTATGAACTATTTTATTGTTAAGCATTAATCATAAATGACAAAAGAGGAGACTGGCCACTCTGTATTTTTCCCATTCTGTGGCTTATTCTTTAATTTTGAAAATCCACAGTTAAAACTGTAAAATAGTAAGAAAAGGTTCATAGAAGTATTTGGTCATTATTCTCAATAGTTTTTTCCCAAAATTTGTCAGCTGTCGAGAAGAAGAGTACTAGGACGGGAAGAATAAGAGGTGACATCAAGCTTTCTGTTCTGAGTAACTGAGTAAATAATTAATGGTACTGTTAGCTAAGAATAGGAAATACTGGGAGCAAAACACATTTTGGTGAGGAATATAAGGAACGTAGTTGGAAGTGTATTGTCTGATTGACTTTACAAGACAATGCAGATGTCTTTTAGAGAGTTTGGTGTTCAAAAAAGTGATGACAGAAATGTAGATTTGTTAATACTGAAGCAGGCATATAGGTAAGTTTAAGGGGCTGGATAAAATTAGCTCTTTTGATATTCAGAAGGCCCTGGGTTCAGTCTCCAGTGCTTTGTAAGACAAGTGTGGTGGTGCATGCCTTTAATTCTAACACTTGATCAGAAGTTCAAAGTCATCTTCAGCTGATTAGTAAGCTCAAGGCCAGCCTAGAGTACATGAGACCCAGTGGGCAAATATACCTGCCATGCAAGCCGGTGCCTCAATCTCTAGAACCAACATAGGTGGACAGAACAAACTCCACGGCTGTCCTTTAACTCCACTGTGTAATTTGTATTTGTGTATACACACCATAAACATCCAATGATAATAATAAATAAATAATAATAATAATAATTTACAATAACGGAGAAGGAGGAAGAAGAATTGACTTTTTTTATTCATTATTATTATTTGGTTCTAGTTGTTTGAGACAGGGTTTCTCTGTAGCTTTGGAGCTCTGTAGATCAGGCAGGCCTTGAAATCATAGAGATCCTCCTGCCTCTGCCCGAGTGCTGGAATTAAAGGCATGAGCCACCAAAAAAAAGTATTCAGAGGGTTTTAAAAGAGGACTGGAGGTAGACCACTTGATGGGCATTGGTAATAAGAAGTGGAAAAGCACTGATTGGAGTGGTGGGGATTACAAGTAGAAGAAAAGGTATGAAAAAAAGAAACAATGACCAGGTAGAGGATAATACCAGATGTCTCGGGAGCTCAGAAAAGGACACACGACTGGGCTTGGTTTTGAATCACAGCAGCCTCAATAGGATGATGGAACTGGGTACTTTGCAGAGTTGGAAGAGAATGCTTGTAGTAGAACCATTACAGACTGACATTACCACATAGCAGAGTGGGAATGGGCATGGTAAGGCAAGGACCGCATCCTTGTGTCCATTTAGGAAGTGTGAGAACAGTTTTACCTGGCACAGAGAGGCTGGTTAAGAACCATGAGTTGACAATTACCGCCTCAGGACTGCCTTGACTTGCCATGACTTCATACCGATAGCCTAGTTAGGTTTCTGCTAGACTCTGCTTTTATAATATTGCCATGGTCCTGCAGCTTTGTTCATCTTTCCTAAGAGACTAAGGAATGACTTCAATGTTTCGTCTTCCTCCCATGCCTATCACCTTGTGATACCTAGGAATTACATTTATTTCAACAGGTGTTTCTTATGGACAGAGCAGTGGTGACACAGAAGCCCTACATCGGGCTTACTGTCACATAGCTCATTCTCTGGGAGATACAGATGAACCAAGAGTCAGGGCTAGCACTGTGGAAAATATCAAGAGCTCAGTAAAAGATCATCTTCAAGAAAATGAAGAGTCTTCAAAGAACGTCTCTACCACAGAATCTGGTAAAGGCTGACAGCTTTAGGAGAATGATGATGGGTGGATAATGAATCGACAGAATGTCTCTGCTATTTACCCCCTTAAATAGTGTTGACTGAAGTATATATTGTATACATTTGCTGTGGTGATGACTTCTCAGTGGTTGACTATAAAGGGCATGATCAAATACAACCCCACCTGGACTAACTCCAAAGTTAGAGCTAAACTCAGAATACAGTTAGTTCACCTTCTAATGTGCCTTAACCAAACTGAGCAACAAATCTGGCATACATGTATATGTGTATTAATGTTTTTTAATAGAAACTAGTATTTTGAGATTTAAAAAAAAAACTCACATAGCAAGTGTGTGTGTTTGTGTGTGTGTGTGTGTGTGTGTGTATGTGTGTGTATGTGAGTTCTAAGTATAGATAATGGAGTTGTATTTTATAAGTTCAAAGAAAGGGTTCCTGGTACAATTTTGTGATACAAACTTCATTTATTGTGCCTGCCATTTTGTTAACTATACGAAGTAGAGAAACTGTTGATTTTTGTGGTCCTCCATATGTAATTTAAGCAATTTAGATAATATTTTGGTTTCTAATTGAACTTTTCTTTCATTTTAGATCTGCCCACAGTAGAGGAGCTGATGAAACCCATCAGGATAGACTCCTACGGGGTCAGTGGCTTTGACTTGCCGCCCATCAGGTATGAGGTTTGGGCAATGCCCTGACCAGGATGGTTGCTTAGTTGGGTCGTGCTTACTGTTTCAATTCTTGTTTTGTCACGGCAATTACAACCATCTGTTCTGTGGAACCATTCCTAGTAAATGATTAATGAAAAATACAGGCTAGCATGTGTCTACCGGTGAGCCTCTGCTCTTTTTTTATATTTATCCTCTGTCCATCAAAATTTCCCTAGTACTAAAGCAAAAGAGCTGCTAAGAAAGTTGGTGCCATTAATTAGTCCTAATGCTTTCACTGGAAATATGATTCATTCTTCGGTGGTACATGGATGGTTGATTCACCATCAGAGGAAAATTAATTGTAGTTTTATATGAATCATAGGTTTTCTATTTTATGACTGAGTTAGTTCTGACTTAGTCACCAGCTGACCAATATCTCACAGGGTGAGCTCTGAGGTCATGGCTTTGTGAGATCCTCCAGCTCCAGTGTTGAGTGGCAGTGTGTGCAGGATTCCGTCATTCATCAGCATGGGATAATAATCACAGTAACCTGTCACATTTACAGTATCACATCCTCTGCCTCATGTATAACATGTAAGCAGCCATCTTCAGACTCCTCCCCCAAAGGTGACTGAATTTACCGAATCTTAACTAGAGCCAGATGCTGCTGATGCTTAACATACTTTACATGATAGTAGCAGACAGGAGTTGCGTATTCTTTATGTGCGTTAATTCAGCCCTGATTGATTAATTAATTAATTCAGTAGCTCTGAATGTAGTCCTTAGTTCCAAGACAGGAAGATTGAGATCCCGGGTCATTTGTTTATAATCATAGAACACAGTCAGCTCATGTGTTTCGCCACCTTGCATTGTCCAGTCTGGGATTCCATGAAATATTTTCCTGAAATCACCACCGTCCCATTTGTGTTTCCAGATATATATCTGTTTAAAAGCTGAGAACAAACAGCTCTTGTAGAGTAGGCCCTGTTTTTGGTTATTCAAGGTATATACCCATAAAAAGAATTGCTGGATCACACAGAAATCTGTTTTTACTCTTTGTGGTGAACTGAAACTCTTTTTAACAGGAGCAGTATTGTTTGACATCCCCACCAGTAGTGCACACGGGTTCTAGCCCCTCCATCCTCAACACCACCAATGGTTTTCTGGTAGCCACTAGCCACTATAATGGAACTTTAGGGATTGTCTTAGGGTTACTATTGCTGTGATGAAACATCATGACTAAAAGCAACTTGGGAAGGAAAATGTTTATTTGGCTTACACTTCATTGCTCATTATGGAAGGAAGTCGGGACAGGAACTCAAGCAGGACAGGAACTTAGAGGCATGAGCTAATGCTGAGGCCATGAAGGGCTACTACTTACATGGCTTGCTCAGCCTGCTTTTTTAATAGATCCACCAGCCCAGACATGCCCCACCCACAGTGGGCCCTCCCTCAAACATTAATTAAGAAAATACCCTACAGACTTTACCTGCAGCCCCATCTTATGGAGACATTTTCTCATTTGAGGCTCTCTCCTCTCAGATGAGGGAGCTTGTGTTGGGTTGACATGAAACTATCCAGCACACAGATGTGCTAAAGGAAGTAAGTCAACTATGAAAAGATAAACACCAAATGCTCCTGTGTGTTTGAACTACATGAAATAGTAGAATATCATAGAAGAAAAAGAAGAAAGGCAGGAGCTGCAGTGGAATGCAGTGGTATGCAGCTTGGTGGGGGTTGTTGGGGAGGGTGTTCCTTGATGCTTGTAGAGTTTCACCTTCACAAAAATCAAGAGTATGGGGATAGATGCAGTAAAGTGTGTTCAACGTTATAAACAGATTTTATCACTGAAATGTACACTTACAATGGTTAAAATTGTAAATTTTATGTCAAAAAGTGTACCACAAAAAAATAATAAACATAAAAATACCCTGAAGACAAATATAATTACATAATCCAAGGAACAATAATTTCAGAAACGTCAATAGTGCCACCATTAGCACATTTAAACCTTTAGCAACTTAAACTGCTTTAACACAGTCCTTGAAGTTCTAGTAGTGGGCCATCAGACAGCTATTTCTCACTCACACATGGGTCAGTGGGGCTGGCGCGGGCTCTGCCCTATGTAGGCATTCAGTGTCCAGTTTCTGTCATCAGCTGTCGCTTTAAGGCTATAGTGTTATCCAGCCTGCAAAGCAGTGACCTGTCACTTCAGCTTGCATTCTGTCAGTCAGAACTAGCACTCTCAGGAACCCAGCTGAAGGGAGGTGGAAAGTGTGATTTGCTTGCATGCCCAGAAAGAAAAGCGTATTAGTTTGGTAGTATCTAATTAGTACCCTTCCTAATAACCAGATTGCTGATGGCTGTCATTTTTCTTTATACAAAGCCCTGCTCAGAGCTCTCACCACCTGAAGGGCCATAATATCCAAGTGAAGCACGGCCCGTTCCAGTTTGGGTGTGATTCTCTACCAGTAAATGAATGAAGAGACAGGCAGTGTGCTTCCTTACCCCCACCCAACACACACTAATGGAAGCCACTTTGTTCATAAATGGAAAGTCTGAGGGAAATAGAGTAGTCAGTGTTGCCACTTAGAAAAGACCAGAAGGACCATGTAGAAACCTTAAATAATGGGACTGCCCAGACTAGGCCGATCTACTTTTCTAGAACTACTTATAAATATACTGCCCTGGATAGCTGCTGCTCCTGTTCTTTGAAGGATTTATCTAAGGTTATCAATATTGGGTTTTGTGAGGAGGGCATGCCATGTTGGGTGACACGCTTTTTTCTCAGCAGGTAGTTTTATGACACCCCATTTTCTGGCTCTGGAGAGTTGTTCTGCTTTGATTTACTTTGCTTTTGAACAGGATTGTGGCCTTCTAGTCTGTTTGGATCCAGTCAGCTCCATGTACTAGCAACTAGATTCCAAGTTCTTTGCTAGATAAAATTTTAAACCTCAAATACTTGAGGTATTTGGTTCTTGACACTCCGGGAACAGTAACCCCATGTGACGAACACACAGGATCTGTGGCCCTTGTGAGAAACATTTAGCAGCCTTTCAATTAAGAAATGTAATGAAGTTCTATTTCTCATGTCATCTTTCCAGAGTGAGCCCTATTGCTGATGTCTAGATGTGAAGAGTAAACCCAATGGGTCTTCAGTTTCTAAGTATTCCTTGTCAATTCCCTAGAAGAGCCATTCTGTCCTGAGTTCATCTGGCTTCTTGTAATATCTTGCTGAAAGCAGCCAGTAGTAGCCAGCACTTAGTGTCTTATGTCCTCTCCAGCCACTTATTCCTCTTACTGTTCCAGATGTGGCATGTGATCCAGCTCATATGAATTTGGAAGTGGCAGATTAGCAAATGTTTTGCACTAAAAACGCCCACCTCTGGGTAGCCTCTGCTATCAGTTTCCTGGCATAGTATAAAAATAGTAGTCTCTTAAACTATTCTTCAATCACAGATCATAAAATATTCATATTTTTAAAGCCCTCAGATTTACTGATATTTAGCCAAATATAAGACTTTCCCTGGAGATACATTTCCCTAATAAATAAATAAATAAATGTAGCCAGGCATGTTAATGCACGCCTGTAATCTCAGCACTAAGGAGGCAGCAGCAAGTGGATCTCTGAGTTTGAGGACAGCCTGGCCTACAAAGCAAGTTCTGGGGCAGCCAGGGCTGTTACACAGAGAAACCCTGTCTTGAAAAAACAATAAAAACAAATGCATGTTTATTTAATAAGATATTGGGGTAAAAATTATTGTGTTGCATTAAAATTATCTGTAATTAGTCAGGCATAATGGCATGTGCTTATAATCTCAGCACTCGGAGGTTGAGGCAGGATGATCGATCATTTTCTACTAGAATGTAAGCTAGCAGGCAGCCTGGGCTGCTTGAGACCCTGCCTCAAAAGAACAGAAAAAAAAAGTATAAACAGTTACAGGATAACCTGTGAGTGTCCTAGGCTAACTGATAGTGTAGTGTGCTGTAGTGGTGGTGTATGCCATATTTAACACTGTAACATCATTTGAATAGTTACGGCTCATATGTCTGCAAATGTGGGTGGATAACTGAGGAACGTGAGCAATTATGCTACATACTGTGCTCTACTTTGTTCTCTAGCCTTAAGGAAGCAGCTGACAGTAAAGAAGGGGAACCTGTGAGCTCTTTCCTCCTTAAGATGAACACCAACACTATGTCTCAAGACCCCACTCACGTGAGCCAGTTTCCCCACAAACACCATGAGAGCATGACTTTACACAAGACAGCGGATGAGAGCATGGGCGGCGGCTGTCCCGCAGCAGCTGCTGTGGAAGAGCGCTTGGACAAAATGTACCTTGAGATTTTGAAGAAGAAAACAACTGTTAACCCTTCACTAAAACCTCAGGGTGACAAAACTAACCAGGTAAGATGTGCTTGAGCTAGGGGGCTGATGACATCACCTGTGGGTGACGCTTCCTGCCAAAACTTCCAGTCTCCCAGGTTGAAAGTACACCATAGTCCTCAACCCCTCTGGCCCCTGCAACCCTCTCTCCTTCTGCCCTCTGTACGGTTCCCTTGGCTCACTCCAGTGTTTGTCTGTGGGTCTCTGGATGACACCTCTCTGATGACAGTTGGGCTAGGCACTGATCTATGAGTATAGCAGAATATCCATTTCCTCTTACCTGTCCTTTCTCTTTCCTTTTAGTAACTAGTTTAGAAAATGGCCTCATTACTTCATTGCTCATGGCTCATCTTCCTCATGTCTACACCATAGGGGAGTTGGCATTTTATAGGACTGTGATTAGCAACTGTGGCAAAGTGCATTCTTCATTGTTCCTTCTTTCTCTGCTTTTGTCTTTCTGCTTTATGGTTCCCATGGTTCCAGTATTCTATTTTTACTTTCTAATTTTGTATTTGCTATAAAGCGTCTCATTTATATGGAGTGAGGCAGTGTGCTGTATTTATTGTTTTTTTTTTTTTTTGTACCATCTTCACGTGGCTTTTTTATTACTTTGTTTTTTTCTTTTTTTTTTTCTTTTTTTATTTATTTTTTTATTTAATTTTATATAACAAAGTCCAATTAAATGAAAACAAACATTTATACACAATATTTGGGAATTTGGGCGTCGTTCTTTCCAAACTACTTCCTGCTGGTAAGGGGCGCTGTCTTGGGGGATTCGAAGAAGATTCAGATATCCTAGCTGTAGTCTGTAGGGCTGTTTTGTCCAGCTGTTTGGAATGTAGGATCAGCTTGTACTCTGTTTCAGGCGGTCTGGTGTGATCAAACCACATTAGTCTGGAAGGAATCCACATCTTTTCATTTTCTGTGGAAACAAAAATAGAAATACTTTTCCCCAGTAACTTGTTCTTCAACTTAAATTTTGGAGTCAAAGCGTTTTTTTTTTTTTTTTTTTTTAATTTATTATTTTACATGTCGATCCCAGTTCCCTCTCCCTCCCTCCCTCCCCTCCAGTCCTCCCTCCCTCCTTCCCTCCCTTTTGCCCTCTCTACCCTCTCCCATGCACTCTAAACACCCTCCCCTCCCAACCCCCCACCAGAATACCATATGTAGGGGAATGCCATCCAGTTGGGGTCATGTAGATGTGACAGGTCCTGTGAAGTAGGGACTAGGGCTTCTCTCCTATCTCTAGAATGAGGCAGTTATCCCTCCATGGGGGGATATGTTTGCAAAGTCCTTTTGTGCACCAGGGATACATCCTGGCTCCACTGTCTGAGGTCTCTTAGACTGCTCAGACCTTCTGGCTGAGACCCATATTCAGGGGGGTCCGAGTCAGTCCCCTGTTGGCTTCCCAGCTATCAGTCTAGTGGCCCTTAGCTCCTCCTTGTTCAGGTAAGCTGTCTCTATGTACTTCTACCGCATGGTCTTGTCCTCTCCATCTGCTTCTGGGTTCTAGTTCGACTCAGTGTTTATGTATGGGTGTTTGCTCCTATTTTCAACAGGCATTAGTTGAGGGCTCCATGGAGAAGTTAGTTGTTGATCTCACTCTCCGGGAAGGGCATTTATGATAGCCTTTCCACGGAAGCTGAGATTGTTAGTTGGGAGCAGTCTTGTAGTTCCCTCGACCTTTCTTTGTGTTCAACTTTATCTTCAAACCAATATTGGCTCCCTCTTTTATGTTCTCTGTCTCTGTCTCTGTCTGTCTCTCTCTGTCTCTGTCTCTGTCTCTCTCTCTCTCTCTCTCTCTCTCTCTCTCTCTCTCTCTCTCTCTCTCTCTCTCTCTCTCTCTCTTTCCTATTTTCCATTCCTAACCAGGCTCAATCCTCCTGGTCGCACATGCCTTCCTCTCCTCCCTCTCATTTTCTCCTACTTCTCTCTCCATTCGCTGTCCTCCCCCACTTTACCTGAGCTCTGGGGGACTTGTCCCTTCCCAGTTCTGTGAGGGACTTTATATGAATCTCTTAGAATACAACTTGTATCCTAGTTCCTCTGGTGATGTGAATTATAGGCTGGTGATCATTTGATCTAGTTCTAAAATCCATATATGAGTGAGTACATACTGTGTTTCTCTTTTTGTGACTGGGTTACCTCATTCAGGATGGTTTCTTCAAGTGCCATCCACTTGCCTGCGAATTTCAAGATACCATTATTTTTTTCTGCAGAGTAGTATTCCATTGTGTAGATGTGCCACATCTTCATTAACCATTCTTCAATTGAGGGGCATCTAGGTTGCTTCCAGGTTCTTGCTATTACAAATAGTGCTGCTATGAACATAGTTGAACAGATGTCTTCGTTGCATTGATGTGAATCCTTTGGGTATATGCCTAAGAGGGGGATTGCCGGGTCCCGTGGTAAACTAATTCCCATTTTCCTGAGGAACCGCCATACTGATCTCCAAAATGGCTGTATGAGTTTGCACTCCCACCAGCAGTGGAGGAGTGTTCCACTTTCTCCACATCCTCTCCAACATAAGTCATCACTGGTGTTTCTAATTTTAGCCATTCTGGCAGGGGTAAGATGGTATCTCAAAGTTGTTTTGATTTGCATTTCCCTGATAGCTAAGGATGTGGAGCATTTTCTTAAGTGTCTTTCAGCCTTTTTGATTTCCTCCATTGAGAATTCTTTCTTCAGTTCTGTACCCCATTTTTTAATAGGGTTATTTGGTGTTTTGTTGACTAGTTTCTTGAGTTCTTTGTATATTTTGGAGATCAGCCCTTTGTCGGATATAGGATTAGTGAAAATCTTTTCCCAGTCAGTGGGCTGCCGTTTGGTCTTGTCAACTGTGTCCTTTGCCTTACAGAAGCTTCTAAGTTTGAAGAGGTCCCATTTATTAATTGTTTCTTTCAGTGTCTGTGCCCCTGGAGTTATGTTCAAGAAGCGGTCTCCTATACCAATTTGTTCAAGGGTACCTCCTACTTTCTCTTCTAAGAGGTTCAATGTGGCTGGATTGATGTTGAGGTCTTTGATCCATTTGGACTTGAGTTTTGTGCATGGCGACAGACATGGGTCTATCTGCAGTCTTCTACACACCCTCATCCAGTTGTGCCAGCACCATTTGTTGAAGATGCTGTCTTTGCCCCATTGTATAATTTTAGCTGTTTTGTCGAAAATCAGGTGTTCATAGGTGCGTGGATTAATATCAGGATTTTCAATTCGATTCCATTGGTCTACCTGTCTATTTTTATGCCAATACCAGGCTGTTTTCAGAACTATAGCTCTGTAGTAGAGCTTAAAGTCAGGAATGGTGATGCCTCCTGAAGTTCTTTTATTGTATAGGGTTGTTTTGGCTATCCTGGGTCTTTTGTTTTTCCATATAAAGTTGATTATTATCCTTTCAAGGTCGGTGAAGAATTGTGGTGGGATTTTAATGGGGATTGCATTGAATCTGTAGATTGCTTTTGGTAAGATTGCCATTTTTACTATGTTTATCCTACCTAACCAAGAGCATAGGAGGTCTTTCCATTTTCTGGTATCTTCTTTAATTTCTTTCTTTAGAGTCACAAAGTTCTTATTATATAGATCTTTTACTTGTTTGGTAAGCTTTACACCAAGATACTTTATGTTGCTTGTGGCTATTGTAAAGGGTGATGTTTCTTTGATTTCTTTCTCTGCCTCTTTGTCGTCTGAAAAAAATAGGGCTACTGATTTTTTTGAGTTTATCTTGTATCCTGCTAGTTTGCTGAAGGTGTTTATCAGCTGTAGGAGTTCCCTGGTAGAGTTTATTGGGTCGCTTATGTAAACTATCATATCATCTGCAAATAGAGACAGTTTGACTTCTTCCTTTCCAATTTGGATGTCCTTGATCTCCTTTTGTTGTCTTATAGCATTAGCTAGAACTTCTAGTACGATATTGAAGAGATATGGAGAGAGAGGACAGCCTTTTCTTGTTCCTGATTTTAGAGGAATTGGCTTAAGTTTCTCTCCATTCAGTTTGATGTTGGCAGTTGGTTTGCTGTATATTGCTCTTATTATGTTTAGGTATGTTCCTGTTATCCCTGACCTCTCTATTACCTTTATCATGAAAGGGTGTTGAATTTTATCGAAGGCTTTTTCCGCATCTAGGGAGATAATCATATGGTTTTTCTTTTTCAGTTTGTTTATATGGTGGATCACGTTGATAGATTTTCGTATGTTAAACCATCCCTGCAATACAGGTATGAAGCCTACTTGATCATGGTGGATGATTTCTCTGATGTATTTTTGAATTCGGTTTGCCATTATTTTATTGAGTATTTTTGCATCGATGTTCATCAGGGATATTGGTCTGTAGTTTTCTTTCTTAGTTGTGTCTTTGTGAGGTTTGGGTACCAAAGTTATTGTGGCCTCATAAAAAGAGTTTGGCAATAAACCTTCTGTTTCTATCTTGTGGAACAGTTTGAGGAGTACTGGTATTAGTTCTTCCTTGAATGTCTGGTAGAATTCTGCACTGAATCCATCTGGCCCTGGACTTTTTTTCGTTGGAAGGCTTTCGATGACTGCTTCTATTTCATTTCAGGTTATAGGTCTATTTAAGTTGTTTGTCTGTTCTTGATTTAATTTTGGTAAGTGATAGTTATCCAGAAACTTGTCCATTTCCTTTGAATTTTCAATTTTTGTGGAATACAGATTTTTTTTGAAGTATGACCTGAAAATTGACTGGATTTCCTCTGTGTCTGTTGTTATGTTCCCCATTTCGTTTCTGATTTTGTTAATTTGCATGTTCTGTCTCTGCTTTTTCGTTAATTTGGATAAAGGTTTATCTATCTTGTTGATTTTCTCAAAAAACCAACTCTTTGTTGCATTGATTTTTTGTATTGTTTTCCTGGTTTCTATTTTGTTGATTTCAGCCCTCAAGTTGATTATTTCCTGGCCTCTGCTCCTGCGGGGTGAATTCGCTTCTCTCTGTTCTAAGGTTTTCAGTTGGGCTGTTAATTCATTTATGTGACTATCCTCTGTTTTCTTCATATGGGCACTTAGTGCAATGAACTTCCCTCGTAGCACTGCTTTCAAGGTGTCCCATAAGTTCGGGTATGTTGTACCTCATTCTCGTTGAATATTAGAAAGTTTTTAATTTCTTTCTTTATTTCTTCTTTGACTCAGGAGTGGTGTAATTGCACATTGTTAAGTTTCCATGAGTTTGCAGGTTTTCTGCTATTTGTGTTGTTGTTGAATTCCAATTTTAAAGCATGGTGGTCCGATAAGATACAGGGGACTATTCCTATTCTCTTGTATCTGTTGAGGTTTGTTATGTCTCCTAGTATGTGGTCGATTTTAGAGAAGGTTCCATGTGGAGCAGAGAAGAAGGTATATTCTTTTGTCTTTGGATGGAATGTTCTATAGATGTCTGTTAGCCCCAGTTGAGACATAACTTCTGTTAATTCTTTTGTTTCTTTGTTGAGTTTCTGATTTGTGGTCCTGTCTAGTGTTGAGAGTGGTGTATTGAAGTCTCCCACTATAAGTGTGTGAGGTTTTATATGAGCTTTGAGTTTTAGTAGTGTTTCTTTTACGAATGTGGGTGACTTTGTATTAGGGGCATAGATGTTCAGAATTGAGACTTTGTGTTGATGGATTTCTCCTGAGATGAATATGAAATGACCGTCTTCATCTCTTTTGACTAGTTTTGGTTTGAAGTCTAGCTTGTTAGATATTAGGATAGCTATGCCTGCTTGCTTCTTATTTCCATTTGATTGGAAAATCTTTTCCCAAACCTTTACCCTGAGGTAATGTCTATCTTTGGAGCTAAGATGTGTTTCTTGTATGCAGCAGAAGGATGGATTCTGTCTTCGTATCCATTCTGTTAGCCCATGTCTTTTTATAGGTGAGTTAAGACCATTAATGTTGAGGGTGAGTAAGGTCCATTGATTGTTGATGCTTGTTTGGTTTAGGTTTGTTGTTGGCAGTGGTATTGTGAATATATTTGTTCTGCTTCACCCTAGGTTTCTGGTGTAGTTGGATTATCTGTTGCCTACATTTTTGTGGGCGTAGTTACCTTCCTTGGGTTGGAATTTTCCTTCCAATACTTTCTGTAGGGCTGGATTTGTAGATACATATTGGGAAAATCTGGTTTTGTCATTGAATATCTTGTTCTCTCCATCTATATTGACTGAGAGTTTTGCTGGATATAGTAGCCTAGGTTGGCATCCGTGTTCTCTTAATACTTTTAGAACATCTATCCAGGACCTTCTGGCCTTGAGGGTTTCCATGGAGAAGTCAGGTGTAATTTTGATAGGTCTGCCTTTATATGTTACCTGTCCTTTTTCCTTCGCTGCTCTTAATATTCTTTCTTTATTCTGTATGCTAGGTGTTTTGATTATTATATGTCGAGGGGTCTTTTTTCTTTGGTCCAGCCTATTTGGGGTTCGGTATGCTTCTTGTACTTTCATGGGCATGTCCTTCTTCAGATTTGGAAAGTTTTCCTCGATGATTTTGTTGAATATGTTTTCAGCACCTTTGAGCTGGGCTTCCTCACCTTCGTCTATGCCTATTATTCTTAGGTTTGGCCTTTTCATGGTGTCCCACATTTCCTGGATATTGTGTGTTAAGGATTTGTTGGATTTATGGTTTTCTTTGGTCGATGAATCTATTTCTTCTAGTTTATCTTCTGCGCCTGAGATTCTCTCTTCCATCTCTTGAATTCTATTGGTTATGCTTGTGTCCGTGGTTTCCGATTTTTTGCCCAGCTTTTCAATTTCCAGCCTTCCTTCCGTTTGTGTTGCCTTTATTTTCTCAATTTCGGTTTTCAAATCTTGAACCGTTTCCTTCACCTGGTTAATTGTTTTTTCTTGGCTTTCTGTACTTTCCTTAAGGAATTTGTTCATTTCTTCCACTTTTTTTTTTTTTTGTTTGTTTGTTTTTTCCTCCATTTCTTTAAGGGATTTTCTCACATCTTCTTTGAGGGCCTCTATCATTTTTATGATGGTGATTTTTAAGTCGTACCCTTCTGCTTCCTCTGCTTTGTTGTTGTGTTCCATTCTAGTTGGTGTAGATTCCCTAGATTCTGGTGGTGTCATGTTTGTCTTTCTGTTGTTAGGTGTTCTCTTGTATTGCCTTCTTCCCATAGTTTCTTCCAGTAGGTGTTGGTGGTGTCTCTTCCCTCTCTCTATGGTCCTTCCCCGATGGGCTTATGTGGATCAGAGATTCAATGTCTGTAGCTCTGTGTGGTCCAAGCTCTCTAGGAGGTTTCTCTGCAGGCAGGGATCCAGGGATGGGGTCAAGGATGAGGATCCAGAAGAAGATGCCAGCAGGTACTCACAGTGGTCCTCTGGCCAATAGCTCTGGCCAATAGCCGGCAGAAGATCTTGCCTGCAGGAACTCTAAGTGGACCTGCAGAGATAGGTGGATCTCTGGGAGGGGCCTGGGACTCCAGCAGAGGACTGGAGGCAGGGTCAGAGACCAAGCCGGTGGAAATTGCAGGTGGTCCTGTGTGGATAGTCAGGTCTCCTTTGTTCGGAGTTGCTTCGAGAAGTATTTGAAGTAGGGTGGACTGTTGGCTCACCCTCTGTCCCAGTGCTCAACCAGAGTGGCAGGACCATGGGTGGGGTAGGGCACAGGGTGGGGGGGGGGTAGGCTGGAGGTGGGGATGGGTGGGGGTGTATCAGAGCTCCAAGGGTCTCTCGATGGGGACCGGAGACAGGAGCAGCAGGATCAAGGGCCAATCCAGGGAGTTCAGGCGGGGGAGGGGGGAAAAGAGGTTGTAGGGGATAGGCAGCCCCAATTGGGCCCAGTCTCACCTCTGGCCAATAGCCGGCAGAAGAGGACGAGGGCTGGGCTGGAACTTGAGAAGGTTTTGCAGGGTAGTGGGATCTCACTGGAAACTGGCGCTCTCCAGCTGAGACCTCGTTCTTTGGGAGGGGCCCGGATTTGGGGGTCAAGGATCTTGCCCGCAGGAACTCCGAGTGGACCTATTACTTTATTGTTACTGTGATAAAATACTCTGAAAAAAAGTGACTTTGGGAAGAAAGGGTTTGTTGGCTCACAGTTCACGGTGGGAAAGCCAAGGCAACAGGCATGAGAGGAGATGAGAGCAATGAATGCAATGTATCACAGTTCCCTTTCCCTCCCCTATAGTCCAGGGTACCAGTCAGGGGATGGAGAGCCTATCACCACCATCAGGATAACTGCTCACCACAGGTTCCCAGGTCCATCTCCCACCCAGAATCTTTAGGGTTCTCATTCACTAGCCATCTTAAGTATTGATATTTTCAATGTACCATAAATCCAGAGAAAAGATGGTATTATTTTGGTTGTTATTTTAAAATATCTTCCTCCTTGATGTCTTCATTATTCCAGTAGCTTCATACCTTACTTTCCAGCAAGCTTATCTTGCTTTCTTGTACTTTGTCCTGATGCTAACTTTGAAGATAGTTTTCAAAACCCTGAAATTCTAATAGATTAGAGAACCTGCTGTAGTAGTTTGCTCTTCACAATCCTCATTATTTGCCAACCACAGTCTTGACACATGTTAAATTTTCATCAACAACAACAGTAGATGAAGTTCATTCTGATACTGAAGAGTTTGCTCTTGTTGTATACAGACTTCTAGGACTCGGCTCAGTGCTGGGGAAGAGGGTCCTGTAACTGTTAAACAGGTTCCATACAAGAAGGCCAGAAGTGAACCTCCTTTGCTTAAGAGAAAGCCGCAGACTGGACTGTACACATCAGCTCGGAGCTCAGGCTACGGCAAGCCCACGTCGCCACTCCAGTTATTTTCTGCTCTTGAAAAGAAAACTTCAAAGGACAATACAAAAAGTAAAAATGTGAGATCCATCCCCACCTCAAATCAGTTTAGGAAAAAGGGTAAGAAAACATTCTCTTCAAGATAAAGTTTAATACATAAAGCATTTCATTTCCTTTGTTTTTGTGGAGGAGAATGTTAAAGAGCTGTACATTCTTTTTAGGGTAAGTGTAGTTTACAGCTTTTGACCCAGGATAGCGGCGGTGAAGACAGTAAAAGGTGACCAATAACGTATGTTTAAAGGTAGACCTGGTAATATAAAAATCTGGTCTGGGTCACTGTAGTTTTGGTCCAAGAAAATGAAGGAATGGAATTGCCAGTCCCTGACTGAGAGAAATCAAGGTAAATTTTGGGCTGAAAGGAAGAGTGATTATGATTTTGAGATGACTATTTTGATTTACAAGTAGTGATAAAGAAAAGGCAGTTAAAGTCTGGCATTCAAGATCCCATTTGAGAACTTATTAATGAGCAGAAGACACATTTTTTTTTTTTAAAGCAGTGTTACTTAACTAAGCATGAGGATGTTCTTGTTAACCTCTTTCTGTTGTTATGGTACAACACCATGACCAAAAGCAACTTCCTCGGTTGAGGTTCCTTCTTCCCATATGACCCTTAAGTTTGTGTCTTTTGACACCTGAAGCTGTGGCAGGATAACTAGAGGGGAAACATGGGCTCACTAACTAGGAGATCAGACAGGACAATCTGCAAACAAAGCAGGCAGAGTGAGGCAGGAGAACCCTGACAGAGCCTTCAGTCTAGTGAAGTTATCTCAAGGAGGGTCTCTTCTGCCGTTTGCTGCCCGCAGGGGAAGAAACGGTGCTGAGACCTGCCCTTGAGTTTTAGCAAGCTGGTGGTCATCGTCAGTGTAGGTCAATTTCCTTGTACAGTTGACCACAAGGCAGGTTGAGTGGGAGTGGGAGAGGATGGGGGTGGAATTGGTGCCTTAAGTAATAGAACATTCAGGGGTGGGGGATCTGTGAAAGACAGAGGTGTAGCAGTAGCTGACTTGAGGGGAAGAGGAGTTAAGAGACACTTTGGGGCCACCATAATAGCATTGTGGGTAAAGACATTTGCCACTGCAGTCTAGCAACCTGAGTTAATCCTGGAAGCCACATGAAGGTGAAGGATAGAACCAACTCCTAAAGGTTGTCTGTCTGGCCTTTACACCTCCACACATATCATATACATATTGTACACACACAGTAATAAATTAATATTTTTAAATTTAAAAAAGAGGGTCAGGAGAGATGGCTCAGCACTTAAAGAGCACTGGCTGCTCTTCTGGAGGTCCTGAGTTCAATTCCTAGCGTTCACAAAGCGGCTCACAATTTCTATAATGGAATCCGATGCCCTCTTCTGGTGTGCAGATGTACATGTAGACAAAACACTCATATACATAAAATACATAAATGAATAAATTGTTTTAAATTTTTAAAAAGGAAACTTGGCGTTGCTCTCAGTAGCTGTAGTGACTGTATGTTTATGTGTCGTTAAGAAATATCAAATGGAAAGGAAAAGAATGCACAGTGTAGTAGGTAGAGGGAATGATTGCGTGGGTAGAGCACTTGGCTTAGAAGAACTATGATGGTGCACAGTAGACTGCATTAGCTAGGAATGTGGACAGCTCTGAGTTCTAGGAAATGTGGAGGCACAGGAAGAGAGCCCAAGCTGGGAGCTGGACAGATGTGGAGAGATGTGGATGTTCCTTCTGTAAGTTATCTTCAGTCTTCTCAGAAGTCAACACCATACCATTAGATAGCAGTGAAGAGGGGAAGAAAGGGAGCTACAAAGCAAGCGTCCAAGAGATTACTAAATTGGAGGTGAGAAGGCCATTGCATGATTGGTGGTGAGAACCTAGATCATGCCAGTGTGAGTGAGTAGCTATGAGGGAAGCAACATTAAGGGGTTGCCAGGACCTGGATATGTTGAAATCACTGCAAATGAGGACAGATCACAGTGATTGAGAAGGGATAGACAAAGGTAGCAATATTTTTATTAGTAAAGTTAACTAATATTCTACACTTGTTTTTTAGTATTTCAAAATTTTATATTATTTTTGACTATCAATCAAAACACGTTACTCATTTTTATCCTAAAGCATGCAGTTTGGGGAGCACATTGCTGTCACTTACAGAATTAGGTGTCTGTTAATGGGAAGGAAGTGGTGGTTAGTGGCTAGCGGACTGGCCATGGGGGGGGGGCTGCCTTTTTATTCTAGTTACCTTTTATTTAGCATTTCATGTTTATGTTTTCATTTTTTAAAGTAATACTGTTATGAAAAAACTTGCTGATGAGTTAAACTTCAAAAGTAAGAGGAAATAAGAAAAAGGAAAATTAACAAGGAATACTGGTGCCACGCTGAGTACTGAATCAGGCTTTTCCCTGTGGGTGTCTTAAATGAGAGAAGAAAAAAAACTGGATGGGTGGGTGGGTGGATAGATGGATGGAGAGTTAGAAGTAGATAAATAAATGGCTTAAATATTTTCTAAGAGTAATATCTGAAAATGCCAGATAAAATCCATTGGTTTATATACGGACCTAAAAGTCAGTTTATAAAAAAATGATGAGACCACACTTCATAAGTTCTATTCTTTCAACTTATTTTATGTGTATGGATGTCTTGCCTGCATGTGTGTATTGTGTACCATTCGCATGCCTGGAAAATGAGGTGTCCAGAGGAGGGCATTGGACCTCCCATAACTGGAGTTATAGACATTTGTGTGCCACCAAATGGGCACTAGGTATCAAACCTGGTTCCTCTGGAAGACCAGCCAACGTTTCACCCACCTCCCTGACCCCTACAAGTTCTTTTCAAATATATTAGATGTAAACCAGGTGGTGGTGGCGCACACCTTTAATCCCAGAACTTGGGAAGCGGAGGCAGGAGGACTCTGTGAGTTCAAGGCCAACCTGGTCTACAGAGCTAGTTCCAGGACAGCCAGAGCTGTTACACAGAGAAACCCTGTCTTGAAAAACCAAAAAGAAAAAATACATATTAGATGTAGGTTACTTAAATCTCCAAGGAGATAAACTTCATCCTTAAAAATGATATGTTCTAAGAAAATAGATTTTGATGACCTCTGAAGAAACTGCTGAAGCCATAATGTTGTTTCCTGGCTTTGTTTTCAATTTTATATATTGCCAATTCCTTCCCTTCTAGGAAATAGGAAGTAATATATTCTTCCCCATGCCACCCAGCCACTGGCTTTACTTTTTTGAGGTATATTTTCTCTTGCAAGCATATCTCTCTCAGTTTGGAGATTTAGTTCTTGCTTCTGGTTATCAAGGAAATTGAATGTCTGTTACTCATACTGGCTCCAATGTGGGATTATTTTGGTTCATTTCTTAGGTAAGGGAGGAAAAATACTGGATAGATGTCTTGCAGAGGACTTGATTCAGTTGGCAGCACCCACTGGGTGGCTCACAACTGTCTGTACCTGCTATACCAGAGAATTCAATGTCACCTTCTGGCCTCTTTGGGCCCCAGACACAAACATAGTGTACAAATAGACATTCCATAAACACTCATACATAGGGGAAAAAAAAAGATTCAGGAATGGAAATTCTGTTGTAAAAAGACTAGCAGGCTAAACGTATACGCACAAAACCACTTGTTTTAAGCTGTCTGGTACTAACATGTGCTGGCAAGACACCTAGCCGTTGGTCATGGTATATAACCTGTCAGTGATGGGAGAGATCACATGTTGCATCTGCAATGATTCAGTCTTTTTTATGAATTCTTTAAGAAATTTCTTTAGAAACAACACGCTATGTATGGTGATGACTATAAGGAGAACTTTATATATGCCTACAAAAAAGGGTAGAAATGAACCTTTCTGTAAGGAAGTATTGAATTATTTCTTCTTTTTAGCTTTTCTGTATTTTCCAAATATATGATGATATTTTTGATTTAAAAATACGTTTAAATGAGTATTGAAGAAATCATTGTAAACAAAATTTTGAAGTTACTTATTCAACTCTAAGGCAGCTGGATAATGTTTATGGGATGTTCAGAGCCTGTCACATTTGAATGTGGCCATCTCCCTACACTACTTGTTGCTAACTTAATAGCTTCAAAATTACTTCTGTCTTTGGAGTTTAGAAGTTACTGTAAAAGAAAACGACCAAATATATATTAGTCACATTCTTTTCTAATTTGCTAGATGATGCTATTGAATCATCTTTGAAATCAGACTTGTGTTAACTGTTATGGCACCACGATGTACATGGCTCGCTCCATAATGCTGTCACACACTGGGTGTCCAGAGAGTGCTCAAGAGAGCGACTCTAACTAAATTCTTCATACTTACCAGGTGCCCTTTCTGATTCATCATGTGGGCATCCTTACTGTGACGGTCTTAGAGAATAACTTGCTTGAAGGTGGTAAAGTCCCGCTCCAGTCTCCTCACACTCATTTAGCTCCATCTGTAGATGTTGATTGTGGGTGGCTGCTGGGACTGTGGTGTGGTGTGGGGTGGGTGCCTCAGCCTGTGTAGCCATCTACAGTTTACCTCCACATTGCTGCTCTTCTCATATTTATTGTCTATTGTTGCTGAATGCACATCCAACCTTTTATGATGCTTTCTTCTGTTGTCTATAATATTTAGAGATATTATCTGGAACAAAACTCATCAAGCCTGCAGCTTTGAATAGACCATCTCCTCAAAGTGAGGGTAGCATAGCTACACCTAAGCAGCCTGAAGATCCCACAGCTGACTCCTCTGTCCAGTTTCAGACTGTAGGTATTGCCGTTCATATTAATATTTATAATTTTTATACCTCAAAATCATTTTAAAACTAGATTATAAAGAGTATGTTACTTGCACACTATAAGAAAAAAATCACAATTGAAGTCAATTAATATGTACAAATAAAATATGAAATTTTCCTTAGTTTCTGGTTTCTCTGTAATAGATCGTTGCTCCCATGTCACTGCCCATCCCTGTCTTCCGGTTTGTGTTCTGGTCTTCACCATACAACTCATGTAATGAAGTCTTGCTTCTTTTGGAAAGGGGCCTCCAGGACCCTCTGGTGGGAACAGACAGGAAGAATCGCTGATGTTGAAAAGAGCTCAGGATGCGGAGGAAAAGTGGAGGGGTGCACAAGCCCTGATGGAGCAAATGAAAGTCACATTCTCAGAGAAGGAGAAGGAGCTGGAGAACACACTGGAAACCCTGAAGAGACAGCAGGAAGAAGAGCTCTTCAAACTGAACCAAGACAATTACATTCTTCAGGCCAAGGTACCAAACGCACTGTTCTAGCTTTCCTTCCTATTTATTAAAAATAAAAAATAAAAAAAAAAAAAAAGCAGCCATGCTTCCTACTAAATTCCTTGCCTTCCTGGTGCCTGGAGCTGTTCGACTTGATGCCTTAGCCTCATACACTACAGACTTGGTCCTTGGTTCTCCAGAGTGAGCTGGACCATAGGGAAATGAAACGTGGCTCTTTTGACAATTTGCCTATGCAGCTGTTCTTTAAAAACAAATCGGCGAGTTCATTGTGACCCTCGGAGAAATAAGGGTTTTAGCAGGGACCTGCAGTAGAAGGTGTAGAACCATAGAGAGTCACCGCAGTGTTCGTGAATTCTCACCAGAAAGTCGCGTGTTGACTTGACCATGGTCATAGCACTCCCCAGGACTTCCTTTCCCTGTTCTAATTTCTCCATTTTCTTAAAGTTAAGTAGCTTTGAAGAAACAAGCAGAAAACAGAGATGGCTACAGCTTGGAGAAACATCCGATCCCGTCACTGGAGAAAAGCTGAAACAAATCCAAAAAGAAATACAAGAACAAGAGACCCTTCTTCAAGGATACCAGCAGGTGTGGCATTTCTTCAGGCTCTGATGACTCTGGTTTTGACCCTTTAATTATAAAGCTAAGGTATATTAAAATACTGCTGTGGTCTTTTCACATGCAGATATAGGCAAGGTAATGGGATGTGTTCCTCCCCCACATTTCCCCCTTCCTCCTGCTCCCCTCCCGCCCTCTCTCCTATGACCTGGGACTCACTGTGTAGTCCAGATGGGCCTCAAGGTTGTGATCCACCTCCCAAGTGCTGGGTACAGGCTTGCACTGTCTTGCCCAATTGGCCTGCACATTTCTTATTATCCAGGTTAAAGCGTTAAGAGCATCAATTCTGAGTTTAAATAAAAACCTGGTTTTAAGTCTTGACCTAACACCTGCTGTGGAGCCATATGCAGCTCCCTCACCCCTCTGTCTTTATGAGTAGAGATAATAAGACAGGAGAATAGCAAAATTCTAAATACAACAGTGCAAACAAGCCGCCTGACCTAGCACACAGCCTCCTGACCTAGCCAGTCAGAAATTGTTCTGTGCTGTTTTATTACCCGTGTTTCTTAGCTGAGTATATTTTCCTTATCTTTCATAATATGTTTTTTACTAGTCTTGCTATTATTTTCAGCATATTAGTCTGCACTCAAGTGCTGAAGCCCCAACGATGAACTTTTTTATTTAGTGTGAGCTCTGTAGCAGCAGGTACCTCTAGTGTGTATAAGCCTGGACAGGCTTAAGATATAGCTTCCTTCTCTGCGTCCTTTTTTGTCTGTCCCTCCTCTTTGGTCCTCTGCCTCATTAAACTTCTCTCTCCCAACTGTGATCTGAGCTCTGCGCCATTCCTTATCACCCAGAGAAAATCGGGAAAGCATGTTCACACCGGTTGTTCTGACTGTTTGACAGTGCACACTGCCCTCACATTAGTGAGATCCATTCAGATCCTTCATCCACCGTCCCATATGCCACCCAGAGAGGGACTTAAAGATTTCACAGGTCGGGAGTGTGTCAGCTGTTCCCTCAGAAGACAATGCACAAGTTCTGTGTGTGAGTAGGCATGCCAAGATAATCCATAGTTGTTCTTACTACCTCCAAAAGCTCTTAGTTGTCAGCCGGTTCTCAATATAAAGTGAGGTCAGTATGTCAGAGCAGACATCTAATCACAGATTCATTTGTTCCCTATCTAATTACCTCACTGTTAGAAGCTAGGCTCCTGGAATTGTTCCCTACTTCAGATGTTTTTTCCCCTTCTGGCCAAAACCAGAATTGGGTATATAGTCCTTCTGGCCTTCTCACCCACAGCCCACCATGTAGGGGAGAGGGTTCTCCATTCTCCCTTTTGGATTTACACTGGTAACATTGAGTGCGTTACACTGATGGTAGACTCCAGTTTGGGGGAATTTTATAACTTTTTTCCAAGTAAGCATTTTTAGCATTTTAGAAAGAGTTGTGTCTGGAGAAGCTGCCTTCTAAGATAATATGTGAAAAGGATCTTATAAAATTAAAACCTAAGGAAAGTTTAAAGGCCACTTAAGTAATTTATCTATTAACATTCCATTTTATGTTTTAAGTGCTGCTAACTTTTAACTTAAAAATCATTTTTCTGTTTTTAAAAAGGAAAATGAACGGTTGTATAATCAAGTAAAAGATCTTCAGGAACAAAATAAGAAAAATGAAGAACGAATGTTTAAGGAAAATCAGAATTTATTTAGTGAGTTAGCCACTTTAAAGTAAGTTCTTTTAAATTTATGAGACTTAAATGTACTTAACAATTTCTAAACATATTGCTACCATATTATTTCATTTTTTTTTCTAGAAGTGGTAAATACTTTTACATGTGTCTATTCTCATTTGTACACTGATTTCCAGTCTTGTATCTCTTACATTGCGTTTTTTCTGTTAGTAATTGAGAGCTAGTATATACTTCAGTATTTGCAACATACCCATATGTGAGTTTGACATTGCTTTCAAGAAACTGAAAATAGAGCACTTGTCTTTGTCAGTAGATTTAGTTCCCTAAACAATGGTTTGATTAATAATACGAAAATAAAAACTAACAGTATCAGCTTGGCCTTAAGTTCAGTAGAATCAGAATAACTGTAGGATAACTTTGGAAAGAGCAAAAGAAATCATAATTGTAGAAAGGAGAAAAAGAAACAAGGTGGAGAGGAAGAGGTTGCAAATGCTTTGACCTCAGCTTGACCCTGGCTTCACCCTGATGCTGCCAGGAAGCTCTAGATAGGAGACCAAATGTTGTCTACGTCAGAGGCTGTGGTTTGGCTGGAGCCACTTCGGAGTTTGGGGGAAGATCACCTATGAGTTGTTACTATCCAGTACTCTCCCCAGAGCAGCGGACGTCAGAAACTGCTTATTCATGCTAGACCCTGGGCCATTACCTTACTGTTAGAAGAACAAACCCAGACCTACAAGCATGCACACACAAGGGAGGGTGCTGTCTTCCACTAGGAAATGACTATTAGTGCACTGTTCCACATAAATGTCCAATCACTCAGGATGTTATGGGAAGTTTTGTTGACCAGAAATGTCATGAATACTAACACTATTTATTAACTGGCTCTCTTTTTATATGGCTTATAACATGAAAATATAGCCTTTAGCATATACTGACCTTTCATGTAAAATAGAAAAATATACACCCTGTAGTAGACAGAAGTAACAGCTATACAGATGAGTGAAGTGGAAGGGAAGGAAGGAGGGAGAGAGAAAGGTAGGTGTGTGTGTGTGTGTGTGTGTGTGTGTGTGTATGTGTATGTGTGAGTGTGTGTGAGTGTGTGTGTGTGTTTTAATGTCCCTTTCTCCTGATCAGTGTGACTCCAAAGCCAGGTACACTGACCTGATGCTTGAAAATACATATTCTTTCACGACACTTCTCCGAACTGGAGATGTGGCTGAGTTGATGAGGTCTGGGGTCAGTCCCCAGTACACATACACTAGGCCTGGTGCAAATGCTGGTAGTCGCAGGACTCTGGAGGGAGGCAGGAGGCTTGGAAGTTCACGGTCATCTTCAGTCATATAGCAACTTAGAAACTGCTTGGACTGTGTGTCAGATAGTGGATAAATAGATATAACTTCAGAAACACCTCATTTTTACCACCTGTATTTTAGAAAGAACTACTCCAAAATCCAAAACTAATGAACTTCTATGGTAAAATAAATAACTTAGATAATTTTTTTAAAAATTTATTTAGAACATTAGGACTATATTATCTTATAGAAATTTCTTGAAACGTACTTAAAATTTGAGTCTGAGGTCCAGATATGTTTGGGTTTTGTTTCTGTGTATAAAGTTGGGCTTTGTGCGTGTCAGAAGAAAAGAGTCAGCAACGGTGAGACAAGGAATACACAAAAGCTCTACAAAAGCAGTGTCGCTCCACATTCTCTACAAAAGCAGTGTCACTCCACGTTCTCTACAAAAGCAGTGTCACTCCACGTTCTCTACAAAAGCAGTGTCACTCCACATTCTCTACAAAAGCAGTGTCGCTCCACATTCTCTACAAAAGCAGTGTCGCTCCACATTCTCTACAAAAGCAGTGTCGCTCCACATTCTCTTCAAAAGCAGTGTCGCTCCACATTCTCTACAAAAGCAATGTCACTCCATATTCTCTGATAACAAGAAGCAAATGTTTTAAAATTTTAATTAAAACAAAAATCTTAGTGTTTCTGCTCTCCCAAACTGAAAAGTATGAGTGTTTCCCTCCAACCTACTTTTCTTTAACATGTCCCTACTTTCTTCTGTAGACTAATGTTTTTACCCTGAGGTAATACACACACAGTGTGAGTTCATTAGAGTATTTCATATTAAAAGAAGTATCTTGATTTTTAAAGTCTTTTTTCCCCCAAAATCAGAGAACAGATGCGCAAAAATCACTTCCTGTCTGAAGCAGTTGAAAATGCTGAACCCATCAAAAACCAGAGTTTTACAGATCTGCTAGCAGAATTACGGGTGGTGCAGGTAAGCTGAATAAGGCTGGTAAAGTTATCACAGACATTCCAGTACATGTAAAAGAAAATCTGTTTGTAATAAATATATAAATAAAACATGTTTTAGGCCAGGCAGTGGTGGCACATGCCTTTAATCCCAGCACTCGGAAGGCAGAGGCAGGTTGATCTCTGTGAGTTTGAGGCCAGCCTGGTCTACAGAGTTCCAGGACAGGCTCCAAAGTTACACAGAAAAATCCTGTCTCGGAAAAATATACATAACATACACACACATACATACATACATACTTACACACACACATACACACATTTTTAAGATATTGTTTGAAAATTAAGTATCTAAGATTAGCATTTACTATTCATGTGATTTTAATGTACAGAGATCCTCAGAAACCGGCAACCTCTCCTCAGACATTTGTCATATAGAACCACATCAGAGGCATTGCCTTTGGGGCACATGTATGCTTTATTTCGTACAGGTTCCTAGGGCTGAAAAGATGGCCCAGCTATTGGTAAACAACATGTAATGTTCTTGCAGAGAACCCAAGTTCAGTTCTCAGTACCACTTCAGGCAGCTCGCAACCACCTCTAACTCCAGTTCCACAGGATGGGTCCAGTGCCTCTTCTGTCCAAGAACACCTTCACTCATGTACACACACATACATATCATTAATAATGAAAATAAATCTTTCAAATAGCCCAATTCTTCACTGAACATACACTGTGTGCTAAAATAAGAAACTTGTGTTTTGTACCGTTGGTCTACATGTGTGTCTGCTTTTGTGCCAGTAACATGTTCTGTGTATCTATTCTCACCAAGGCTCTGTGTATATTTGAACTCTGGAATGGTAATACCTTTGTTGTTCTTTTTGCTTAGGGTCTTCTGTGGTTCTATATGAATCTTAGGACTTTTTTTCTATTTCTGTAAAGAGTGAGATGGAAATTTTGATTGGAATTACATTGCATCTGTAAATAGCTTTTGGTACAGTGACCATCTTCACAATATCGATGCTACCAACCCATAAGCACCAGCCATCTTTCCATTTTCTAGTGTCTTTCTCTTCTGTCAAAGGCAGTATGCACAGTGACTCACTAGAGAACAGTCCTATATGCCAGGTAGAACCCCTCTTACACCTTACTGATATGAAGCAGTCTGTTTCTGCATCCATGCAAACCGAGAGCAAATTCATTATCCATTTAAGCATTGACTGTGTGACTGAATTCAGTGATACTCTAAATTCTTAACTACTGTAATGAAGTAGACACTGCTAGACAGCATTTCTAAGTCAGAGTAATTAAATAAAGGGTATTTTCAGAAATATACATGGATTTTAAAAACTTGAAGCTCATTCCTCTGAAGAGACATCCATGGATCACACAGATTAAACAATGAAATGAGTCTGAGATGTCTGTAAAATCCAAATGACATGATACTTTATGAACACACACATTTCCTTTTGTAAGATTTAACCTTAAATCATAGATCACATATGGGATTTGTGAGAAGTTGTAGTTTTATTACTGTGTATTGAGGTTTAATAAGGATCAGAAGAAACAGATAGGCTGAATAGATGTTTATTCAGGGAAAAATAACTTACAACATAGACAGATGAACACCAGCAGGTTCCTGGTCCCAAGGAAGCCTCTGGATGTTCTCCTGTCCCTGTGCTGCAAACAAGAGAGTTCCCAGAGGCCCTTCCTCATACTTAGTTCCCCCAAGTAACATCTGCCCCTGTCCCCACCCCCCAATGGGCATGGTCTGTGCCACAGGTGTGGACAAAGTGAATATCTCAATACGACTGAGTCCAGGCCTTTCTTTTTGGCAATTTTAAATCCAGTGTAGTGTGTATGTGTGTGTGTGTGTGTGTGTGTGTGTGTGTGTGTGTGTGTGTGTGTGCGCGCGCGTGCGTGTGTAGAGAGAGAATGCATGTTGTTGTGGGCATAGAAGGGATTGCTAGACTGAACTCTGTAGGGTAGTTAGAATTTTGCAAACCAGAGGAGTGGACATAGCCCAAATATTGGCAGTAGTGTGGAATACAGGATATTTGGGAATTACTTTAGCTTCTATTTTAATTTTTATTTTATGTGCATGAGTGTTTTGCCTGCATTTATGTCTGTGTACCACATACACGTCTGGTGCCTATGGAGGCCAGAAGAGGGCATTAGATCCCCTGAGCCACCATGTGAATGTTGTAAATCAAACCTGGGTCGTCTGGAAGAACATTGAGTGTTCTCAACCACTGAGCCATCTCTTCAGCCCCTTAACCTTTGTTTTAATGTCCAACCCTTTTATGTAATTATGATACAAGCGTTATCAAGATAAGCCAGGCATGGTGGCATAAAACTTTAATTCCAGCACCTTGAAGGCAGAGGCAGGTAGACCTCTGTGAGTTGGAGACCAGCCTGATCTATCCAATGAGTTCTAGGCCAGCCAGGGTTACAACATAATGAGAATCTGCCTTAAAAAAAAAAAAAAAAAAAAAATATATATATATATATATATATATATATATATATTATACACATTACATACATACATATATAGATAGATAGATAGATAGATAGATAGATAGATAGATAGATAGATAGATAGATAGATGTAAAATCTGTTTTTAGGTAAATAAGTAATAGGTCCTGTAGCAATGAGTGCTAGCCAAGGGAAAGCTTACATTTTCAGAGAAAGTGGCCAGGCAAGGTCTTCCGGAGGCTTCTCTTGAGCAGTCATGACAGGAAGGAACAAGTTACCTGCCTGGCAGAGGGATGGATACCTAACAGACCCTTTGGGAGGAGTACTCTAGGGGTAGGGGTTATTCACAGAACAGCAAAGAGACCTCTGTAGAGTGAACAGGAGATTTGAAGTAGTATACTCAGTCATAGTCATGGCTGGGTTATATGACACCCAAAGTCATGGTTAATTTAGGGTTCACCCTAAAAGAAGAACCACCAGAGGTGTCACCTTGAGGAGTGTGACCAATCCTGCTGACTGCTATGAGAACCGGCATAGGGGCTGAGAGGGAGAGAGAGATTATCACAGCAGTCCAGGCCAGGGGGCTTCAAAAAGAACACGGTAGGATAATAGAGTTGGGATCTTCAGTGTGACGCGAGAGACTGGGACCAGTGCCAGAGACTGTGGGAAGTTAATGGTTCAGGGTAGAGCACCCTCTGTCCCTTTTAAATAAAATTTGACCTGAAATTGGGGAGCCATCACAGCGGTATTTTTGATGGATTGAGAGAAGAGAATATCCCATGATTTATTTATTGTGTTTGGAAGTAACCGCTTTTATATTCCTTCAATTATCAAGAAAGAGAAAAACCATCTGATGGAGGACATCAGAAGACTGAAGCAAGACAAACAAGCTCTTGAAGTGGACTTGGAAAAAGTGAAGAAAGAGAGGGACCAAGCCAAAGATCAGATTGCTTATGCCACGGGTGAGTGCGGATGAGACCGTTCTCTGCTCTCTGACGGTGCCAGTCGTGAAACAGTAATGGAAACTGAATACTATTATTCAAATACTTTCCTGTAGGGAACTTGTAGCCTTTGAAACATTTCTAAACTAGTGATAAAGTGATGTATACTTCTTATTTTAACTAGAACAATTGCAACATCAAGGGAGAATCGGGCATTAATTGAATTCATAGCTTTGTGCTGATTTCTTTAAAGTCCTGTGGTATTAGCCTGGCTGAGAGCTTCCTGAAGGCAGGGCTGAAACATGCTCTGAAGGATTTGCCACATGAACACATAACACTGCATGATTTTATAAAAATGAAAAGAAATACAGCATGGCGCCCACCAGGGAAACTTCAGAATTTATTGGGGGAGTTTTGGAGAAGAATGGCATTGGAGCCAGGTCCAGGCAGTGAGATTTGGAAGTAAAGGAATAGAGGGAGGCCCAGATGTGTGCCAGCACATGCTGGGTAGGTGGTCGGCAGAACACAGGCTGGACAGGCCAGAGGAGTGTTTCGGAACCTTAGTCTTCTATCTACAGCACCTCAGCTCCAGTGTGAAGCTGTACAAAGAAGCCATTCTTTTTTTTTTTTTTTTTTTTTTTTTTTTAGCTGTTTATTTTGTGTGTGCTTTCTGGGGAGAATCTCAAAATGGAAAGGGTTGGCTAACCAGCAATCTCTTTTTTTTTTTTGTCAGTGCATGCTGGTTTACATGTCTTTCTTTGTTTTGTTTTGTTTTTTTATTTAATTTTATATAACAAGGTCCAATTAAATGAAAACAAACATTTATACACAATATTTGGGTACTTGGGCGTCGTTCTTTCCAAACTGCTTCCTGCTGGTAAGGGGCGCTGTCGTGGGCAAAGAAGCCATTCTTAACTGCATATAAGAAAACGTTGTCCCCCCTCCCTTATCCCTAAAGGAGGAGAGTAAATGTTATTTCTAAAACTAGTTCAAAAATGTTTTTCAGGTAAATTTTTTGTTAGCTAAGCCACCTATAAATGTATGCCATTTTTATTTTTTAATTACAGATATGTATTTTTATTATTCCTTGATATTCATAATATATCAATGGGAAAAGAATCACGTATTTCTAGATAGCCATCCTTGCTATGAAATAGGAGATTTGGATTATGAACACAATCTCTTGTCTCCATTACTAAAAGATTCAACTAGACACTGATGTATAGATCATTTCTTCATGCCTCTTGTTTCTGTATAATGCTTTCATTCGATAGACATTGCTCCTTATTTAATATATTGGGATTTTGGGTCATTTCAATATTTTTAAAAATTACTATCAGGTTATTGAGTTATTTTATTGTCTAGGTGAGAAATTATATGAAATAAAAATTTTAGAAGAAACACATAAACAAGAAGTCAGTCGTCTGCAGAAGCGGTTGCAGTGGTATGCCGAGAATCAGGAGCTTCTAGATAAAGATGCGGCTCGTCTCCGAGAGGCCAATGAAGAAGCAGAGAAGCTGAGACTGGAGGTACATTTGACCATGAGCCCTCCTATCACGGTTTAATAAGGATCAGGATAAACAAATAGGCCAAATAGATGTTTATTCAGGGAGAAATAACTTACAACCTAGACAGATAAACACCAGCAGGTTCCACCGGATGCTCTCCTCTCTGAGTCCTGCCAGCCGTTCTGGTCCCTCTGCCGTGCCAGCCCCGATTAACACACAGAGACTCTGCATTTGATATAAAGCTGTTGGCCACTTACTAGTTTCTTATTGGCTAGCTCTCTCTTAACTATTGACCAATTTCTATCCTAATCTAAGTATTTCCACATGGTCTTATCTTACCAGAGAAAGGGGCTGGCATGCTTTCTTTCCTCCATGTTGACTCCTACCTCTGGAATCCTCCCTGTCTCCTAGTCCCGCCTATCTTGCTTTCCTATTGGCCAACAGTGCTTTATTCATTAGCCAATAGAGAAACATATACAGAATGACATCTCCCATCACCCTCCTGCTGTGCTGTCACTGTTTCACTGTGTCACAGCTCCCTTACTGTTTGTATTTGTCCAAGGCTTTGCACTTGCCCTGCCATGGCACTACACCCCTAGCTCTTCAAATCTGAATTCATAGCTAGTTCGGGCTTGGGTTTGAGTTCAGAGGATTAGTCTTTTTAGATAAGACTGTAGATAATCGCCAGCTACTCATCACAGCCTGTAGAGACCGGATGGCCTGACCCATGGGGGGCCTGACTCAGCACCTGCTCTGTTCCACAGTGAGTTGACTCCCTCCAGCCACACAGCTCCTCCAGAGTCATTCCAATTGCTGTCTTGCCCTGCTTTTTCACAAACCTCACTCCCTCTCTTCCTTGTCAAAACTCAGCTCAAGTTTCTTCTCTGAGAACTTCCTCCCCGGCCCCCCACCCTGCTTTTTATCTTTCACTCCATTCTGTTTGGTTGCTTGTCTCATGTAAAGTGATTTCTTTATTTGTTGATTACTTAGCTTATCAACCATCTGTCTCTGTAAGTACAAGGACCCAGATTCTCATGTTTGCCAGCATCTTCTGTCTCCAGTGTTGCCCTTGGAGACACTTGGAACAAAGGGCTAGCTCAATCACTGTCTGTTACATTATGTATCCCCCAGCTTTGAGCTTTCCTGTTGGTGTAAATACACTTCTTGCCTCCTTTGTGAACAGATTGAAAAACTGAAGACTGAGTCTGGGAGCCCAAACACTCAGCAGAGGTTACGCTCCAAGGAAAGAGCTCTGGATGCCAGAAGAATTCAGGATCTGGAGCGGCAGGTAAGTGTCCAAGAGGGATTTTGATTGAAGCATTTTTAATGTATACAGACTGAATTATTCCATATATCCTTAAAGTGCGGCAATATAGTGTATAAGATGGCATGACCCAGGGCTCACATCTGCAGAACGTTAGAGACTCTCAGTCGGAAGACAGAAAAGACCTATTGATGAGAGATCCTTTTGCATCCCCACTCTAGGAAACTTCTAGGAAGACTAAAGCAGAACTTTGAAATATCGGGTAGTGAGTTTTAATTCCTGGTCTTGGGAGGCTGAGGCAGTAGGATCACCCAAACCCAGGAATTCAGGGAATCTCAGAAACATAGCAAAATCCTTTCTCTTTTTTTTAGATTAGCCCATATCATGACCAAAAGTATGTGGGAAGGGAGTACAGGAAGAAAGATCCTTCCTAGAATCTGGAACATGCTGCTAACACTTGGGAAATGTTACAAATTACATTCAGTTTCCCAGTCCGCTGGCCACCAGCCTGAGTCTTGCTCACTGCTGGCCACCACAAGTGTTTATTTCAATGTTGCTGTAGCAAGGAGACATGTTAAAACTCTTACTGTGGAGCTTCTCAAAATAAAGACATTTGTTATTGAAGTAGTCGTGAAGGAATACAGACAATTTCCTTTTTAAAGCATTCTGTGTAGCATTTATAGTCATAGCTAAATATTAAAGTGTAATGTTCCAGCCTTTCATGAAGAGACAGGACTTGTGTAACAGCCTCCTGGTACTTAAACAGAGTGATTATTTCATCACAAGTCCAAGACTGTGAGGTCATCACAGAGCTGAATGGTTTCATGAGGAAGTAAAAATTCAGCTTTGTTACTTTCACAGGACTTTTTCTGGTATTAAGAGGTATGACTTGGGAGTTTAGTTAAAGAGCCAGGAAAAGATCAGGACAAAAGTGGCTTGAAGAGTGAGAAATATTCTAAAGTGCGTGTAGTATGGGATTGTTCCTGGATTGTCTTCAGGGCTTAGGGTCTCTGTTGCCCAGTGTATAAACAGCTGTCCATAACTGGGAGGGGACAGAGACAAAGGAATAAATCCATTAGATGATCTCCTAAAAAGAGACCATGTCAAACTGGATGTGGGGAAGTAAGGAAATGGTCTGCTTAACCTGTGTGTAAGACTTCAGACAGTGGGGTTATGGAGATGGCTGGCTTGGTCATTGCAGTGCTTGCTATGCAAACATGTATAGTTGAGTTCAATCCTGAGGGCCTCCAGAAGCATGTCTGTCATTCCAGCTCTGGGGGGGGGGGGGAACAGAAGGAAGCCTGGCATCTAGCCAACAAGCCCAGTCCACAAGCTCCAGTGAAAAATCCTGTCTCCTAAGACTCCTCCTGAGGAACAGTGCTCAAGGGTGACAAGGCTTGTGTTTGCCAGTGCACATGTATGCACACTCTCTCCTTACCTCCTCCATATTGACCAGACACACACTGTTTATAAAATCACACTGACTAAACATTTATTGATTATCCATCTTAGGGAGTATCCTTGAATAATACTCTTCAATGCTATTTTTTAGCTAGGTTGCTACTTGCACATATCTGATAGGCTTACTTAATTCTGTCTCCTTGAGTACTTCTTTCATAATGATTTTATGCCTGAACATCTGCTTTTTAGCCAGAGTATATCACAATACAGTTAGAGTCATTTCAAGCCAAGTTCTGAAATAGATCAGTTGTGAGTAAAATGTATTTTCTAAACAGAATATAAGTAAAAATGAGACTAATTGGATGTACTTTATAAAAAAAAAAATTGACATTGCCTCTATTCATACTTTAATGGACTTTTTCATAGTTCAACTGTGAGATCTTTCTAAAATTGACCTTGTATACCAGTTATTGAGCAAAGAATAAAATTTTAACCGAAAATTAAAGAAGGTACAGATAGAATTTAATTTTCTTCCCCCCAAAAAGTATTATGTATTTTGTGATGTTATTTTAATATTATAATAAGTCTATTAATTTAAAGCATTTTAATCTACTTCTCTTTTTAACATTTGTGGCATGTGTACATGCTCTAATAGTAATTCACTCAGATAACTAGATTGTTAATACCAGAGGAAACCGCTCTGAATGCTGTCCTGATGAAACATATTTGTAATATGTATGGGTAGATCTCAGTTGATAGCATGCCATGAGTGCAGGCAGTTTCAAGAAACAGAAATGCTTATTGCTGGCTTTGCAGATGGGATGTCCTGACGTTTCTACTGAGTTGTGTTGCCAGCAATTAGGAAAACTTGTCTTTTTTAGAGAAATTCATACTCAAGACCAGCATTGTCTGTGCCCACTGTGTGCTGCTACTCTGCAAAGGCTTATCACAATGAAAGCCAGATGATCCTGGGAGAATCCTGGGAGCTAATGTTGTTGATATCTCTGTTTTACCCAAAAAGCAAGAAATATGGACTCATGGGACCAAGGTCCTTTAGTGAGGCACACAGTCACCAGACATGACCCTGACCACATATGTATTATGGCATGCTCATGGGCTAGGGAATGTTCAAATGAAGACTGATTAGTTTAATATATGGTTCACAGAATGCCATAGCTATCATACCAAAGGGCAGTTTCTGTGCACTGGGGCACAGCACCCTCTTACAGAAGAATCTTAAAATATGCCATTGGTTTCTAGACTGATTGCAAACTGCCTTTTGTGGAGACTCTAAGGTCATTTTAGGAGAGGGAGGGATGGCTCTGTAGTTTAGAGCACTCACTGCTCTTGCTTGGGACCCAGGTTCGATTCCGAGCACCTACACGGCAGCTCACAACTGTCTATAACCCCAGTCCCAGAGGATGCAGTGCACTTCTTCTGACCCCCATAGTTACTGCATGCACGTGTAATTTTCTTTTAAATGGAATGTCACGTGTTCTTGGCAGGGAGAGCTGATGTCCTAGACAGGCAGATGCTTAGGACAGTCTGCGTCTGCAGTAGTGCATTACCTGCTCTGTACAGATCAGTACATTTCCATCCAGGGGATACTAGGAGTGCTGTCACATGAAGCAGCAGAACAAGAGCGCTGTACTCCAGACAGGATATTGCCAATAGAATGCACAGGCTGGAGGTGTGCTTTGAGTGTCTGTGAGAGATGTCTGTACGTTGAATAGGTTAATTAGATGTTAGAGGGTAATCTTTTGAAATGATGGCATTCCTGTGCCTTTGATCCAGCATGGAGGTGGGATGTAAACATCCTTGACATGACTGGTGTAGCATAACCTAAGCTTGGATATTAAACTGCATCTTTATGTATATTTGCCAACTTACATACATTTAACACATTTTCATAGGTTAAAGAAATGGAAGGGATTCTGAAGAGAAGATACCCCAACTCCTTACCTGCTTTGATACTGGCTGCCTCGGCAGCTGGTGATTCCGCAGATAGAAACACGGTGGAGTTTATGGAGAGGAGGATAAAAAAGCTAGAAGCTGATCTGGAGGGCAAAGATGAAGAAGCAAAGAAAAGCCTGCGCACCATGGAACAGCAGTTTCAGAAAATGAAGGCAAGTGCGAGGCAGCAGAGGTGGCGCGTGCGAGCAGGTGTTCCCAGCCCTCACTTTAACGGAAGCCCTGAGCATCCTTGCCCACGAGTGTGATTCCATCGTGTCTTCTTGAACTCTGTCAGCAACCCCCTTCTATTTCAGACAGAGTAATCAAGCACAAGATGTGTTTCCTTAATAAATGTATTTTACATCCCAGCCACAGTTCCCCTCCCTCGTCTCTTCCCAGTCCCTCATCCCCACCGCTGCCCGTTTCCATCCCCCAGTCCACTCCTCTTTGTTTAGGGAAGAGCAGGTCTCCTACGAGTATCAACAAACCGTGACATATCTATCAGGTTGCAGTAAGACTAAGAATTAGTATTAAGGCTGAGCAAGGTGACAGAGTATGAGGAGTAGGGTCCCACAAGAGTCCCATGCAGGCTGTCAACTCAGTCTCTGTGAGCCCCTTTGAACTCAGGTAGGTTGGTTCTGTGGGTTTTCTTGTGGTGTCCTTGACCTCTCTGGCTCGCTCAGTCCTTTCTCTCCCTCTTCTGCAGGATTCCAAAACTCTGCTTAATGTTTGGCTGTGGGTCTGTGCCTGTTACCATCAGCTGGATGAAGCCTCTCTGATAACTGTTGGGCTAGGCAGCAAGCAGGTCACAGGAGATGGCCAGTTCAGGCTATGTATCTGCCATTGCTAGAAGTCTTAGCTGGGTTCATCCTTATAGATTCCTGGGAGATTCCCTTGCTCCAGGGTTTTACCTGGCCCCAAAATGCAGCCCCCCTCTAGTATCTTTCGAGTACTCTCACCCTCCATCCCCTCCCTGCAACCTGATAGCTCATGTTCCCATCCCCACCCACCCTCAGTCTACTCACAAAAATCTCTTCTATTTCCCTTTCCAGGGAGATCCAGGCATCCCCCCATGAGGCCTCCTTGTTACCTAGTCTCTCTGGGTCTGTGGAATGTAGCATAGTTATTCTTTATTTTACAGTTAATATCCACTTATAAGTGAGTACATACCATGTTATTCTTTCTTGGTCTGGGTTACCTCACTCAGGATAATATTTTCTGGTTCTACCATTTGCCTTGTTTTTAACAACTGAGTATTACTCCATTGTGTAAATGCACCACCATTTTCTTTATCCGTTCATTGGTTGAAGGACATCTAGGTTGTTTCAAGTTCTGGCTATTACAAATAAAGTCGCTATAAACATAGTTGAGCAAGTCTCCTTCTGGTATGGTTGAGCATCCTTTGAGTATATTCCCACCAGTAGTATAGCTGGGTCTTATGGTATATTGATTTCCAGTTTTCTGAGAAACTGCCATACTGATTTCCAAAGTGGCTGTATGTTTGCACTCCCACTACCATTGGAGGAATATTCCCTTTGCTCCACATCCTCTCCAGCCTGAGATGTTATTGTGTTTTTTTATCTTAGCCCTTCTGACAGGTATAAGATGGGTTCAGTGTATCTGGATGTATGTTGAGGTCCTTGATCTGCTTGAACTTGAGTTGTGCAGGGTGATAGATACGGGTCTATATTTGCATTTTCTGCATGCTGACATCCACTTATGCCAGTACCATTTGTTGTATAATTTTGGCTTCTCTGTTGAAAATCAGGTGTCCATAGGAGTGTCGATTTCCATCTAGGTCTTCAATTCAATTCCATTGAGCCAATGTCTGTTTTTAGGCCAATACCAAGCAGTTTTTATTACTATAACTCTGCAGCAGAGCTTGAAGTCAGGGGTGGTGATATCTCCCAGAGTTCTTTTATTGTATAGGATTGGTTTAGCTACCTTGGGTTTTTTATTTTTCCATATAAAATTGAGCATTGTTCTCTCAAAGTCTGTAAAGAATTGTGTTGGATCTTAATGGGGATTGCATTGAATCTGTAGATTGCTTTTGGTAAGATGGCCATTTTTACTATGTTCATTTTTCTGATCCATGAGCATGGGAGATCTTTCTATCAGAATTCTGGTATCTTCAATCCCATTCCTCAAATATTTGAAGTTCTGTATAAGGTGTCTCTATGCACCTCTGTCAGTGTTAGAGTCAGAGGAAAATAGATTGAAACACCTCAGCTGTACTCTCAGAAGCAAAGGAGAGAAGGCACTGCCATTGTTGAAATGTTACCACTGATGTGCATCTAGTCGTGGCTGTGGAGATGAGGCAGAGGCACCCACCTCAGAGCTAGGGATGGGTTACTGAAGAGCATCCTAGCCCAGGAATTTCTTAATTCCTGTAATTCCTGAATTTCCCATTCTTCTGTGGAACAGAAATGATGGAAGTGTTCACTCCAGCTCCATCAGGCTGCTCTTGCCCCGACTCACATCTGTCTTCTGTGTGCATGTGTGCACACTGCCACCATCCCTCTTTTAAATGGTGGTTCTGGGGTTAGACTCAGGGCTTCGTGTGTACTAGTCAGGTGCTCTACCACTGAGCTACAACCCAGTCCCATGAGGTCCACATTTGTTGATACCCCTTGAGAAACTTTAATGTGTGATCACATTAAATATCCAGACTAGATATTTAATAACTATATTAATCAATTAGCCACCAGTTGTAAATACTAGGAGGATCAGGTGTTTCTCAAACAATCCAATACCTCCAGTTGCTTTATGTGCTTATTCTTAGGCTATAACAGTTTGCATGGAGAAGAAGCATCATAGGCTGACATTAATTTGTTTAACAGTATAAAGTATCGATACTATTACTTTACTAGGCCCGAACTATTTTTTTCTTTTTGACAGTATCTCATAATAGATCAGGCTGGCCTTGAGTTGTGTAATCCCAACCGATCTTAAACTCCTGAGGCTCCTGCCTCCCTTTCAAGTTCTGGGGTTGCAGGTATTCGCCACTATGTACAGCTCTTAAACTTACTTTAAAATTTTAAACACCTGAGGACTGCATCAGCACATGCATTATCTAATATATATGAATCACTTTTTAAATGATATAGTTACACCCTTCAGAGAACAAGACCTCAATACATCTGATTTGTAAAGTGGAGGACAGGGATATGTGAGTGTTTGGATAGAGGACTCATACACACACAGTAAAATGCAGAGTTTCTATAAGTAATGGCATATTTAATGGGCTTTGACAGGACCTGAATTCTCTCCTCAGATCCAGTACGAACAGCGACTGGAGGAGCAGGAGCAGCTGCTTGCCCACAGACTGAAGGAAGCTCCACAGAACCAGCGCAACAGCTCAGCCAGGCTTAAGGCACTTGAGACAGAACTCGGAGAAATGAAGGAAGCCCATGAGGTCACTGTAAGAAAGCTGGAAGCTGAAATCGATGTTCTCAAACATCAGAATGCTGAGTTAGAACACAAGAAGAATGACAAAGAGGATCAGGACCTCCAGTCCCTAGAATTCCAGGTAGAGCAGGCACATGCTAAAGCAAAGCTGGCAAGACTCAACGAAGAGCTTGCAGCAAAGGGGAGAGAGATACAGGACCTTTCGAAAACTGTGGAGAGGCTCCAGAAGGAGAGAAGAATGATGCTGTCCAGGCAGGGCCCCGGGAGCAGAGAGGAAACGTCCGCCAAACGGCTGAAGAAAGACGTTCTGCACCCCAGTAGAGGGAGCGCAAACTCCTCCTCTGGAACCCTCGATGCCAAACTGTACCACCCACACACCTTCACTGATTCCCATGTTTCAGAGGTTGTACAGGAAAACTGCAGATTGAGAAAAGAGTTAGAGGGATTGATTTTAGAGAGGAATAAGCTGAAGATGGACTCTGAAGCAGCAATGTACCAATTTGAAAACTCCATGAAAAGGTAAAAGGTTAAATTGTTCATAAACATGGCAACACAAACAGGTTTTTTTTTTTTTTTTAATTATAAGGTGTATTTCTCTATAATTTGGTCTTGAAACACATCCATAACATGAACTAAAGTTGATCAATTGCTAGAATGTTTGCCTATAGTGTATGTGGAACTCTAAGTTGATCCCCAACACCAGAGAAATAAGGTGGGTGGTCCCTCCATATCCTCCTAACACTCAAACACTTGGTAGAACCTGGAGGATCCTAAGTCCAAAGTCATTCTTGGCCACATAGCAAGTTAGAGGCCAGGTTGGGATACATGCAAGCAACTGGTCTTAAAATGTAGAGTTTATTATATTGTGTGTATGTATTGGTGGTAGTAGCATGTGAAAGAGGTTTTTCAGTGAGGCTCTTCTACCTGATGAAGCACTAGATCCTGGTGAACTGAAATCCCCATGCCAGGCCAAGCCATGTGTTTGGGGTGACTGGTAAGTTTCCTCTCTTTACTCATAACCTAGTTCTTCCCTCTCCCCAGGCTCGCATCCCTGTCCAAGATTGCTAAGTGTTAATTCCAACTGCAAGTCAGTTTTTATGTCCTTTATTACTTGAGTTCATGATCTATAGGATACTGCCTATAAATGTCCCCCCCCCATACCACCCATCTTTCTATACCTAACAGTACATTGTACTTTCCCCATCATCTTGCTTTAAGATGTGTGTGTTAAAATATGTGTGTGTATATAATATATATATATACACACACACACGTATATATATATATATATATATATATATATATATGCTCTCATTGTCATTGTTCCTTCAGTAACTCCCAACTTCCTTAAATATCAATACTCAATTTCTCTGCCTAGCATTTCAAATCCCATGCCATTCTCATATTATTCTCTCTACCTAATGTTTCTTTGTGCCTCTTGCTCACTTGTACTTGAAGTTCTGCCCCTTCCACAGAACGTTTCTTGGCACATCTCAGAAAATTGCCTGCTCCCACCCACAACTCCTACATAAGCATTAATCATCCCCCGCCTTGTAGCTCCCAAAGAACAGAGAGAATATTGCACTGCTTTGCATGCCCATGCCTGCAGCTACCTGGTTTCACTCAGCAGGATGGTCATGGGAACAGTACCCACAATGTGGCTACTAAGTCAGCATGGCAGTACCATATTGAAATCGGTTTCTCCAGTACTCAATCTAGTTGTTATTCTTCCCTAGAAATACTTAACATTCAGGTTTATTGTTTCAAGTTTCTTTTAGGAAAATTTTGTTTTTGCTAGTGTTGTTATTCTGTTTCTCTGATATTAAAATTCTTCCTAGTCCCAGATTGAGGCTGTCATTTACTCTGAGTTATATTATGAGTGATTTTGGCTTTAATCCTTTTCCTAGAATGCTAACTATACTGCTTCCTTGGAAAAATAGCAAATAAGTAACTGATGCTTGTCTGTCACTTATAGATTGCTGTGTTCTTAGCAACAGCTATTTGTACCCACACCACTTATTTAACTGCCTGTAATCCATGTACTTTGTCACCAAGACAAACAAATCATCACATAATACCATCCAAATGAAGCAAATAATTCTATGTCTGATAATTACAATAAAATTATTGTATTCTCTCAGTCTGCATGCCCAAATACTGGTGAGCTGCCAATATAAACCATTGAGGATTTTAAGAGCTGTGGTTGTCCAAACAAGAACCCAAGTGAGAAATTTGAGTGTGCCTTAAAAGACAGAATGACTAAACATTTGCTTGAAATTAAGGCAGGTGCATTTGAACCTTGGAGTTCCTTGGAAAATATAGCTTCAGATGGAGGAGAGAGGAAGGCCTAACATTTAAACTCCATTCGTGCTTGACTTGATCTCAAGCTGGACAGTTTATAGATCTGCACCCTTGGCCTGACCTCTGTGTGTCACTTTTCCTAAACCCACTACTCTTACAAAACCTGGAAAATGCTAGCCAGTGAGTGATTAAGGAGCGCACAGCATCTGTTGAAAACACCTGATGTGCAGCCAAGAGTAACTCCCCATCGCTGCCTTCTTGAATACTGTCTGGGCATGCCGAGTTAGAGGTGTGAGAGAGAGCCACTTACCATGTTCTCTCATGTCTGTCCCACAGGGTCAAGGACGATGCTGCAGCACACATTGTGTCCCTCAAAGTGGCTCATCAGAGGGAAATAGAGAAACTCCTTTGCCAAAATGCACTGGAAAATTCCTCTTCCAAAGTAGCTGAACTGAATCGAAAAATAACAACTCAAGAGGTAGCTGGTTCTTCTTAGACACTAATCACATATTTTTAAGTCTACAGCTAGAACATGATTTCATCTAGAAATGTTTTAACTTCATTTTTTTCAGGTTGATGATACAAATGGAAAATGGTTATTGACTTAATTTTTATACATATGTTTTTATGTTTTTAGCATTTTACCTTAAAATTATGCCCTATAAATAAGTGTTTATACAGACTTGTCCCTCCCTTTCTCAGATCCCCCTCTACATAGACTGCCACAGACAGCTGAGGTATATGTGTAGCTGAGTGGGAACTTGCATGTTGATCTACCACCCTCCACCCCAAGACCCAAATGATAAGTGGTTACCCTCATGCATTCTTCTGCTTGTTAGCCTTTCATCGTGGAACAAATAATGCCTCCAGTCAGTGAGGCACTAGGGATAAAGTAATGAACAGAGACACACAGCTCCCACCCATGGGAAGCACAGCCTTTCAACAGCTGTGATGGGGAATGCTGAGAGCCAAACAGCATTTCCTTCAGTCAGCAGCTTCCTTCCTGGATAACAGGTACATCTACTGAGACTGCCTAAAAATAGCCACCCTTTGGCTGTTCTCTGCAGTATTAGGATGAAAATAGAACTTTTGTTAAAAATTGGAAATGTAAGCAGTGGTGAGTGAGGCTGTGTTTATTTTGCCCCTCATCGGTCCTGGAGGTTTTTATTTTCATAAGATAAACTTAAGGAGGGGCCTTAAGAAATTGCTACCATCTCTCCCATCTGTAACTACTTCCTAGCATTATAATTACAAACAAATCCCTCATTGGGGAACTTTTTTTTTTTTTTTTTTTTTTTTTTGGAAAAGCTTGTGACTTTATTGTCTTTGTAACAAGATCCACTTAGAACTGGATCACTCGGCCCTTTCCCTTCTTATTGCCTCCCAGTTCAAATTGCTGGCCTCTCTTACTAGCCAGCATCCTCTTAAATCTGCAGTTGGGTTCAACACTCTCACGTCTCAACACAATCATCTTTGTAGTTTTAGCCTTTTTGTGGAAAATAGGCTTAGTCCACCCACCATGGCCACTGTTCGCTGTGGTAATGCTGCTTTCTCCGGGCACAAAGAGTCCTTGCCCTTCTTGTACTGCATCACTTTGTGGGATTGGTGCTTGCCACATTTCTTGCAGAACATCTGGTGGGTCTTAGGAACATTTACCATGTTGGTGGGAACAGTAAAGGCACAGAAAGAAGCAAGGAAATTTAAATAGGGACAGTTTAAATATTTTTAAATCGTTGTGAATTATCAGATATAAAACTGTTGTACCTGTCATAAAGAGGTGTATGTTGAAGTATGTGGGGATGAGATGTAAGGAAGTCAGGACAATCCTCATAATGTAGTTAGAAGTGTTTCAATGCTTTTCTAAAGTATTCTTCAGAGTACCTCCAATGTAGGCCTGCAGATCCTCACCAGGTGTCAGAATGCAGCTGGGATTGCACCAGGTCATTTGCAGGGATAGTCTGGGACAGTGAGCGAACCAGGTTCTTCTAATACCATAGTAGCGCAGATACTGTGTTTTCCTAAGGTGCTGGTTGTGATAGAGTTCCCTGGAAGGCAGTGCAGCCTGCTCATTAGAATAATGAAGTGTTGCAGAGAAGAGAGCATGCCAGGGCATTCCACACGTTCTTAGAATGCCTGGTGGAAAACTGTTCATGGATTCCAAATTCCTTTGTCTAAAATTATGATGTGACATTTTTAGTTCAAAGATTATGACTAATATCTTTAATAACCTAGTATCCTTCTTAATCACAAAGTATGAAGATAATACTGTCCACTTCCAAACTTTGACTTCACGGAGGTTTGTTTACTTCTCAAGGTTTGTTTCAGTCTTGAGTTGGCTTATATTATCTGCATAGTATTTAAAGGAGAGCCTTATTAACTAAATCCTTCTCCCACCCAAGTACTGGCCGGGCCCAACCCTGCTCAGCGTCCAAGCTCAGGCAAGGTCGGGCACATTCAGGGATGTGTGGCTGTACACTAATCCTACTTGTTATCTTTCCCTAGGTACTTATAAAACATTTCCAAGGTCAAGTTAATGAGCTGCAGGGTAAACAAGAATCCCTTGCAGTTTCTCAAGTTCGAGAAGAAATCCTACAGAAACAGGTAAGAAATAACCAAAATATAGGACTAAATAAGTTTTTCTTAGGGATTTCAATTACATTAATATTTATATATAGAAGAATCATTAGTAACTTAGTGTAAAGTCTGCTTTCTAAAAAGTAATCAGTCTAGAAATCTGTTTTAATGTGACTTATTCAGTCAACCATCATGTATTTCTTTAACTGGTAAGTCTTGTAGCTTAACTTGTGTATAGTACAGGCTTCCTGAGCATAAGTGTTAACGATGTGGTTCCCTCAAGATCCAAAGACCCTTCCCATGGCTGAGACATCAAAGAGCTGGTACCGCACAGTTGGTGGGAGTATATTTATGGAGACATTGGTTCAGGTCACTGTGGAACGTAGGCAGACTCCAGTGGACCTATAGATGGGGTCACAGGTATTTCTGGGTGGGACTTTGGCAGCACCAACCAAGCAACAAAGACAGAGAAGCCAAAGGCCCCTAGTAGACCCAGAGCCAACAGAGGGGGGATGCTGCCTGGTGGTCTGTCCCTAGTCCTTCTAGTAAACTGCTTGATACAAGCCAACATTTATCTCTCTAGCTAGCAGAAACTAATGTTTTCACTAGTTACATAGCCAAACTGTCAGAGCAGAGAAAAGGGGGAGCTGTGTCCATTTGTAAAACTGTTAACTCCCAGTCCTTACCCTGGCTTGAACAGTGGGGCTTGTCAGACCTGGTGTGTGCTGTGCCTGTGTCTCTTCCAGCAGATGGCAAGAAGACAGAACAGTGGCCTCAGCTGATAACCACGCGCAACTAAATCTGTAAGACAGTTATCACGAACTGAGTTTTACACTTTGTTTCCTCCTGATAATCAGAATTTGTAAAGGAGGGGGCAAGAAAAGACTACACCTTCCTCTCTCATCTGGGAAGCCAGCCATGTGGCTCATGCCTATAATCTTAGCATTCTGTAGACTGAGACTTGAGTTTGAGGCCAGCCCAGGCGAAGGCCAGAGAAAGAGACAGGCAGATGTGGGAGAATTGGTTTCAGTGAGAATTCTGTTATCCTGGTGCTGCAAGTTTCACTAGGACCCCATCCATGGGTTCCAGAAAGAGGTGGTTTGCCTAGAAAGCTCTGGGTCTTTAGAACCTGTCAAGGACAATTATGTTCCTCAGCTCTGTGAGTTCTTAGTTGGGACAGGCTCCTGTAACAAGCAATAGTAATTAGATTTGAGAGAAGCAAATGAGTGGCTGACACAGTGCTCACCAAGCAGGAGAAAAGTCAGTAGAAAGTGACTGTGCAGTGGCTTAGAGCGCTGCCTCAGCAAAGAACAGGAACCTACGTGGACACAGTAGACACAGGAAAGCCAGAGCCAACGGTGGCAACTGTGGGGAGGAACAAGGCGCAGAACACTTTCCGAGTGAGATTTGATTTCAGATCCATCTGGTGTCTTCTCTGGGCTGACAGGAGCCAACCTGTTACTAATAAGACTTTGTATCCTGCCTTTAGACAAAAAGCCAGGCACAGAAAGCTTTTCCTGTTTGCTGTGTCACAGCTATCATCTACAGAAAAACGTCAGAGAGGCACACTGACAGTCATGCTGTGTCACCAGCAGCAGTATCATTACGCACAGGCTCCATGGGAAACCACCACTGCTCTTTGGCCCAAGGTCCCACTGATTCTAGGAAGATAAAATAATGATATATACGTGTGTGTGTGTGTGTGTGTGTGTGTGTGTGTGTGTGTCTGCGTCTGCTTTCCTTTCAGTGTTCAAGATGCACACAGAACCTTGTTAGCCTTAATCACTAAGCTTACAGGCTCTCACAGAATTGAAATAAAGCTTTTAAAATAAGCAGTGACAGGAAATATATGTACGTGTTTGCAGGGCCAAAAAACAAGATCAGCTAACCAACTTATAGTCTTGTTAAAAGCATACCCAAGACTTGGTAATTTATGAAAAAGCATTGTTAATTCAAACATCCAAGAACATCATGCCAGCATCTTCCCATGGTAGAGGGACAGGGGAGAGCCAGGCTTGCATTTCTAACAGCATATTTCCAGAATAATTCACTCAGACCTCCAATAACAACTTCAGTCACAGGACTTGGGAGGACATGATGAATGCTAAACAGCTGCAGTGTGTGTTTCTTAGTCTGGGTACCTGCTGCTTAATATGGAGTTCATTTACAGGAGCTGCATGAGCATGGCTATACAGTCCTACCACTAATGAACACCTACTGCTCCTTAGCCTGGTGTATACTGAGGCATCCCACCTCAATTTGAAGGGAAAAGGAACTGTTCCCACCTCTGAACTCCAAGAATCAGTCTGTTTTCCTGAAGCTGAACTGTTGCTGGATAAACTAGGCGATGGCAGAGGCCTTTTCTCCCTTCCCTCAGGAGTCACAGTCCTGTGAGCTGTTACCCATCCTCTGAAAGCAGCTAATTGATGTACTTGACTTTATCCTCTAGTTTCTCAGGGGAAGATTAGATCCCTGTCACTTTGTATATTCACAAATGAAGGTGCACTATACATTTTAAAACAGTGGTGAGTTCTGGTAGATCTTTTGTCTGTGTACTTTTATAAGGACCATCAGAAAGCTGTGACAGGTTTTCAAAATTTAGTTAAAGCAAATACCCTTGATGTCTTTGGGAATGTACCTCTCTTACTTAGTGAGCTAATGCTGGGGATCTGAAAGGGCATTTCTATAGATTACATGGCTGTCCTGAGCCTTTTCTCTAAAATGTTTTCAAATCGCACAGCTCTTTAAGGTCATACCTGCTGCAAAGGGGTGCAGACCTTTTAGTTAGCCTCTACTATATTGTCAATCAGTCTCTACAACCTCAGGCACATACTGGCTCATGTCTTGGGATTTATCGTACTCTTCACAAAAAGGGCTCATCATGCATGAGGTAGCAGCCATTATGAATTTTCAGTGGCTACTTAAGTCTTCAGTTCACTCATTCCCGTGCACCCCAGAGTTATAGAGGAAGGACTTGAATCTCTATATAGATATATAGACTCCTAAAGACAGATGCGGGGCTAATTACAAATGTCACCACAGTGGAAAAGTCTATCATCACCTTATAGAAACCACACTGGGTGTGGTGATGCATGAGTGTAACCCCAGTACTTGTGATCCTCCATCTGTGCCACCCAAGATCCAGGCTGGCCTGTACTACATATGAGACCCTGTCTGAACAAAAGAAAAAAGGGAAAAGAAAGAAACCATTTAAGACCAGCATCTGACCTGAGCCTGGGGACTCTTAAGGCCCACTATAAAAAACAAAAACAAACAAAAGAAACCCTGCAGAATCTTGCTGTGCTTACTGTAACTTAGATATTCTGGAGCCAGGTGTTACTTCCCTGAGCAAGCAGTGGAAGGTGGGTGGGGTTTATGGTAAGAGCTGTATGTATATCCTTAACAGTGCTATTTGATCTCCATCACTGTAGCAGCACCTGAGACAGCCAGCTAATTACAAAAATTAGTATTGAAGTCTCATCCAGACCAGTTGGCTCAGATGCTTAGAGCAGCATGAAGTCCTCACCTCATGAGAGAGATCATGTGTTAGAGCAGTAAGAAGTCCATACATCATGAGAGGTCATGTGTTAAAGCAGTAAGAAGTCCATACATCATGAGAGGTAATTAATAAGCTTGACTTATTATAAATGGATTAGGTTCACCAATAAAAAACATACAGACTGACCAGATGGACTTTAAGTGTGAAGTGGGAAAAAAAAAACCTGTGTGCTGCCTACAAAGGCATTTATTTTCCTGATAAAGAGATTCGTGCACATACCACACACCCACGTAAAATGAAGAACTTGGAAAAGTATGCAAATAAAAACTAAAAGCAAACAAGATTAGCTGAACTTTATCATAACACATTTTAAATAAGAACCTAATGAGATACCAAGGGGTCACTATATTGTGTATTTAAATCAGAACTGAAGAGACCAAGGGGCCATTGCATGGTGATAGAGCAGAGTGAGTAACCAGAAGACACAACTGTAGTATAGGTTTAGGTACTCATCACAGGTATCAATGAAGTACATAAAGCACAGAGTATCAGCTCTAGGGGGACAGACTCCAATGCTGACAAGTCATGTAGGCAGAAGACCAGCAAGGAAACATGAACTGAAACATCATGGTGCAAGCCATTTCATCCAACAACAGAAAGAACATTCTACAAGGTAAAGCATGCATTTGGCCAAAAGTCAAGTCTCAATGAGTATTTTAAAAAATTATAATCTTATTGTATATCCTTAGACCAAAGACAGGATAAAAACTATATGTCAGAAAAAAAAAGAACAATGGAAAATATGCAAAATGTGGAAAATGAACAACCTTCTCACAAATGACTCATTTGGATACTAAAAAGTTAAAGCAGAAATCAAACACTGAAGCATGAAAGTCTGCAAGCACAGGCGAGCATGGACAGCTGGTATAGCAGCAAATGTATAGTCAGGAAGGAAACCTGCAAAACCAAGACAAGGCTCGTGAAGGGTTTTCTAGCAAAACCTTTAACTAGACTAGCCAAGAAAAATAACAAGGAAAAGAAGGGAGACATTTTTATTAATCTGAATAATTTATAAAGGATCATAAGAAATAGCTATGCATAATTACATGGAAATCTGGTAAGCCCCCCCCCCAAAAAAGACATAACATCGCACATGCAAACATACCAAAATCAAGAATTATGGAATATAAGTGGAAAAACAAATAGTAATAAATTGGAGTAGTTATTTAATCTGCTGTCTAAAGTCTAGAACCCAGTGACCCAGATTTCTACAAAAGGTTTATTTAAAAAATTATTCATTTCTTTTTAAAATAATCCAAGAAACTGAAATGAAAAGGACTCTGATAAACTTGTTATGAGGCTACCATTACTGTGACAGCAAACCAAAGACAAAACATGAAAACTGCAAACCTGTATCTGCTATGAACATGTCAGAAATTCCTAACAAAATGCTAGCAAACTGAATTAAAGAGCATATCACAGTACTCATTCCCTGTGATCAACTGAAACTCCTTCCAGAGATGCAAGAATGGTTAGGCTTGATACAAAACAGTAAACATGATAAAATACCCCATATACAATGAAAGTATTTCCTTTAAAATCTGCGACAACAAAACAAAAAAAGATAGCCACTGTCCACATTCTTATTTAGTAATATAGTCTTGACAAAAGAAACCAAAGGCATTCAGATTGTAAAGGAAGAAGGTCATGATCTATATTTGCAAATGATTTGACATAATATATTGAAAACCCTAGTTTCTATTTAAAAGAAAAAAAACTGCCAAGTGATTTAAAAGAATTTAGAAAAATTTCAGGACACAAAAAAATCAGCATACAAGGACTAGAAGTATGGCTCTGTAGTACAGAGCCCTGGCTGCTCCTGAAGACCTAAGTTCAAATCCTAGCACCCACATGGTGGCTCATAATTAACTCCACCCCCCAACTGACAATCTGGGTGCAACACCCTCTTAGGTATTAAAATAACTATTAAGATAAACGAGGCTTCTATTGACTATTTAATACCTACTGTGCATGTATTTAATAACTCACTTTAGATGTTAAAAATTAGAAGCTGTAAAATCAGCTATAGCCCCACAGCGCCAAAATCTATTTTGCTACAGCTCCTGTTCACACGGGTGCAAACAGTATAGAGTAAGGGGGAGGGTTTGGAGTTCTGTCCCAGCCTACATCAGCAAGACCCTGTTTAAGAAAAATGACCACAGCAACAAAACTTCATCAACCATGAAGAGAGATCAGCAAAACCTCTACACAAAAGAAAAAACATTCATGGAAGTTTCATGAAGTGAAAATATCCCTATCTGCCATGGGAACAAGTAGGAACAGTCATAAAACCTGTCTGGCAGTGTGTGTGCGCCATTGTGGAATGTTGTTCAGCATAAAGGAAGCCTGGCCAGCTGCTGTCAGCCCAGGGCAGGGGATGAATTACCCAAGTTTCTTCAAAAAGTTTTCCAGTGAAATACTTAATGTAGACAAAGCTGATCTGTGAACTGAGAAAGTGACCTGAAACTACAAATATGATTTTCATAAAAATCGATTTAAAAAACAGCAAAACCATAACCCAACAGTGAAGGATTGCAAAGTGGTCATCTTAGAATGGTGTTACTATGGTAGGTGTCATAAAAATGGCATCCTCAGCCTGGCGGTAGTGGCGCATGTCTTTAATCCCAGCATTCGGGAGGCAGAGGCAGGCAGATCTCTGTGAGTTCAAGACCAGCCTGGTCTGCAAGAGCTAGTTCCAGGACAGCCTCCAAATCCTCTGAGAAAACCTGTTTTGAAAAACAAACAACAACCAAAAATAAAAATAAAAAATGTCATCCTCACTGCTGTGTGTGAGGACCACACATGCTGCCCATCCTCTGCATCTCACCCAAGCCTTCGAGTTCCAAGCTGCTTACATGTGGGTCTCCTAAACTGTGTGCCAGCTAATTTTATGTCAACTTGACACACGGTAGAGTCATCAGAGAGAAGGGAGTCTCAGCTGAGAAAATCCCTTTACAAGATTGGGCTGTAGGCAAGCCTGTAGGGAATTTCTTAATTAGTGATTGACAGAGAAGGGCCCAGCCCTTTGTGGGTTACTCCCTATCAGGGTCCTGGATTCTGTAAGAAAGCAGTCTAACTATGCTACGAGGAATAGGGAAGGAAGCAGAAGTCATCCACGGGCTCTGCATCAACTCCTGCCCTCAGGTTCCTATCCTGCTTGAGTTCCTGTTCTGTCTTACTTTGGTGATGAGCAGCAATGCTGAAGTGTAAGCCAAATAAACCCTTTCCCCACACAAAAAAAAAAAAAAGTTTGATTGCCTCTGGTTTAATATAATTTTTGTATTCACCTTTTTCTACTAACTTAGGTGAGATTGAGGAATAGTATTGTTATTATTAGGTAATGGGTATTTTATGTAAAACAGGATTGAATGTGTTAATTTATCCATCTTCATTTTCTTATTGCCTTTAATGCAGCAACTAGTGGAATCAGATCTCGGATAGAATTTCTTCCTGTATAATAGAAAAATGCAGTTCATTGCTTCACTAACGCTGACATAGAAGGCTCTCAAACCCCCTCCATATTATCCCTAGTGCTATAACAATAACTCCATTTTCTGTGTGGTGAGAAAAGTACTGCACAGACTAAGCCCATGAGGGCAAGGACTGTACCTCTCACTCTCTGCATCCTGGGGTCCCAAGAGAGCAGTCAACCAAGAAAGACACCTCCTCACCTGCCTCTGCTCCATTCTCTGACAAGCAGCCTCATCTGTGGGGCATTGCATAGGGTCATGAGAGAATTACAGATAAAATGTGTGTTCTTCCTGTGCTTGGAACACTAACTACAGTGCTGCAGGACTGAGCTACACTTTTAATCCTAAAAGCAGTTACTGACACCTTGAAGCCGAGGAAAGCACCCACCTCGCTTGAACACGCGTAGTCCTGGAAGGAAGGTGGTGTGGACAATCTGGAGCCAATCAGAATGTGAGGTCAGCTCAACTAGAAAGACCCTTTACCTCTTGGTCCTGAGAAGGGAAGCTGTTAATTTCTAGATGAATCTAGGGTGCCACTTGAGGAATTTATACGAATATTCTTGATTTTCAAGATTATCTGTTTGGAAATAATTGTTTCCTTGTGATTGTGGGTTTTCCATTCCTACTTCCATTGTAGGTTACAAAGCTCTTGGAAGAATTGAAAGAAGCCAAAGAAAACCACACGCCAGAGATGAAGCATTTCGTGGGCTTAGAAAGGAAGATCGAGCAGATGGAAATGAGGCATAAGCAGAGAGAGCAGGAACTCCAGCAGGTAGCAGTTAGATAAAAAGCAGGGGCGGGGTCACTTCAGAGCTTCACTCTAAGCACTTTCCATTGCTGTCACTCTTACATCCCTACCAAACGCTTCTTCACGTGTCCCCATGTCCTTTTCTTTGTGTAGTTTATGAATGTGGACATTTTGTCTGTATGTACGGCTGCACTCCAGAAATGACATTGTGAGCCACCACATGGGTGCTGGGAATTGAACTCGGGACCTCTGGAAGAGCAGCCAGTGCTCTCAGCCAGAGTCACTTCTCCAGCAACCACTCTCTCCCCACCATTGACTTTTAATCCTTAAAGTATAGTTTTGAAGAAAAAGACTTAAAATCTCAAATACTTTGATATTGCTTTTCCTTATATTTTGAAAGAGAAAACTTATGTCCTTAAACGCTGAGGGTACCTAGTTTACGTTTATTGCCCTTGGAACAATATTCCATATTAAATAATTTTCCATATTTATAAAACTTATATTAACAAGATGGTTATTAATACCTAGCACTAGAACAGGTGTACTGCATTTAAAGAGCGAGGATGCAATGTTTTCGGTCTGGCTTTACTCTAGAACTGTCAGTCAGCTCACACAGGCCTCTCCTGGACTAGACGGTGGTGAAGCCGGGATTCTGGCTAACCTGGTCTCTAAAGAGGCTGCCTTCCTGGCTTGCAAGTTGCATTCTTGAGGCAAGAAAGCTCTTTGATGTGTGTCTTTTCTTATGAGGACACTAATCCTATCAACTCAGGGCCCTATCAATACAGCCTAATTTACCCTCATTTCCTCACTCCACATATGGCCACACCAAGGGTTAGGGCTACAGCATGTGGTTTTGGGGGGTGAAGGGACATTCAGTTCGTAACAGATAGTGAGAAATTTACATAAACCGTTGAAGACACACACACACACACACACACACACACACACACACATGCATTATGCTTTCTGGTTTCCCACAAGAAGCCTGGGTGTACCTACTCAGTATTGTCCTGCTCTTTAAAACTGTTAAACATTCCTCATTTCCACTATGAACTGGAATAATAATGTGAAATTTTCATATTTCCAGATAATACAGCAAACACGCCAAGTAGTGGAAACTGAGCAAAATAAGGAAGTTGAAAAGTGGAAGAGACTTGCACAGTTGAAGAACCGGGAGCTGGACAAGTTCCGCACAGAGCTGGACTCCATACTGGACGTTCTGCGGGAGCTGCACCGGCAGGGGGTGGTGGTGCCAGTCACCCTTGCAGATGAAGTGAGTGCAGCAGAATTTTAGTCGGAACTTGGATCTGAGTGGAATGTACCACCGTGGGGACAGCTTTTGAAAGATAAGGTTCTACCACAGCAGCAGAGTAACTCGTCAGAATAAACTGCCCCAAACCAACAAGGAAAGGAACATCGTCATGGTGTGTTTTACTGAAAACCATTAACTTAAGCATTGGAGATGACTCATGAGCAGGTTCTGTAATGTCAGAAGACCCTGACTAGCAAGGCTTACTGCAGAAGGGTCTGCTCCCAGGCTACAGTGAAGGGAAGCAGTAGTCATCCTCGGCCATGTCTTATCTATGAACTTTGCATTTTCTGTATGACAGAAAACCAGCTTTCTCATGAAGAGGTAAAGGAATGTGAGCCTCATGCTGGGGACAGTCTCGACTCATCAGCTGTTGGCTGAGCTGCAGGGCCTCTTCAGTAACTTAGATGACAGTTGTAATTTTTGTTCTCTCAGGCTTCTTGAACCCAGTGGAAAGTGACAACTAATGGCACAGTTGGTGTATCCATTACTGTAGGCCAGGTGTAGTAAATGACAGTCCTAATTTTTGGCAGCTCTAAAGCTATACATGGTAAAAGAAGTCTTACCTTTTCTATTGAAAAAAGAAATATTATATCCATTAGAAAAAAATAAAAATATGATAAAAAATAGTTCTAGCTTATTTTACCATCCCATTTTTAAAAGCAGATCAGAAACGTGATAGTGGTAAATCAAAGCTGTAGCCAGTTTGCTTTCATGTGCCTTTCCCAGGCTACCTTACAACCCCTGGCTGGAAGCGTGCTGTCCATGGAGACATGGCACACTTGGTGTCTGCACGGGGTGCTCCCGGACGTCCAGGACAGCATAGGAGCTGCACAGGACAGCATAGGAGCTGCACAGTAACTTTTAATTTTCAACCACTTTAAAATGTAAAAAGAAACTGCGAACTAAGTCTTTAGAATACATTTTACATTAATAGCACATTTCAGTTTGGCCTACATTCCAGCTGTGTGTGCCAGTAAATGCAATTCTGGGGTAATGCTTATGAAGTAGAATGTTTCATAAAGGATAGGCGAGTGAGTCTAGTGATCTCACAATCAAAGGATGTGAAATATATATATTTACCTGTTAAATATGGGAGTGTAATTATTGTCTTAATGCCAACATTTTGTAATGTGTTTTCTTTCTGAGAGGAGAGTAAAATAGCATTTTTGCAATTTTTTTCTTGTACAATGTTTCAGAGTTATAATACAAATAATTTATTTTATAATTTAGGTGTTTTGTGTTTATCGGTTAATACATGCCTCTGAATACATAGCTTCCCATTCCACCCTCTGCCCTTTTGACTGATTCCATATATGAGCCATTCAAAGTACAAAGCTGGTTTTAAAACAAAAGGGAAACATGCAGAAAAGGTTGGTGTTGACTAGTAAGCCAAGTTCACATGCATTATGTCTGTCTGTCCTAGGATACCCAGCCCCATTCACTACTGTGTGGGCTGTAAAAAGTCTACTTCTCTCGTTGAGCTTTGTCCTAGAAACAGGTGGCGTCCTGGCTTTATTGGTGCAACTGCATTTAGAGGCTAAGGTGGCTTAACAGAGTGAGAGAGTTGTGACGAGCATAGAGCACAGGTTTTTAGTAACAGGATGGAGGTGCTGTTTGGGAAAGAATGTGACTCTACATTTTGGATGACATGGGTATGAAAGCTCTAACAGAGCTGGGGCATGACATGAAGCTGCTAATTCCACTGAGATTCCCTTCCCCAACCCCTTTTTGACAGTACAGGGAATCCAGTCCCGAGCACCATATGTACCAGTTAGGTTATAAGACAATCGTGCTGTGTGGCTCAGGTTTAACTCAAACTTGAAATCCTCCTGCCTGAATCTCCTCAGTGCTAGGACTGCAAGTGTGTATCACCTAACTGGGCTTCCAATGAGTGTTTTTTGTTTCCAATGGTGCTGTGGTGGTGGTGTGTTAGTTTTAAGATAGGATCTCATCTAGTCTAATGCCGGGATTTGAACCCTGAGTGCATGCTAGTAAAGTGCTCAGTTGACTGCAGTACACACCCCCAGACTGATGAACTCTATTCAGAAGTGGCAATAGCAGCTTCTCACCACCAGAGGAGATTAGCTGTGCACTGACTGAAACATTAATGACCTATCCTAAGGCCATGCTAAGTAAGACAATGCTGGTTTACCTTGAGGCAGAGAGCCACCAACCCTGGTTCCTTCTATACCTATATGTGGACTTAAGTTCCAACAAGCCCCCAAGGGTGAGATATGACCTGTAAGCCACAAAGGAGTGTACGTTTCTATTTTATACAAGTAGAATCCAAGGGACTGGTGTAAAAATGCTTGTGAAGGAACATACTAATACACATCCACAAAAGCAAAGATTCTGAATAAAGAACTTGTCAGATTGGGGACATAGCTGTGTCAATAGTGCTTATCTAGTATACACAAAGACCTGGGTTCTAATCCCAGCACAGGATTAGATGAGCTCCTATAGTTCAGGGAATTAGAAAGGGCTCCTAATAATTTGTTTGGCTGAAACATGGTTCAGAAATGGCTGGTAGCAAATTGAAGAAGGTTAGGGATAGAATTTTACCATGTAATTGTCACTTAAGTATTAATACACTGCAAGGAGACCACTGTGCCAGCCTTCTTATTGAGGTGAGCTTTCTACTATTTAAATTTTGGAACAGACAGCTTCTTGTGGGACATTTTTTCCATCCTGATGACTGATGGGCTCATTTGGAGTAAATCCAAAGGCAGGGATTTGCTGTTTACCAGAAAACTTCCTGTTCAATAGTATTCTTATAATCTCCATGGTGATTCAGAGAGTCATGTCTCCATTTAGGGCCTGAGAAACAATTCTGACCAAAAGCAATGTTAACAAGAAAAAAAAATATGTATGAATGTGTAAGAATAGTGATAATTTGCCACGAGGGAAGAACCTTCTAATGGGCCTCAGCAAAGCCATTGTTACCTCCACCTTCCTTCTGTATGGTATTTTAAATTTCAAGAAGTGGCATTGTGACCAGGCGTTGCCTTTAATCCCAGAATTCAGAAGGCAGAAGCTGGCAGATCTCTGTGAGTTTGAGGCTAGCCTAGTCTAAGACAGACTGCTCCAAAGCAATACAGAGGAACCCTGTCTCAAAAAACCAAAAAAAAAAAAAAAAAGGTGGCATTGTGATCCTTCTCTGTCCTTAGGCAATTATAGTCCTTGGCCTATCACTTACAAAATTGGTGTGTTACCACAGGCATGAGATAGGATCCTGGCATTGATTAGATGCTTGGCTAGGTCATCCTGGATGACTTTTGAGCCTAATTTCTAACTAACTTCCTAATAGTTTCATGACTCTTGCAAGAAAACCCATTGCAAAAGTGCCACCAAAATAAGTTGCTTCAAGGCTGCTATAGTGTTCTACTAAATTTTCTAAGTTTTTTTTTTTTTTAACAGCATCTTGCTACACGATTCAGGGTGGCTTTGAATTCCTGGTATTCCTCTTGTCTCAGCCTCCTAAATAACGGGATTATAGGCATACCATTCTGGATTTAAGATCAAAATCCTCTGGATTTCTCAAACCATTAACCCAGATTCTATTTAGAACAAAATTCTGCAAGTGCTTTTGTCTTCTAATTATAAAGCGGCCTTTTAGTCATGGTGCTTGTCTAAGGATCAATGGGTGATGCAAATAAACAGGTTCTCTTATACCACCAGAAGTACTGAGAGTGGGGAGGAAGAACTGGAGCATTCATACGTGACCTCAGCTTTCCATTGCTCACCCAGGGGAGCATCATCACCCAGGTGACTGTTAGCTGGCATCATTGAGCATGGTGGGAAGGCTCTCATGCGGTGATGCTAACCCCATGTGGTTGATTCTAGTCAGTCTGAGTCGTTTAAGCTAAACAAAAGGCAACTGCTACACCAAATTCCAGACAGCAGCGGGCTTCTAAGAGCTGGGGCACCAGTGACTGCTCCCCAAGGAGGGCCAGAACAGGACTGGGAATATAATAGCTCAGAGGCAGGAACTATTACTTCCATGGCCAGATGCTATTGATACCACTAAGGATCTGATTCCTCCGAGAGTACAGTGATGCCGGGATGTCCCTGAGAGGCATCACAAGCCATTTAGAGTTTGGGTACTTTGGTAAATAATTATCCCATGATTCTTGAAAGTACAGCAGCAACAACAGCAAAAACAGAAAAGCTGGAGAAGTTGAACAATGAGCTAAACAATTCCAAATATGTTAAGTGCCCCTAACATTACACGGGAAATTGAAAGTCTGGATAAGCTAATGTGAAAAAGAGAGCAAGGTAAAATTATTCACGAAGAAGGAGGCTGGTAAATACTCAGCTAATGCCACAATCTCTGATCAAAGGACAAGGAACCATTCCAAAAGTAGAGTTTTAGGCTCAGAATATGTGGCAGTTATTGCTGTGCCACCATGACTCTGCTCCATCTTGTCTGATCTTAGACGCTCAGCATCAGGCTAGGTTGGTTCTTAGATGAGAGGATATATATCAAGTGACACTGAACTTTAGTGGAATTGTTGTCTCCCTTGAGTTTTGAAATTTATTGGGACCTGTGACCCATGGTCAGAAATTTTATACTGTATCTTAGACTTTTCACACCAAAGGACCAAAACTATTTTCTAGTTCTACAGGTCTGTAGATGTTGATAACTTTTACCCAGGACTAACACGGGCTGAGATGGTTAAAATGATGACAACATGCAGCCTGGAGTTAATATTGTCATGGATTGAAACTCCAGCATTTTGAGGACTATATTTTACATGGAGAATGAACTGGTCCAAAGAAAAAGGCTACTGGCTCTCAACACATCCACATCCTCATCTCTGGAAACTGGTCCTATGTTAGTTTTCATGACAAAAGTGACCTTAGCCAACATCAAGAAGAGACTTGGAGCAGGTTATCCTCAGTAATCCAATGGAAGTAAACCAGAGTCCTCATCAGAGGAAACCAAAGCAGTGAGAGACAGAGATGGTAAAAGATGTCACAGTAACACGAGATCATGAGCCAAAGATTAAGCCACCTGTAGAAACTGAAGGCAAGGTGATGGAGTCTTCCTATATTAGTCACTTTCTCTTGCTGTGCAAAATACCTGAAAGAAATTATCAGTGTATTTTGGCTCACGGTTTCAGAGGCCTCAGTCCATGGTTTTGGTTCCATCCTTTCTGGGCACACCATGACAGCAAGAAAGTATGGTAGAGGAGGCTGCTCACCTCATGGCAGCCAGAGAACAGAAGGGCCAGCAGCAAGACCCAGCATTCCAGAGTACACTAACAACTAGGTTCTGTACCTCCTAAGTTTCTATCACCTCCATTAGTCCATTAAATTATGAACCCATTAATCTATGAATGAGCTCATAGCTCTTACGATCCAGTCACCTCTTAGAATCCCCTCTGCCATTGCTGTGCTGGAGACCAAGAGTTCAACCCATGAGACCATGGAGGACACGCCAAGTCCAAACCACAACTTTTCATTTGTTTTTAACTGTCTGGAGCTGGTTTAGACCTGTATACTATGATGGTAAGAAAATAAAGTTTGTGTTGCCTTAAGCCACAGTCCACCCTGATTTATTATAACAGCAGTGGAAAATTAACTCAGAAACCAAGATCTATATGATTCACCTGCAGTTTGCTGGGCTGAAATGAAGTTCTTGGTCTTTCTCAGAAATCTTGTATCTGCAGAAAGCATTCATGAGACAGAGAGCCTAGCCTGCTAACCTGTAAAAGGTTGTCAAGTCTTGGGCTTTTCGTGGTTCTTAACATTTAGTACTTAAAGTTATTAAGTATTTAGGAACATTCCTCCTATTGTTTGGTACTCCAAGTCTCATCTGGCTAATCAACTTCACAATATCTCAAATACCTTTCAACCATTATTCAGAGAAATAGCCCTTCAGGTGGTAATGGTACACGCCTTTAATTCCAGCACTGAAGAGGCAGAGACATGCAAATCTCTGTGAGTGTGAGTTTGAAGCCAGCCTGGTGTACTGAGTTCCAAGAAAGCTTCCAAAGGTACAGAGAAACCCTATCTGGGGAAAAATCAAAAACAAAAGTAGCCACCCATGATTTAATTGAGCAAATTGAATAAATTGTTACTACTCTAGCAAGTTAAGATCAATCTTGTGTTGCATAAAAATATACATGAAGGTAGCATGTATCTGTAAGGTTTCATTAAAGTGGCTTTAATTATACTAAATAGTCCTTAAAGATCTGAACTTCCCTTCAAAGACATTTTGGAAAAGCAATTTAGTTGGTGGAGTCCTTCCCAAACCAAGCTCCTGTGTGACTGCATCTAGGACCCTGAGACAACATTGCCGGCACACACTCTTAGAAACCAAAAGACATTGCAGACGTTGGATAGCTTTTTAGACAAATGAAAGCTTGTCTGTGTAAAAATCAAACCAGAGAAAGGTCCTGTACAATAAATGCATTTATTTTGCAACTTAAGCAAGACAAATGGTAGACAAACTCATAAAGATGATGCTATTCAGAGATTAGCAGCTGGCCATGCATACAAACTCACTGTGTGCAAAACTAGTTGTTTCCAACATAGCAAAGTAGGGTTGACTCCTTTGAGAAATGAACATCATGTTGCTCACATTAACATTATCCCATCCTCAACATACTGTGTAGTGCACACAACCCACTGGCCATCTGAGTTCCAAGCCAGGCAGTCAACACATACACCTAGCACACAGCATGGCAAATAGTATCTTATTCTGAAGTCAAATAGTTCAGCAGTGTGACCACAGGGATACAAGCACAGAGAAGCCCAGAAGGGACCAACATTAGCCAGATGACAATCTGCCCTATCGGTTTTTGAGAGCTCAAGTGCTTGTGAAATATTTAGGCTGGCACTCACTGGGGTCAGAGATGTCTCGGGTGTAGAGCACAGATGGATGGAGTTAGTCAGACAAACTGCCTCAACGTGACTCACAGAAACATTGTCCCAGTGTGTCCTGGTTATCCTGGTAAAGGTTCCCCTAACTATGAGTTGGTGAAGGACTGAGTGGAGGGAGGGTACCAAGACCTGGAGAGCCTGCAATCAGAGCCAGGACACCACATTCTATTTTCTACTGCTTATGTACACATTAGCTTGTCTTGGATGCTAAGTCTGAAAGTCATAGAATGCCAGAGCTGGGATGGGTCGTCTACTCCAGACATGCCTTCTTACCTTTAAAGTCATGGCAGTCCAGAGAAATAAAGCAGCTTGTCACAGGCAGAGAACGGTGGCAACAGGCTAGATCAGGATGCAGTGACCTAACCCTCACCTAGGGGAGCTCAATTGCATATGTAGCCATTTTTTTTCAGTAAGGAAGCATTAATACTATTAAGTGTGATTTTAATCCAAAAAAAAAAAAACAAGTATCACTACCACCCCCCCAAAAAGAAAACCAACAAAATGGTGCCTTATATCTCCAAACTATATCTTTATAACTAAGTCCCAACCCTAGCCCAGGCCTTCAACTTTAAACATTGTCCTCTCTCCCTCCCCTCTACACATAGACACAGAAACACACAAACAGACAGACACACGCACGCACGCACGCACACAGCTGGCCATGGGGAGTGGGGGGATCCAGAGACAGAACACATCCTCAGGAAAGCGCCCACAGGCATTTCTCAGTCCAGGTCTATACATGAGGTCTGGGAAACCGGCTTATTTTCTAGAAGAACAGCTGGCTCCGAAATCAGAAGATCATCCTCCCCAAAGGAGGAGTTGTGGTCTGTGTCCACGAAGTTGGGGATATCAAACTTCATAAATCTGCTTATCCCCTCCTCAGGCCTCCCACTGCCTCTGATGGCTTCCTGGAGCTGGACATCACTGTCGATGGCCGTTGTCTGGTGGCAGACTTTGACCCTGTCCAAGTGTTCCACTTCATTGATATAACAGTGGAAGAGAGACCTGGCCTCCTCATTGCCCTGACGAGAAAACACCTTATCTGATTCCAGTGGTTTTCCACAGTCTGACACGAAGCTGTTCATTCTGAATCTCTTCTCTGACGACTCCCCGTTGCTGTAAAGACAAGAGGAGAAGGCACACACAGATCCTCAGCCCACTTGCCTACAGGTTCATGGTGTCCTGCTTGAGGGCAGGCCAGGAGAGTCCCATGAAGCACCTACTGGGTGTCCCTTAATGCATCACTTCTAAACACAGGACTCCAAGGTAGAAACCTCCAGATGAAAGTCCCTGGATTTTCCAAAGGGCAGAGAGGGTGCAGAAACCCCCAGATTCCTGTAAGCACTCCAAGGATCTCCAGGGATTCTTAGTTCTCTTGAAGTCAAGTTTTAATCTTTATTTTGTGCTTGTGTATATGTGGTTATGTGTATGTGTGTGTGTATATATGGTATTAATGTGTATATGTACATTTGTGCTTGTGTATATGTGGTATTTATATGTATATGTGTGTGTATGTGTCTATTTGTGTGTTTGTGTGTATGTTGGTATTTATATGTGTGTTGTATTTGTGCTTGTGTATATGGTGTGTGTGTGTGTGTGTGTGTGTGTGTGTGAATGTGTACAGATACATGTGAAGAACTGAAGTTGATATTCTGAGTCTTTGATTGTCTCTACACCTTAGTTTTGTTTTTGACTTTTATGAGGCAGGAGCTTTCGCTAAATCTGCAGCTCACTGCTTAGACCGGCTAGCCAGCAAGAAACCAAGGAATGCTCCCGACTCCACCTTCCCAGTGCTGAGATTACAGTCACACAGTTTTTATGTGGGTTCTGGAGATCCAAAATCAGGCCCTCAAACTTGTATGGCTATCACTTGAGCCACTAGGCTATCTCCCAGCCTTACATCAAAGTCCATTTAGGTGCTTCGGAAGAAACAAATCCCTGCCTTGCAAACCTTTAGGATCTCTGGAGACACTCAGTAACCCGCATTTCCATAGCATCTCTAATGATCATTGCTATAGAGATGCTCCAAATCACAGGTCTCTACAGCACTTGCTCGTTGGAGCCCTGCCAGTATCTGCCAAGTTGCCTCCTTCCTCTCAGCCCCTTCTGAGTCATATAGGATCTTGTGGGCCACACACATAGCTATCCTCAGCAACATACAGCCTATAGGTCACAATTGGCACTGGCATGCTAGAGTGTACTAATCTTAAAAGCAGCTTGGTCATTGTTTTGCCATGCCTATGAATACTTAGGTAATTGATGCCGTGACTATCAAAAGATGCTCCCTGATAGGCAGTGGGGAGCTTGCAGCTGTACCCTGCCTTCAGTATTCAGGAACGAAATACACACGTGATCGCTAGGGTTATAAAATGTGTGCCTATAATGGCCTAAGTACCACTCCATAGGTTATATGCTCTCATGACAGAGGAAGGCTAGCTGTAACTTTAACCTCTCAAACTTGGGGGATCCTGGTAAAAACTAAAGTTCACTACATCTACAATAGCAGTTAAAAAGAAGTTTAAAACCAGCCAACTCTTCCATAGCTTTGTCTATATCTGTGAAAATAGAAAATTACAAGGCTTTAACATCTTAAATTCCACCTTAGCTAAAATGATGTCTGAAACCAGAAACCTCAAGATTCAAGAACTGAAACATTGAAAGGGTGGGCTAATGGCTGGGACCATTGTGAAAAGAACATTCAAAGAATACTGCCAGAAAATGTTATCCTCATTTGTGACAGTTCATACCCAGTCCGCACTGTTTTTCTGAAACCAAGATCTGGCTGGAGTGTTTAAAGTCTTCCCAAGGTATCCATCTTAAGGGCCGAGAAATGACTATTTTACTAGAAACCTAGACCAGCTTTCTCACTGTTTTAAGAATATGTATTCTTTTATTATTATTATTATTATTATTATTATTATTATTATTATTATTATTATTGAGCAGGGTTTCTCTGCATAGCCTTGGCTCTGTAGACCAAGCTGGCCTTGAACTCACAGAAATCTGCTTGCCTCTGCCTCCCGAGTACTAGGATTAAAGGTATGTACCAACACCACCCAGCTAGAATGTGTATTCTTTATTTTTAATTTGGATTTTACTAATCATCTCCAACATCCCATTTCCCTAGCTAGACCATACTATTCTGAGCCTTGGCTTTTTGTCACTATGAATATAACCCTAGGCCGGTCGGGTTATCAGCACCAGAATAGACAACACCTCCCAAAAGAGCCTGTACAGTTCTCTAACCCATACGGTGACTGTCCTTATTCACCATGACTCCCCCCACCCATTCCTCTTACCTACTGCCTAATCCACCACCACCACCCTCTGCCTAACATTCCTAACCCTGCCCCTCATACCCTCATCCCTTCCCATGCCCTCTCTCTCACACCAATGCCCTCACTTACTCTACAGTATAGCTGCAGTGAGGTTGATTACCCTCTTTATGGCTGTTTGTAATGTCCAGCAGGCTTCTGCCCTGATGTGGTCCCTGCCTCTATGGCAAGACTCAACAGGAAGTCATCTGTCCACCCACCCATCTCCTGCCATCTTTTTCTTGTCTCTCACAGGTCATGCTTTTCTTCCTTCTGTAGGAGCCTCTGGTCTTGTTGCACATTACTAAATATTTGTGTCCTTCAGAGGGCTTTGCAAGACATGGCCTTAATGGATGCTATATGAAACTCTGAACACAGGACTGTATCTACAGGCTTGTCTGAAACCCTGGCAGCTATAAGACACATAGCCAACACCAGATTTGTCTTTCAGTGACAGAAACCCAAATAAAGTAAGGAAGATAGACCCCACATACATCCCTGTAGCTGCAGAGGACAACACAGGTTATGCCCTGAGTTAGCCCTAAGAATTTCCCGGATGTCTTACAAATGAAATGTTTGCGGCTGGTCTGAGTCACCACACATCCATTTCCCTCCTCATCTACTCAGGGAAGGAGGAGGGCTGAACAGAATGGGAGCACCTGTCATTTCCAGCAGTCACTTCCCTGGAGCTTTTGCAAGCCTTTTACAAGTGGAGAAGCATTCTCCTAAGGATGAAATTCTGTGAGAAAATAACCACCCCCACTCATGGAGACACAGCCTGCACCCAGAATCTACACATTCTGGGTAAGCACACACTCCTGTGAAAGCCCTTCTGTGTACACCTTTTGCTCATTAGCAGGAAGATGTCAGGCTATGTGGGTAGGCAGGGAAAAGTCTACCCTTAGAATTCTCTCAGCATGGCCCTGGTCAAGCAGTGGTTTTACCCACTTAGTAAAACCTCCTAATTGATGGCAAAACAAAGGCAACTCAGTAAAGGTTTCTGGGTTGGACCCAACACAGCTCTTCTACCTGTTGATAGCAGCCATTGGCATCTTGAGATCCCAGAGTTCCTTAGCAACCACTCACAGTGCCTGCGCCTGCCAGCTGGTCTGGGCTGCAGTCAGCACCGATGACTCCCAGCGCTGACATTTTCATGCTGTCTGTTCTTATTACACACCCACCCTGTAGTGAGGCCATATTCTGCTAAACTACAGTTTGAGAGAAAATGCCATTGCCAGTTTCATAAGATCACGAACAAGCCTGTATTCACCCTTAAATAAAAGCTACCTCTAACAGGATATGGGCCATTTAGCAAAGGCTACAAAAGGAGGCTGTTTATGGTGGATGTCTGAGGCTTGGACTTTTTTTTTTTTTTAAAGAAGTACAAAATATCCGACATAAAAATGAATCGGAGAGTCTCTAACCCTAACCCACCCCTCTCTGACAGATGTGTGCTAATGGACTATAATGCTTCATGATAACACTCAGGCTCCCCGCTGACAAGGAGGACAAAATGACTTTTCACAATATCCAGGTAAGAGCTTCCCTGCTAACATGGAAAATACTCCATGGGGGAAATTATCACCACCAAAGCTGCTTCTGAGGTCTAAAAGCTTTTAAGAAAGGGGACACCAGCTTTATACCCGGATCTCTCCCTCCAAGCTGTTCTCTCCTCATGCGCATGGGCACCAGCTCTCCTCTTCTACACAGGAAGCTCAGACCATTCCCTGCCCTTTTACTACAGTTCCCAACCTTAAAATTATTTTGGTGCTACTTCATAACTAATTTTACTGCTGTTATGAATCACAATATAAATATCTGACATGCAACCTCTGTGAAAGGGGGCTGTGACCCACAGGTCAAGAGCCACTGCTATAATGGAGAAGACGGTCCTTGGCGAACCTATCATGTCACTCGAGGAAGAGTCATCCTCTGCTGTGCTTGACTGACATCCCAGCAGCTGACATCCCATAACCCAGGTTAGCCCAAAGAGTCCCTCCCAGTGCCACATCTTAACATGGTTCCAGACTTTGTGAAGAGGGTTTAAACTGTAGCTCTGGGTGGATCCATTATTCCGAGAGTGAAGGACAGTCCCCGTCACTTTGTTAAAAGCATGCAGGGTCCCGGGGAGCCCTGGTCTAACTGAGCACAGTTCAGAATGACTCCTTTAGAAAGTATACTAGATAGGGATAAGGCAGTTATCCCTCCATGGGGGATATGTTTGCAAAATCCTTTTGTGCACCAGAGGCAAACCTGCCCCTCCCCCCGTTCCCCTCCCCTCCCCCTGCCTTCCTCCCTCTCTTTCTCTCTCTCTCATGGTGTGTGTGTGTGTGTGTGTGTGTGTATGTAGGGGGGGGGGAGAGAGAAATTTCATTCCAAAATTGGCTCTGTCATATTCTGTAAGCTCTAAAGGCTGTAGACTGGGGAAAGAACTATTATTTTTGGGTATCAGTGTTATTCCAGAAAGGCGCTCAGCTGAGAGAATGAAGCCCACCCACCTTCTGGAGGGCAATCTGACTAGCCCTAGCTTAAAGTATGCAGATTTAAGTATTAAATTAATCTTTAAAAATACATGGAAACACCTAGAGTAGTGTTTGGCCAAATAGCTAGCTATCGTGTCCTACCTAGGTGCAATGGTTTGCCTACTTGTATGTACACCACCTGCATGCCTGGTGCCAAATGAAGCCAGAGGAAAGATCAGATAGTTGTGAGCTGCCATGTGTGTGCTGGCAATCAAGCCAGAGTCTTCTGGAAGAGCAGTCAATGCTCTTAACTGCTGATCCATCTCACTGTCTTTGTTGGTGGTGTTTGGTTGGTTTGTTTTAACCTTGTCTTTTCTTCCTATTACAAACATGCCATATATTTGGATTTCCTAGAACAATACTATGAAAAGCAAAAGTGTGTGGGTGCTTTGTTTTGTTTTGTTGTTTGTTTTTGAGAGGAAAGAGGATGGATAAAAGGGAGAGGGGAAAGAGGAAGAGAAGAAAAGTGAGAATATGTCTAGTGGCTTTTAAAGGGATGCTCCTACATAGGTCAGCTTATACTTTAACATAACAGCATTTGCCCCTTTTTATTTAAAGGCTTTCTCTTAGCTCTTGAAGTCTCAAGTGTGGGCTGAGTGATGGGCTGAACAGTTCCCTTTCACTGGGAATCTTTGTTGTAGTTGAAGTATAGAAATGAGACCCCACAACAGGCAGGAGACACAAAGCCGTGAGACCCAGGCAGGGGAGTGCCTCTGCTGGGCTCAGTTCTGTAAACACACCAGCATTGCAGCCTTTTTTCCATAGAAATCCTTTCCAGAAGAGGGAGACAATGCATCTTAACTTCAATATAAAAATCAAATCTGGGATCAGCATGACGATGGAAGGGAAGGACCAAGAAGCCTGATTTGCTAAGGCAGAAGGGAGAAGGTGTGATCTCTCCTAGATGGCACCTGGATCTGGGTAGCAATCCATGCCCCACCCGCCTCCCCATCCCTGGTTTCCAGTCTAGTTCTGTGAAATACAGAGTGGCCAGACTTACTCTTGGTGTGGGGCACCTGTCTTCGTCAGCAAAGTCAGCACGAAAAACATGAAAATCACAAAGACTGCAAGACCAACCCAGAATCCAATCACAATGGAATCTGCAAAACAGGTAACATGAAATTAGTGTTTCCAGAATTTGCATTAACATATAGATAATTTCAGGATTCAGAGCTTTCTGGAGATTCCAGGGTACACAGACTATAACAAGAAGCCAGTCAACCATCACAATAGGGGTGTGAAGACAGGTCACAGGTTATCCCTGTTGAAATGTTCAAAAGCGATGCCGGAGAGAAAAACACCATGCAATAGAGTTCAAGTGGAAGGGATTTTAGTTAGGGGGTAAGGATCATATGAAAGGGAAGGGGGAGGAGGGAGACTGCCTCTGGGGGCAGGGGCAGCAGGAGAGGGGAAACAGTGGAGGCAGAGATAAGAGGGAGGTGAGCAGACAGAGCGAGAGAAACAAAGAGGGACCAGAGGTTATCAGGGCCCCTTTAAAAGGGAACACAGTGAATATGCACAGGTGGTGCTCTTAGTGGCCACAGCTGAGGGTGTGTTCGGGTGAGAACCCCAAAGCCAGGCCAGTTCAGATGCCTGAATGCTAACAATCCCAAGCTTCAATGTTCTACTCCACTGCCCTGGGTTGGATTGTTTTCTCAGAGATATTTAAAATGTGTTGACTCTACTCCATCTCATTCATGTCCATATTGATGCAATTCAGGTCTTGGTCGCTTTGGGGAAGGACATATAGCTGGTCTCCCGACCATCACAAATGAATGAATGCTGACTGCTCTCCCTGGCTCCTTTTGTGCCCAAGCAGCTTTATCCATCCCATCCGAGGCTGAGGCTGGCCTACATTAGCAGGTTGAAAGCGCCTCTCAGCACTTTACCAGTGCCAGTGGCTGAGAAAGTATCCCACAGGGCTGGCTTTAGTCATTATAATGGCCATCCTAGTCTCCTAATTTACTCCTACTTTAAAGCCCATTTGGGCAAAGGGACATTGTGTCCCGTGTTTGCTTTGGCTCCTGACTGCAGTTTCCTCACAGCAACACAGCAACAGAATTTCTCACCACTTTGGATTGGAGCAGGCCAAAGTCTGCCCTGCAGAGCCCACCCTGTGTATTTAGCACTCTGGATAAAAATGTTGACAAAAATTAATGTCTCCTTCCTAGTATCTTAATTCCAAGTGCTAAAGAACAGTAATTTTTTAGACCTTGCCTTTTAATCTAATGGAAATAAGGCATAAAGGTAAGGTGGGTGTGGGAGGTGTCTTCAGGATTGTTTGGGGGGGCACTTGTGGAGAAATCCTACCGAGTTTTGGTTTGTGTCCCAGAACCCATGAAAGCTGGAGGGAGAGAACCAATTCCACAAAGTTGGCCTCTACATGAATACCATGAATACCAAGGCATGTGTATGCACAACACACACACACACACACACAGAGAGAGAGAGAGAGAGAGAGACATAAAGCAAATCACAAAAAAAAAAAAAAAAAAAAAAAAAACCACATGTATCCAAGCACAACTGACTTGAAATGATAAATCTCAATTATCCGGTCATGTGTTGTGTCAAAATGGTGTGTATCTTCAATTGTGCACATTGTATTTTAGCAGCTGCCTTATAGGAAGAGCCAACCCTAAAAACTATAACAGGCTTTCTTTAGGGCTACCAACCAGCTCTCAAATCATGACATAGAGACTTGTTATGAATGCTTGGCCTCATCTTAGCTCGGTTCAATGTTTCTCTTTGCATTTTGCCTTGGGGCTTTTTGCCTTTCATTCTGTTTATCTTACTTTCCTGTTTCTCTGCATCTGGCTGGCTGGCAGCTGCTTGGCTCTGGCCCAGTTGTGTCCCTCTCTTCCTCCCTTGTTTCTCTTCTCTCTCATTCCTCCAGCCTAGATTTCTCCTCCCACTCATTCTCTTTGCCTGCCAGTTCCACCTCTACTGCCTACCTATTGGCCAGCCAGCTTTTTATTAGACCAGTGAGGTGACTTAGGCAGGCAAGGTGAAACAGCAACACATCTTTACATAATTAAACAAATGCAGCACAAACAAATGTAACCCATCTTTACATAGTTAAAGTGATATTCCACAACCTGAACAAATGGAACACATCTTTGCCTAGTTAAAGTAATAATCCACAACAAACCCTAAAACAATATTCCAGTGTCGTGTTTCAGTCCCAGAATTAAGAATGCAATCCTACTGTCATAAGTGACATTTCCAAATCTGTTTACTGAGAAGGTCTCTCCTAAGGACAATGTGGTAGGAGTTCCTGAGAGCCAGAAAAAGCCTTGTGGGCTGAGCAATGTCCAATGTCCTTAACTATACAGAAACTTGACCATCTCTCTCCTGTAAGCTCCCCCCTCCCCATTGCCTAATGAGCCTTCCTAAAGACCTTAAAGGAAGAGCAGAATGGCTGCCCTGAGGGTTTGTTTGTTTCGTTTTGTTTATTCCAAGATGCTTATGTGAGATACTTAGAGCAGCCTTCTCTTCTACATTCAGGCCATCTTTAGACTCACACCTTAAGGACTTAAAGTGGTCAATAAAATTCTATGTTTGTACATATGAGAGACAGAACAAAAGTCATGTAAAAGGCCCTGTGTTACTGTGTTGGTTGCTCTGGGGTTTGTTTGTAACAAGAGTGTGATTAAGATCGCCATAGTAATTAAAATCTGCTTTCCCAGGGAAGCCTTGGTACCCAGTTTACTTGTTCAGAACCCACAATAGCAGCTTCCATAGGGATCGGTGGACTGGTCCACAGCTGGCTTCCACTTTCCTAAGTACGGGGTGGGCAGAGAAGAAGAAAGGGTTCCAAACTTTCCTAAATACCGAAGGGATGCTGGGAAGGAAGGGCAACTGCTGCTGCCCTCTGTGGCACTCCACAGCACCCTGCATCTCTAAAACCCTGGAGTCATCACCCATTCTGAGGCCACACCTTCAACAGTGGCCTCTTGCGGGCTCTCTTCGGGGCGACTCCAACCCTGCCCCACAGGGTCAACCTCAGCCCTTTTCCTTGATCCCTTGATGCCTTTAAAACCAGTACCATGTGGGAGACTTACACATTATCAAGTTCAGCTGTCAACTTGAAACAGCCTTGGGTCTTCTGGACCACAGCTTCTGTGGATTAACCCTGAGGAAATAACTTCCTAGATTTGTTTGGCCTAGCGGTGGTGGTGCACACCTTTAGTCCCAGCACTTGGCAGGCAGAAAAAAAAAATTGTTTGTTTTGTTTTTTGCTTTTCAAGACAGGGTTTCTCTGTAGCGTTGAAGCCTGTTCTGGCACTCCCTCTGTAGACCAGGCTGGCCTCAAACTCACAGAGATCCGCCTGCCTCTGCCTCCTGAGTGCTGGGATTAATGGCATGCACCACCTGGCTTCCCAGAAGATTTTACCATGAGGAAGCTAGTCTCAATCATAGCTGGGCTGAGAAATATCCCCAGTAAAGCAAAGGTTTCACTTCTCTAGTCTTAATTCTGATGCATCTCACAAACAGCCCAATGGTGTCTTCGCTCCTTCTGAAACTTCCCTGTGCAGACTTGCATCATCTGCACTGTGAGAAGCATCACCTTCGAGTTCCCACAAAGCTCACTGGCTCTGAGCACTCAATGGCTTTTCAGCTCAAAGCGCCAAAATCCTGTGCCCCAAAAAACCACAGTCAAGTCTGAAACAGCAAGGTTCCATTTCCCTAGGGAAGGAAGGGCTTATTATTGTACCTTACATGGAATCCATCATCAGGGGGAAGTCAAGGCTGAGAGGTCAGAACCTGGAGGTAAAAACTGACAGAAGCCATAGAGGAGGACATTGCTTAGCCATTTGCTCAGTCAGCCAGCTTTCTTATACACCTCTAGACCCCCTGCTAGGGGTGGAACCACCCACGTGACTTGGCCCCACCCACATTGATCACTAATGCAGAAAAGGCCCTGCAGACTTTACACAGGCCAAATCTGATGGCAGAGAGTCCTCAGTAATTGAAGTTCCCTCTTCTCAGGTGACCCCACCCCCCACCCCCGCCCCTGCCCCTGTGTGCAAGTTGACAGACGCTAAGCCACACAGATGCCTACCTTCTGACATTATTTGTATCCTGGGGCTCAAACACAGGATCCCCCTTCCCCAGTTTCCCAATCACACCAAAATTCATAGCAGACAGTGTCCTTTCCTAGAGGTCATCCCTAAGAACTTAGTGCATTTAGGAGGTGATTTCATACTCAGACCCCAAGACCTCTATTCAGATAATTAATGGCATATTTTAAGAGGTTCATGCACTTTCTTTTCTTCCCCATAAATACTGAGCAGATGTCAACAAAGGAACAAGAAAAGCATTTCCTTATTACTGTAAGTGTGAAGGATATGTGACTTAGCTGGTGGCTTTGCTTAAGGAAGAGAAGTAGAGCACCGTCCTTGCTGTGAAGGGGTGAATGGGCACCACCAGTGGGTACAAGCATGTCTGCTGCCAAAAGGAGAGGGACAGAGGGAGGGAGGGAGGGGGGAGGGAGGGGAGAAGGGATTATGCCTGTGCCTGCAATCTGATCTCTCACATTTCCTAATGTGCACCTTGGTCTGGACCAGTTAAGAGCCTAAAATGGAGGGCAGGGGAGAGAGCTGGCCCAGCAGTAAGAGCACGTACTGTACTTGCATCAGGACCCAAGTTCACTTCCTAGCATCCAGATCGGGTAACACACAACCACCTGTAACTCCAGCTACAGAGGAACTGGAACTGACCTCTTCTGTTGGCCTCTGAAGGAACTACACACACACACACACACACACACACACAGAGAGAGAGAGAGAGAGAGAGAGAGTAAATAGATAAATAAATAAAATCGATAAATCTTAGCAATGAGTCTAAAATGTTTGCTCTATTTATATATACATTTTGAAATAACTGAACGTCACGGGGACAGTTGCAGCGTCATGACCCAGAGTGGTTGGCAGTGCTTGCCTATATCAACTTTGCCTTCAAAAATAAGGATGCTTCCTGTAAATCAGACAGCATTGGGTCCGAGACAAGTACAACAGTAACCTTTTACAGAATTGCATTGCTCTGTGGCAGATCACTAATCACCCCAATTTCCTGAACTGCAACTGATGCCCACACCTCCAATGTATACGACAGGAGGCTGTTCTCATTGGGCTCCGTGTACAATGCTCTACAGTCCAATGGGATTTTTGAAATGTTTAAAAATACTTATTTATTTTTATTTTATGTGCTTTGTGTTTAGCCTGCATGCTGTGTATTCTATCTGTGTACAGTGCCCACGAAGGCCAGACGAGGGCTTTGTATCCCTTCAAACTGGAGTTACAGATGGTTGTGAGCAGTCCTGTGGGTGATAGGAATAAAACCTGGGTCCTGTGGAAGAGCAGCCAGTGCTCTACACTGCTGAGCCATCTCCATCCTTCCACTGGGTTTGTAAATGATATTACTCGTTATTACAAAAGAAGTGTGTTCATGCAATTGCTATAGATACTGTTTCTAGACACATTTTTGTTATTGCTGTTACTCAAATACTGAAGCTTTGAGGGAGCTAGAATAGTTAATGCCTTCTTTAAAAAAAAAAAAAAAAAAAGCTCTTTCTAAGGCTAAAACATTAATCCATACTCTTCCACCAAGGGGCTGTTATTTAAGTCCTTTGAAAATCAGAACTACCAATGCCTCCACATCATACCACCCCAAAGCAATGAGCCTATGTGAAGGGGACCTGGGTATTTAGAGATACAAGATCATTCTATAAGAAGATAGGATATTAGGAAAAAGCAGTCGCGGGATTTTGCAGCACAAAACTTACATTTATGAGCCTTCAGTCCTTCAAAGGAAACTGGTCCAATTTCATAGTACTCATATTCCCAGGTGTAATCAGAATTGGATGCTGACTGCAGGGATGTTCTGTTAGAAGTCAACCTCTGGGCAGACATCTCCACCCTGCACACATGGAGAAAGGAAGTGTGGAACTCATTAGGCCATTCATAGATACAGTTTCCCCAATTAATTGTGGATACATTCAAGAGTTCAGGGTCAAGAGTTCCTAGTTCTTAACCACTGGGTCACTAGCTGCCTAGATCACACACCACGTAGCCATTGTTTCCTTTCATTCCCTACCAGTGTAGAATATATGTGAGAGCTGACACTCTGCCTGTGTGTGTGTGTGTGTGTGTGTGTGAAATGTACCAGATGTATCAATGTGACCTTCTGGGAGAAGGACAGGGAGAGAGGAAGAAGAAACTATGGCAATACTCTGAGATTTTTCATCAGCTTCATTCCCTAGACCTGTGTGAACTAAGTAACATCAGTGTCAGAACCAAACTGCCAGCATGTCTGTCTTAAGAATCTACTGCATAGCAATGCAGACATATATCCAATGCAGATGTACAATGGGGACGTGGACAACAGCAACTGCACAGTGGGAGGTCCTCAGTAGAGGCTCACACCTTACCTCTGCTTATTCCTAAAGTAAGCCATACTTCCAGGACTGCCCTGACACCTTTTTTGTTTGTTGTTTATTGGGATTATTTTAAATGTCTTCTTTGGGAGATGTTAGAATGTGTATCTGGGAAGATGGTGATTGGTACAGCCTATGTGTAATTACCATGAAGTGTCTAATGTAAGTGAGACTGCCTGCTGGGGGCAGAGTCACAGGAGGAATAGAGCAGGGCCCCACAGACAAATGGATGAACAGAAGCCATTGGGGAGGGGGCATTTTGGATGAAGCACCAATCCAAATCGAGATTCCCTGAGCAATCTCCACTATCGCATTTCTGTCTTTAAAAGGAACTTGCCTTTTTCTGCCTGCCAGGGACTCAAAGCCACCCACAGTCAACTTTAGGGTAGAGCCACAGGGATGGTCAAGCAAAGTATCACCACCATTCTGCTTCAAGACATGCTTCTCTTTCAGACTCCTGCCTCCCTGTGCCTAGACCTGAGACCCACAGAGTATCCAGCACCACAATGTCCAAAGCATAAGGTGTTGATGCCCAGAGACGCCTGCCAGTGTTAGGAATTAAGTCACTCCCCTAAGGGTAGACAGGCAGAAACAGAGATGTCAGCCCTTACATGGGGAAGAAGGCTCCATATACTAAGGAAAGCTGAACTTTACCTAAGTTAAGTGTTCATTTACCCATCTCATGTCAGTTTGAAATAATGTAAAACCATTACATGTGCTGGTTAATATTACCAACTTGATTTGATTTAGTATCACTATGGAAACAAAACTCTGGGTATATCTATGATGATGTTTTCAGACACGCTTAACTGAGGAGGGAAGACAAATCTACAATGTGGGTGATGGCGGGCCATAGGTGGGTTCCAGACTGACTAAAAAAGGAGACAGAGCCAAGTCCCAGCCTTGATCTGCCTCTGCTCCCTGACCATGGGAGCAATGTGAACAACTGCTTCTGGCTCCTGCCACTGTGTCTGCCCCTTTTCTGTCCTTGTTATTGTTGGGTGTTTTGTCACAACATCAAGTAACTGATGCCAGAAATCGGTACTACAGGATGGAGCCTGCCTCACTACATTCTCTGGTTGTTTCTGCCTCCTCTGCTCACTACAGATGGCAGATACCAGCTGCCTTTCAGCTGACTGACTCCAAAGGGGTCCAGACTTTCAGGGGCTGATTCTTTCTGATGGAAAGTTACCCATTCCCAATGTTTCCTGCCCTGACTGGCCCAGGCTCTAGGTAGCCACAGTTCCCAGTCACCAGGCTTATGTCACCATGTATACTTACAAACAGACGTTTCAAACTTCTCAAATTGCCTCCAATAGTAAATAACAATTTTATGTAATTTTGTGTCTCACAACTGCCATTCTGTGTTTTGATTTAATGTAATGATTTTTATTCAAAAAAGTAGTTTTCAGGAAATATGACCAACCCAATTTTTTGCCCTTTCTTTGTAACAAAGTAATCTATTAACATCACTCTTACAGCTCTTGCTACAAACCTAATTTTGGGGAAAAGATCTTTTTTAATAGATTGACAAACTAAGTTGTTAATGCTACTAAGTCTCATGATATTAACAAACAAAATAACCTGAAAAAAGTAGTAAGAAACAATGTTTCAAGAATGTAACAAGACATTCTTTAAAGGGCTTCTATGAGTTAGGACTTTGCCCGAAGCTATCTGGAGACAAAGCTAGAGACCCTTGACTAGCCCAGGCTCCAGCTGCCAGACCCACAGTCCCAGTCACCAAACCAATGATGTATGCTTACAAACATATTTCAAACTTCCCATTTACTCTGAAGATCTGAGTAGTCACATGAGGCATGTGAAAGATGAAACAGGGCAGATATGTGTTCAATGATGGGCAGTTATTTTGATTTGCTCATGGTAACATTTACAAACACTAACTTAAGGGGTTGTATTCAATCAGAATGTCTACTTGGGAAACTCACAGATTGGGATGTGTTTAAAACTGGGCTTTGTGCCTGTGCTAGATCTAAATGTCAAAAAGTAACTGATTTTTATAAATATTGGCCTTCTCATCTTAATATTTATAACAGACATTTTCTGTATTTTCCTATTGCACGGACTTTAGGATATCTACGGTGTAAAGTTGCAGGCACAAAAGTCAACTGGCCCAAGACACAGGGTATGTATGCTATAGGCAACAGAGCTGGAGAGCTGGAGCTACCCAAGGCTGTTGGAGCCCACCAGATGCCACCAAGAGCCCCAGATGCCGGGCATGGAGCTGAAGGTTTGGCGTTTGCCTTGCTGAATTTCAGCCTAATCTTTCCTTACTGTGTCCCTGTTCCCCCTTTTTAGAGTGGGAATGTTTACTTCACTCCTTTTTTGTAAAAAGGTAACATGGATTTGCTTCTCCAGGAGCTCACAGTTAGAAATTGCCTTGAGTCTCACAAGATACTTTGGTCTTAGCTTTTTGACAATGTTGGAACTTTTAAGACTGGGGAAACTCTTTGAAGACAGACAATCAGCTTTTAGGAGATGGGGTTAGTAGAGGAGCGGGGGGGGGGGGGTAATGTGTCAGTAAGCTAAGGAGATCTCGGCCACTCTTCTTTCCTTCTGGGCCACCATGGGCTCTACTCTGCTGTGCACTCCTATTAAGATGTCATGTCTTCTCAGTGGCCCCCAAACAACGCACAAAGAAAGTGTATATTGAAACCCTGAGTGACAGCAAAGACCATGGACCTCACCATCTCCTCTTTCTTAAGCTACTTTGTCTCATAGCCTGTCAGTTTGCAAGTTGTATCTTTTTTTTTTTTAAACAGTCCCTCAAATACTTTATGCTCTCTGCTGAAAGACAAAAAAGTAAAGGTAAGGAACCCCCACCTACACACACACACACACTTGAAATAAAGGACAGTCTGACCTGGAAAGCGAACCCAGACCAATATCAGTTCCCTGGAATTTGATAACTTCCCCTCACAAGGCCCTGAGATGGCAGGATACCAAAAATTCACACTGCCCCTCCTTTCTGTGAGTCAGCAGGTGGCGAATAGGGTCTTTAAGAAACAAAGAGATAGCTGTAACTCTGGTTTGCCCAGACAAGATTAATTAGCACACCCTGAGGCCCTAAGGTCTGTTGACCCTAACAGCGAGACCATCCGGCCTCAAAGGGTCACACACTCAATGGACAGAGGGTCACACCCCCTCCCTAAGCTTGTGGGTTTTGCCTTTAAAGACACCTGTGACCAGGGAATGGGGCTTCTCTCTGGCCTGCGCGCTGAGGGAGCCCATTTGCGCAAACGTTTCCTGTTCATTAAAGCCTCTTGCGAGTTGCAGCAACTGGACTGGACATTGAGTTCTTGGGGTAACCACCGAAACTGGGAGACTCCTCATTCTGAGGGTCTTACACTGCCACCTGCACACAGGACATCCCCTATGATGTGAAGGCTCTTCACCCCTTCTGCTGTGAGCCTTTATCATTTATTACAGAAGTAACAATTAATATTCTAGGTACCAACTCCAGCATATTTGTTATTATGAATTTGGCTGTGATTTATATCCTCAAAAAGACCCCAGAGAAAGGAGTTTCTTCTCACGGGGCATAGGCAGTAAGAGCTGCAGCCTTAGGATCTCACACTGCATAGCCTTAGTTTTTCCCTTTGATATAGCTCTGAGAAGCTCCCTTTAATCCGTTAACAGCATGTTCTACAAGTGACATCCCTTCCCCCCAACATTTTGCAAGTCATGTCCAGGGGGGAGAGTGAGGTACCCTCCTTCCTGGCTCTGAGAGATATGCATACCCTATTGTCAGAGAGCTGTAAATGTGCCTGTAGGTATAAACACTAGAAGCCTTGTGGAATCGGGAAAAGAAGGAACTTTTAGAGACTTTTTAAAAGGAATTTTTAGCTCTTAGGAGAACTGTAAGAGAGCTTTTGAGGAGAGGGCTTTTAGAAAGAAATCCTAAAGAGAGCTTTTGAGAGAGAACTTTTGGGAAGAACATTTCTTGAAGAATGAAGAGCTATGAGAGGAAAGTGTGTGTGAGCCGGTTTATTTCCTTTTGGCCCTCAAATCAAAACTTTTCAGCACACCCCAACCTAGCTGCTGCAAGCCTCCTAAATGAACCCTGCCTGATACCCTTCCTTCCCAGCACATGAATCCAGGTCATGAGTTAACAAACCCAATAGCTCCATTCTTACTTAGCTTGCCAGGGAAGAAGGCCTCTATTTCCAAATGAGTGAAGAAAATCTAAAGAACTATCCCTGTGACATAAAACAATATGAAATTCAAATACAAGTATCAAATTTCTTTTCTTCTTCTTCTTCCTTTTTTTTTTTTTTTTTTTTTTTTTTGTGACAGGGTTTCTCTGTAGCTTTGGCCTGTCCTGGAACTTGCTCTATAGATCTGCCTGCCTCTGCCTCCTGAGTGCTGGGATTAAAGGCTCAGCTGGTAAAGTGCTTGATTTACAAGCATGAGGACCCAAGTTCAGGTCTCCAGCATCCATGGAAAAAGCCAGGAACAGAGGCTC